TAAAACCAGTATGAAATGAAATATTTAAAAAAATGATGAATTTGGCATAATTACGTGTGCGTTGACCACTTTATTACTTCCTAGATTTATTATTTTATCATTTGTGTGTCCATGAAACGCATGCTTTAACCTTTAGCGGTCGTATGTCGAGCGAGACTCGACTAATGCATTGAAATCAAAAAATTTGGACAGCAAAAGCTCAGAGGTTATCACTGAACTATTAACAGCTTTAAACAACGAATGGGAAATATATAGACAATATCATTGACTAATAAAATATAAATAATTCGTTAAATTTAAACATGGCATCCTCTATTGACAAGATATTCGACGATGAAGATGATTTGTCAGAGGGCACTAATGAACTTTATGGTATTCGGGATGGTGTACTATTTATAATTGATACAACTACTCCAATGTTTGAAAATGATCCACATGAGGGAATTCCATATTTTGTGCAATGCATAAGGGTACTTTAACTTATCTTCTTTAATGCTACATCCTTTAATAGCTTTAAAACTGATATTTTAATGATTTAAATTATATGCTAATTTTTTTTTAATGTTTGCAACTTAGCAATACATAGAGATACTTAAGCAGAAGTTGGTTTGGAATCGGCAGGATTGGATGGGTTTAATACTGTTCGGTACCAAAAAATGGGACGAAGATTCTAAAATCAAACACGTGTTGACTCTTCAGAAATTAAATCTTGTTTCTGTAGATAACTTAAAAGAAGCGATAAAGATTGAAGGAGGGCAATGGCAATATTACAAAGATATCGCTTCATCTACTGCTTATCCGCTACACGATGTATTATGGCATGCAGCACGAGCATTTTCTTCTATAGATGTAACTATGCCAAGACGTAGAGTAATTCTTTTTACGTGTCAAGATGATCCCTGTATGACGAATAACGATGAGAAACATAGAATAAGAGTGAATGTAACGAGTTATAGTGACCTTGGAATTCAATTATTTGTTGTCGGTCTGGGTGACAATTGGAATCATGATTTGTTTTATAAAGATCTAGAAATATTATCAACAAAAATTGATACCGACGATTACAAAAGAACTTCACTAAAAGATCTAGTGGAACAGGTAAAATTACCATGTAGAAATATGGCAAAGCTACCTTGGAGACTTGGAGAAAATGTGACTATAGATGTATCAATTTTTAATCTTTCCGTGTAAGAAACAAACTATTATTTAACTTTCTAATCTAGTTTTACCATGAAGCCCTCTATATAATTCATGGATTGGTTACTTTTATTAGGAAACTTAAGAAATGATTTCATTTACAGTAAAACACAATATTTAAAGAAAGAATGGATAAGCAAAATAGCCAATACTCCTTTAACTTCGCATTCATACTACAAGATAGCGAACGATGACATTGAAGACGAAGAGAACGATCGCGTACCAACGCCCATTTTAGAAACTGAAATTCAGAAATATCAAAAATTTGGTAATAAGAAAATCTGTTTTACGTTAGCCGAAGTGAAATCATTGAGTGCAATACGAGAACCAGGCATTGATTTAATTTGTGTAAAACCTATTTATTATCACCCTTTGTACCATTTTGGCCAACCATATTTCGTTGCACCTGCTAAAAGTAATCGTAAAGGTAATATTTCGTGTAACCTCGATGACGTATAAATATTTGCATAAGATTAATATTACATAAATGCATGTTAAAATGATTTTAGATAACAAATTATTATTTGGTGCATTTATAAATAAATGTGATTCAAGGAATTTAATGATAGTATGCGCAGTAACGATGAGGAAACATTCTTCACCAAAACTTTATACTATGATACCAAATACGAAGAATGGAGGATTTTATTTATATCGATTACCATTTAGAGGTTCGTTTTTAAAACAATCTTGTGATATTAAATATCCCTGATCTAATGTACAATCTTTTTTAGAACATGTTCGAAAACTTGGTGAACTTTCTTTAAAATACATGTATGACAATAACGATAATAAACCTCCAGCTGATTCAAAAAAAGTTGAACTATTACAAGCAATGATTAAAAGATTAAGAATTCAATACGATCCAACACTTTTCTTAAATCCGAAACTTCAAGCTCAACTTCAAACTGTAGAGATTTTGGCCTTAGATTTGGAGCAACGTGAACCCCTGCCCGATGATACTCGTAAATTATTTTTTGAAAATATTATATACGATTGTTTTTTCCAAGCATGACAGTATTGTAATTGTAAGTTTTATTTAAAGTTCCAAGGGACGATGAGATGCGCGAACTAGTAAAAGATTCGTTACATAAATATAACGAAATACTTAACGAAGAAGTAGAGGGTGAGGGTGTATCTGATGCGCCATTGGCAAAAAAAAGAAAGCAAAATAGCGAAGCAATTGCAAAACCTGCAGCATTGGATAAAGAATCGATTCGAAAACTTGTAGAACAAGGAAAGGTATATTGAAACATTTATTATTTTAAATAGAATCAATTAATAAAAATTTATAATAAACTTAGCATGGTGTATTTCCCTATTATAGATAAACAGTGCTACTGTACCACAGTTAAAATCCATGTTAAAAACCTTGGGTGAAAAAGTATATGGTAGGAAGGAAGAACTAATTAATAGGATTCAAGAAGCCATAGATTTCGATTAATAAATAAGTTCTTTGTATCTCTTATTAATTTTGTATTATTTATCTCTATAAAAATAAATATATTTTGTAACATGTTTCTAATAAAAAGTGCCATATTATTTGATTTGTGTTCAATTATAAATATAAAAAAATCAATCAAGTAAAAAGAATTATTACAATGGATGTGTGGGTTTGTGTGTGTAACTGCAATCAGTCAATCAGCTGATTAAGATTTAAATAGCGCGCACCGGAAGTTACACCTATGAACTTCAACACCTGATTCAACTGCTAAGAATATTTTATTTATACATGTCCGAGGAATTGATTTTGACAAATATTTCACATTTTTATGAACACATTCCGTACATTTATGTCGTATTGTTTGATACGAAAATCAGCCCCACTAATATTAAAATAAAGATTGCATGTTATTTTTATTTGCGTTATATTTTTTAAAAATAAATAAAACATATCCAACATAGCGTTCATATCGTTAAATATTATACTAAATAAGAACAATAGCAAACAGTAGAACATAAACATTTGTTTACTATGTGAATATATAATAGAACGCAAGTTGGTCGTTCGATAGCTCGTTTTAACCGTACGTGCAAGTGAATATATATGTAATTAACATATCGCCGCAGTGCTACGCTTATAAATCACATAAATGATCTTCAAAATTGTTTGAAAACATTATATAAACCAATATACTAAACTTAAAAAATATGTCTGAACACAACGATGACACAGCAAATGGTAATGTTTCAAACATTAACATTCATCCACTTTAAGAAAATTCGATGTTTCTGTCATATTATTCACTCCGTACATTTTTTATTGCGGCATTAAAGGAATAATCCTTCTTTTATTTTATTCAGTAAACATTTATACAATCACACTTGAAAACAAACTTGGATTACTATTGTGTAATTCAGAATATAAATTTCTTACAGTAACAGGTTGTAGAGTTATTCTTTCGAATTTTCTACTTTTATAAATATTTTTATGTTTTATTTATGCTATATAAATTGTTGATGACATTAGGACAAATGTAAATAACGTGATCATGCGATAGAGGTTAACTGTTATCCTTGAAAGTGCGAAGTTTTACTAATCAAATAAAATGATTAAGTGAATTAAGATGTTCAGGTATTGTTTGTAGTTTTTCATTGCACTTTAAAAGCATTTAGATTCGAGAATTAACACATATATTTTCAGGCAAATACTGTATCACGCGTATGGGTTAAAATACAATTGTAAAATCACCTATTTACAATACAATAATATGTTTCCAAACATTCTATTGTCTTCAATTAACTTCCAGCATCAATCATGTGCTCAACGTTTATGGCGAAGATGTTTAATTGTTCATTTTGACTTGAGTCAGTACAATATTTGTACCGTATAAGTCCATTTCAAAATTTACAAGAATGCTTCTTTCCATTAAATTGATTAATACTTTTTTTTCTTAAAAAATTAACAAGCTATCAGCCATTTTTAATAATGCATGTCACATTTCCTTTGAGTAATAGAAACTAGACATTCTTGGCGTATAAACATTTGATGCAAGTCAATGGTTTATATTTATATTTCTCGCGTAAACATATATGTTAAGAAATATTTTCTTTTTCATTATTTTCCTGATTGAATGTTAATAAAAATACTACTTTGTTATCTATACTAGACAAGACACCAAATGACGAAGCAGCGCATAGTTCATCAGAGCCAGAGGAGGTAGAAGATTCTGATATGGAAAAATTTCGTAAATATTTGGCACAGAAGTTGAGAATTTTTGATTCGGATTACAGTCAGCAATCGCAAGAAAAAGTACTTCGTGAGCTTAGCTTAGATGGAATAACAGAATATATAAAAGAAAATGATACATTAAAAATTATTACCATGGCTGGAGCTGGTATCTCCACGTGTAAGTTTTTATGAATAGTGTTAAGTTTATATTAGAAAGGGACACGTTATGAAATTTATAATTTTTTAATATTCGTAGCTGCAGGAATTCCTGACTTCCGATCACCATCTAGCGGCCTTTATCACAATTTAGAGAAATATAATTTACCTCATCCTCAAGCTATTTTCGAGTTAGATTTCTTTATGGAAAATCCAGAGCCATTTTTTATGCTTGCACGAGAATTGTTACCCGAAGGTTTTAAGCCTACACCTTCCCATTATTTTATTCGACTTTTATGGGAGAAAGGATTGCTCTTGCGACATTATACACAAAATATCGATACATTAGAGAGAATGGCTGGTTTACCTCCAGAAAAATTAGTAGAAGCTCATGGAACATTTCATACTGGACGGTGTCTTAAGTGCCGAGCGCCGTATACTTTTGTATGGATGAAAGGTAAGAATACGACGGTTATAGTTTTATGCGTGTCCTAAATTACGGTACTGATTTTTAGAGAAAATTATCGAAGGTGTTATTCCAAAATGCGAAGAATGTAACGAGGGTGTAGTAAAACCAGATATAGTATTTTTTGGAGAAATGTTACCCGAACGTTTTCATCATCTTATCGATCGGGATTTTACGCAAGCAGATCTTTTAATAATTATGGGATCGAGTCTGGTCGTTCAGCCATTTGCATCTTTGGTAGACAGGTATGCATTATTTAACGATGGATCGTAAAGTCTTGGAAAGCTTAATTCAAAGATTTTTGGTTTAATTGTAATTTTAATATTTTGTTTTCAAGGGTACGTCCTAATTGTCCACGATTACTTATCAATAAAGAGAAAGTGGGCATGCAAGATCGTCTGTCACGGCTTCTAGGATTGCGGCACGGCTTAGTTTTTGATACACGAAGTTCTCATGGTGGTCGCGACGTTGCTTGGTTAGGCGAGTGCGATACTGGTTGTCAATTGTTAGCTGAAAAATTGGGCTGGGGTGTACGTGTCTCTCCTGAATTTATTACTCGATATGATTCAGAAATTAACAAAATCAATTTAACTGATATTTAAATCTGCTTCTTTCCAGGATGAATTAACTAATCTTATAAAAAAAGAACATGAACGATTGGATGCAGAAAATACTAACAAGGATTGACTGCATCACTAGTACTATCGTGAAGTAAAGTCGGTCTTTTATTACACGTGGTATGTAATTTCATGGCTACTCCTTTTATGAAAAAGTTAAGCCACATAGAGAGATACTATTATATTTTAAAGCAATTACAAAAATGTTGCTTAACATATTGAATACTTAATGTTAACGTTAACAAAAAGATACACTTTTGCCTGTATTTCTTCCATCATGTTTTAACAAAAAATAGAAGGAATTGAATTAAATGAATGGTAATGTTATCATTTTTTTAATATATATATTTTTCAAGCATTAGCATTCGTTAGTATGCCGACGTTATATGAAACAAGTATAATATCAATTGTTAGGGATTGTGTATATAATTTATTTCGTAAAATAGTGTATAATAATATTATACAAACGAATGTGATTATGGCAGTTGAATCATATGTACAAATAAAATAGAGTATAATGAAATTTTGTAAAATATTGTTGATATTTACGTAATTAGTTTCTGCAAATTTGTTGTATCAAATGCTACTTAAACTTTTTACGTTAAGAAATAGATGTGAAAAGTCATTTTATACGAAACGGTTTATCGATAACTTCCTGAGCTTCTTGTTGATGCAATTGTCCTTCGCCAACAGCTGGTGCAGCCATAGGTTTACGTCCGCAGTACGTCAACTGCAAATAATAATTGTATTTATATAAAGACAGTACACATTTTAATTAGCTACACTTTTGTTTAATTTAAAGTTTACATACCGGTCTACCGCATAAATTTTCAAAACGAGACTTGACGAAGTTCCATGCTCCCATATTTTGCGGTTCCTCTTGGCTCCATACGAATGCTAAAACCAATATTTAGATTGTAATTTCATAGTACGATAAGAAATATCATTTCCGCACTTACTCTTTATATGTTTATATCGATTGATCTCTCGTAATAATTCATGAATTGGAAAAGGGCATAAACTCTCTAGCCTAACGATGGCAACATTCTTCTGTTCTGTTCTGTCTCTGTAATCATCGAGAGCATAATAGTGCTTGCCGCTCACTAAAATCATCTTATTTACATCTGTCTCTACCGCTTTCTCATCTCCTGTCAAAATAATATTATTTATGTTGTAAATTCTAGGTAAAGGTAGAGAATTGAATTATCGTCTTTTACGTGTAAGTTACCTATAACATTCTCAAATTTAGTTTTTGGTCCCATGTCTTGTAACAATGATGTTGCAACAGTGTGACGTAATAATATTTTTGGAGCCACTATTATCAAAGGCTTTCGGAAATTCCTTACCATCTAAACGGGACTAAACTATTACTACATCGTAGAATAAATTATAACGATTCTTAAAACATAACTACTCTACACGTCTTACTTGTCTTCTTAAAACATGAAAATATTGTGCTGGAGTTGTAGGGTTTACGATGTGCATATTAACATCGTCGCCGTCAGGCCTGTTTTCTTTGCTATCCGTGAGTTGTAAAAATCTTTCAAGTCTACAGGAGCTGTGCTCGGGTCCAGCGCCATCGTAGCCATGTGGTAAGAGCATTGTTAGCCCGCTACTTAACATCCATTTTACTTCTCCGCTGCTTACGAAAGTGTCGATAATGATCTGTGCTCCATTAAAAAAATCGCCAAACTGAGCCTCCCAGATGGTCAAAGTAGTTGGTAAAGCTACGCTCATACCATACTCGTAGCCAAGAACTGCTTCCTCCGACAAAATACTGTTCGCCAACTCTAGTTTTCCAGTTTGACCCTCGATCATAGAGTTCAGGGAGATGTGTATGCCTAAGCCATATTTAGTAATCGATTACAAATTTCTATCGCTTAACCGTGTTTTTTTCACGTACCTCCTGTAGATTGATCGACGAGCATGGCATGTCTATGTGAAAATGTTCCTCGACCTACGTCTTGTCCGCTTATTCTGACACTGTAGCCTTGATACAACAAACTTCCAATGGCCAATGCTTCAGCTGTGGCCCAGTCCAAGCGTTCATCGTTGGTCACTTTCTTCAGTCGAGATTGAATATGATTTTTCATTAGCTGTGGGTGGATCGCCTGTCGCATGATAAACGAAATATTTAATGCACTCGGAAAACAAAGTTTAGGGCATAATCTAATATTAACTCACCGAGTCATCCTCGGCGTGAACACTCTTTAAAGCTATGAATTTCAATAGATTTAAATCTACACCTGTATCCCATTGGGTTACAGTTGCGTCAGCTTGCTGCATTTCGCTCCACAGGCCTGCAAAGTATGCAGGTTGTGGAATGTAGTTGTCAACCTGTTTCAGTGCTCGATTTAGCCAAGCTTTATGGTTCTTAACGATGTCTTTAGCTTTTTCCATAGAAAGAACGTTCGACTTTATTAATTTTTCGACGTATCGGTCCGGTACTGATCTAACATAAACGAAAGCGTTAGGAGATTATTCCTGCGTTGCGCAGATGCCAATGGTCAGAAACACTTACTTAGGGCGATTGTTTATAATTTTATAAATAAGGGGATTCGTGAAGACTGGATCGTCCAATTCGTTGTGACCCCATCTTCTAAAGCAATTCAAATCGATGAAAACATCCTTTCTGAAGCGTCGTTGATATTCGAAAGCTATTCTAGTGGCACGAACGACCATCTGCGATAATTTTATCATTTTACAATTTATTTCGCATCTACGTATGCCAGAAGAATGGTAAGTGTATGTCGTGCACCTCAGGGTCATCTCCGTTCACGTGAAGCACTGGTGCGGAGATCATCTTTGCCAGATCCGTGCAATATCTCGACGATCTACCTCTAGAAGGTGGAGTTGTGAAGCCTAGTTGATTGTTGATTACTAGGTGAACTGTTCCTCCTATCTCAAAGTGTGGAACCGCGGACAAAGCCAGACATTCTTGATTTACACCTTGACCAGCGTAAGCCGCATCTCCGTGAACCTGGGATAAAGTTTAAACGATCCTTTTACCACATAACGCGATACTATTATGTACGTATATCATACGTACAATTTATATTATAGCAAGTAATAAAATTAAAAACAACGAGGAACGTATACTATAACGTATATTCTTTACTTGGATATTTAACACTTTATCGCTCCATCGCGCGTTTTCATCCTCGTTATAACCACCGTCCTTAACGGCTTGCATTATCCCGCGTGTTTTCCCCATCGATATCGGATTCACAGCCTCCAAATGCGAAGGGTTTCGCAACATCGTTACATGAACATTTTTCCCGTCGATTACGAGGTCGGTGGAGGATACTAAATGACTGATTACGTCGCCGGTGGCTTTCACGCCGTTTGGAAATTCAGAGTATCCTCGTAGCTTTCGAAATAACTTTTCTGCTGGGAAATTCAGCATACCCGTCAGGAAGTTGAGACGACCTCGATGAGGCATACAGAGCACGATGTACTCCAAGTTATCTGCCATAATAAGGTGATCCGTTAACAGAAGACGTTCACGAATCCGAAAATACGGACAAGTTTGAGCTAAAATTGTTTCTTTTTTACCATGTGCGCACAATTTGAAAAATTCATGAAAGAAGGCCATCATACTCTCGGCTCCCTCGCACCCATATCTTTTGAGGCTTACGAACTTTACGGCTAAAAACTGATCGAAGGCCTGGCTTTTCAGCATCTCCATCGCAATAGCTGTTTGCGTCGTGTTTGTCAAGGAACTCGTTACACATTTTTCGGTGGTTTCCGCGAACCATTCCTTTTCCTCTTCGGTCTGTATAGAAATGAACGTAAATCAGGTTCTACAACTGATCGAACATCTCAACATTTCTAACTGTATTTTATTTATACAACACCTCCAAGTAACTAAACTCAAGTCCTATCGTGTTACTGTACGCTTTTTTCAGAAATTCTAAAGCTTCTTCCACCGTTCCTTCCTCTTTTCCCATTGTTAAAATTCCTTGGAAGGAAACTTTGTCGTTTAAACGCAAACCAAAATTTTCCGGACTTAACTCTGGCAGTAGTATCGGTGCCTTAGGTGATATAGGATCTATATTAGCTTGTTTGTGACCATGCTCTCTGTAGGCGGTAACAAGCCGATAAAAATTACTGTTTTCTGAGCGGGTTTCTAAATATTTTGTTGACACTAAAAATATAAGAACACAGATAGAGTAATATTTTTAGAAAAATTGTTATCGTTAATGAGAATTACTGTTCGTAGATCAGATACCAACGAGTTGGTTCAAATTTACCGTGCGACCACGTTCGAGAATTAGCTCGATTATCGAACAGTTGCGAGCATGCGTGCATGCGAGTTCCAAGGGACAGAGTCGGGGATAGAAGCGAGTTGTTGTTGCGTTCGAAGTTTTGAACATTTATTTCGCGATAAAAGTACCGTGATTAACGTAATCGTGACTTGTATCTTCGCGAACGACGCATGGTTACCAAGAATCGGAGATTTCAGCAAGGTAATGACAAATTGTTGTTTAAAAACGCGCATTCTTTACGATTAGAAAATATTTCTACGACAGACAGACGCTAATGGATCCAGCCACATTGCGCGGGAATTTTGTTCGTAAACTATTAGAACGTACCGATAGGCTCTCTTTATTATTATAATTATTACCCATTGTTCGATACAGTGACGTTCTAAAATTGAAATATAACATACCTTCGAAGCGTCGCTGAATCCTCGGTTTGTATCCGTAAACACCATTTTCACTGTGATACGATCGCACGGAGATGCTTGGTCGATAAGCGAAACATCTCGAAGCCGGATTATTATTTATCCACTCGAAACGCGGATGTCTGTATTTGTAGAATGTTCGTATAATTGCTTGCATTCTCGCATTCGTTATGAAATCTGCGGATCAACTGACAAGTCCCCCATCGCGATCCGATATCCCGGTTAGTTTATTGCTCTCTATCCCCTCCATCGATTCCACTACCCAAAGTTATCTCCGTATTCGAGATTGTTAGTGCTTAGATAATACGAAGCAGTATGTCCGAAGGAAGGCAAATTTATTTATGCGAGGCATAGGAATACAATTTTTATCGACTCGAAACATTTCAGTAGATTTCCAAACAAACACCGTGCACACAATTTTAGAGTGTATACGGTTAGAGTCGACGAAAAACATTTCTGAACAATCGAAAGGTAGGAAAAGCATGCAAGATTACACGGTTGCCTTTCTTTTATACCGGCGCCGGTTATCGAGTATAGGCTCTTTTATTAATCATTTTTGTACATCTGACAAAATTACGTGATGCTTGGTCAAAAAATAATATGTTTGGGAATAATTTATATCTCGGGATACGCTGTTCCTACGAGATCGTTGCCTCTGTACTTGAACTTATGCGTGACAATGTTGAATCTAGTGCCTCCCAAGGACACTGGACAGTTTTCGTCTGGCCGTGCATAGAAACAAACCGTGTAAAGTGCCATCTCTAGTTCGGGCGAGGTACCCACAAATATAGTCGTCACGGGTTTATCAAACCCGTTATACTTTGTGCGTATTTTGACAATGGAAGCTTTCTGCAAAAGAGGAATCTGGGTTACAAGTCTTATTTTGGCTATCGCAAGCGGGAACGATTAAACAAACTAACTTACGTCTCCCAAATCAACTTTCTTTAAATATCCGTTGTAATCCGCTTTACCGCTCGTCTCTTGTTTGCTATAAAAGATCCAATTGTGCAGGCCGACTACTTCGGTACCAGTGGCTACGTTCTTAAGTTCCGCCATAAAAACGTGTTCGAATCCCGAGCTACCGATCTTTCCTTGTCCACGGGAGAACAGATTGAACCATATCTTCCTCAAGGTTTCCTTGTACTCGTAATAATCCTTGCGAATCTTCCCTTTGTCCGCTAGAAACCGCATGGCAGCTGACATCACGTTCGTGCTGAGGAACGTGTCCACCAGGAGGCTTTCCTCCTGTCTCTGTATCGGGCTTATATGCTCGTTCACGTTGGTGTCCGGTTGGTAGTTATCGTAGATGGTTATAACTTTTTGCACCGTGGGAACCTGGAACGCTTCCGCGTTCACCGTAAACAACCTGTGTAAGGTATACATTTAAATCACTTTAGTCAAATGTCGTTCGAATCTCGTATATTCGAAACGTCCTGCGAGGATTAACATTGTTCATTGTAGGTTGTACGTAGACTTACGGTTGCGATGCATCGTCTACCGTGCTACTGCTAGTTGTTTGCTTCTGTAGATTCAACGTTATGTATCTGTTCGCATTGTTATTGTCTTTGATGAATAGAGCTTCGGAAAGTTTTTCCAAATCCTCGTCGGTGATCGTGTTTCCTTTGCTGTAGGTCGGGTTGCTCGAATAGACCTTGTTCGCTTCTCCCGTTGCCGCGCCTGCAACTGCACCACTCGCAGCTAGTACACCACCCGTAGCTAATGCACCACCTGCAGCTATTGCTCCCGTAGACGGTCTCGTTTGTCCGGGTCGCGTCGGTGTTTCGGGTCTTGGTTGAGGTTGTCCTGTTAAATTATCGAAACAAATACTTTACGTGATTTCTTACGTTACAAATCAGAATTCTCTGGCCCCTATTAAAACATCCTTCCGTTTCTGTGATATACCTGGTTGGCTCGGATATCCTGGTTGTCTCGAGGAGGGTGTAGGAGAGTTAGGTCTGCTACCGCCACCGGCAACATCGGCCCAACTTCTTTCCGGCGAACCAGAGCTTCCTATCGAAGTAGGACTTGCAGGTCTAGAGAGTGGTCGGCTCGTTGTACTCGTAGGTTTCAAAGAACCCACGTGCAACGTAGATACTTGATTCCCACCGGTGCTATGTTGATTGGAGGTCGGTGGTAATCGTCCTGGTCCAACGGCTACTTTGGAAATGTGCATTTAAAGTTTCGAAAGCTTGAGAAATTAAGAATCTGAATCTCGGTGGCACACCTGGTGATTGCGGCTGAGGTTGTTGGGGTTGTTGAGGTTTTTGAGGTTGAAGTTGAGGTCGAGGCGCGGGAGTAACTGCTGGAGCTGGTGTTGGTTTAGCATCTGCAATGCAAAGAATGCTAGTAACACGTTTTCAATAAATATAGTGTTCCAAAACATTCTTTGTACTTTACGTTACCTGGCGACTGAGGTTGTCCGGATGCGCCCCCTGTAGTAGAAACTGGTCTCGCGCCTTGTAATTTGAAAAAAAGAAATCACTCGTCGCGATTATGTTTCCGTTGTGCTTGTTTTTCTATCATTTTCATGAGAAACCAAAAATTCGTACCTGGTGTTTGTGGCTGTGGTGTAGCTCCGGGAACCGATGTCGGTTTAGAACCTATCGAATTCGTCGCATTTAAGTAATTCGAACGAAACCATTTCCAACATTTTAAGTAAATAGTAGGATGTATTCGAAGATATTTATCAATTTACCAGCACCGCTCAATGCTGGTCCTTGCGCAGGTAATTTTGGCGATTGTCTTCCAGATTCTCCAGCTCCGGTGAGATCCACCGCCCAATCCCTGTATCCCTGTCCACTCTTACCACCGAGTCCTGGGCTTCCTGGTTTAGGCAACGGAAGATCCAGGCCCACTTCGGTTCCTGGGTTCGGTTTATTTGGTCGCGCATTGTTTCTTATATTTTGTCCGGTTGAAGAAACACCGACCGCCAACGCAGGATCACCTGCGCCGAGTACGATCGATCCTACATTTGGTGGACTATTCGCCAACTTGCTAGTCGTCGGAGTAGCAACTGTACTTGGAGCTGCCGTCGTAGTCGTAGTCGTAGTCGTAGTAGTAGTATCTTTGTCCTTTTTCCAGAACTTCCATCCTGCCTCGACGTTGGCTGAAAGAGCATCGCACATTTTGCAAATTCTTTTACGTACAGGAATTAGCTTAAATTAGTCAAAGTACTTGCAAAGTAGGGCTAAGAAAATGTACATCGTTAAACGTCTGTGATTGTTATCGTTAGCGTGAGATCGCTGTGCCCATGTATTCTAGATATCAAACAATTAGGTTAAATAATAACGATCCATTCTACATATTTGTCCATATAATAGATGATAGCATTAAAAATTGCACACATGTATTAGCGACAGTTTCACAAATCCCGAGATTCTGTTTTCCAAGTTCTCGATTGTACACAGAACTAAGAGTCAGAGCGTGACCCCGCGATAACCTTGTTGATACGCAAAAAAAAAACAAACAAACAAAATACAGCAGAGTATTTAGAACTAGGAATTGTAAAGTGCACGACACAAGATAACACACATTCTTCTTAAACATTCTAACGTTGTGCAATATATTTGTAACGTTAATGTTTTTCTGCAATCTTAGAATTTTCTTATGCCGTATTTCCCAAGCTTTTAAAAGATATACATATATACAGGGTGTCCGAAAACTCGGGGAGGAGCCGGAAATGGGTGGTAGCTGAGACGATTCTGAACAACAATTTCCTTTGCAAAAATGTCGGATGGGGTTTCGTTGAGGAAATATTAAGCGAAAACCCCGACCAATCAGAGCGCGCGTAGACCGTTGGAGCGGCCGCGGTAGCGAAGGCTACGCGCTAGGTCGATGCTTCGATGCACGTCGAGTCACTTGTTCGCGTGCAAGCGCGGCCGCCAGCGTGTAGCCTACGCTACCGCGGCCGCTCCAACGGTCTACACGCGCTCTGATTGGTCGGGGTTTTCGCTTAATATTTCCTTAACGAAACTCCATCCGACATTTTTGCAAAGGAAATTGTTGTTCAGAATCGTCTCAGCTACCCCCCATTTCCGGCTCCTCCCCGACTTTTGGGACACCCTGTATGTATATTTCCGTTGCCTCGAAGAAAAACCATCGAGTTCCTCCTCTTTTCTAAATTGCTAGATTCGAAACTTTCACTATTTATCTAACAAGACTATGGACAATTACATCACTTTTACCCTTTTCGTTACCCAAAAAAACGAGTTACTTTTAAAAAGTAAATATTTACGTGGCTGTCGAATTCGTTTTAAACTGTAATCTCCTTGATCGTTCAAAAGTATTCAAATTATTCTTTCTCGTTGTGTTATTAAACACTTTTCTACGATCTAAAATGAACGCTATAAATTCGACGATAGGATGGGAATGCTCCGTTCATTTTCATAATCGCCGTGTTTTTACGTTGCTACGTTCATCCTGTTTCATGAATGATGAATGTGAAATTCAAACGAATCAGGCATCTTTGAAAAGCTACCGAAATTACATGGTCACAATGAAAAAGTACAAAAATACTTGACTCACCGACTATCAACGATAGCGCCAATATAGTCAGGAACAACGACACCCTTTCAGTTTTCATGATTTCCTGTCAGACAGCTACGAGTGCGTCCTGAGACAGGATCGATGAGATCTAGATCACCGACGCAATACGATCAAGAACGTTCCTGCGACGTAGGCGTTTTAAGACTAACCGAGGTCTCGGCTAGCTCGATTCAGTCCGCCTCCAAGCGATTATACACTTTCCTTCTTGCCTTCTGATTTCTCATTGGCACGTTCGTTCGAGCCTGTGTTAAGGTCGTTGCACGGTCGCACGGCCATTTAATACCGACGAAAATCGGCGTCGATCTTCTTGGAAGAATGATGTCAGCCCCTGATCTTAACCTCACGGTCGATTCCCGAGCTCGATCGTTCCCGCGCCCGACCGACGGTAATATTTCACGTTTAACTAACGTACGTGCAATACGTATAGATACGTACAGAGCGACTTCCTCTCTCAGATGTACCGTTGAAAATCGAGTTAAGGAGAATTAAGAACGCGTTTTATTAACAGTCGGTATGCTCGAACGACATGAAATGAAAACTATACTGCTAGCTTGCCAAAAGGAAAGTGACTCTCTAGACGTCTTCGTCGATAACAATTTCGAAAGATGTAATTCATTATTTCGCTGATCTTGAATCCGTTTAAAAATAAAAATTAAATTAGTAGAAGAATCTTTTTATTTGGAAATAATAAGCATCTAACTTTCTTACATTCTTGGAAGTTTTATATACATATTTACAAGTTACGGTATCGTGGCAATTAGCTTCGACTTCGTAGCTTAATAACACAGGCCGTATCCGCTTTTATGGTACGGATTCACTGTTTATGTATATTTATATTCTGTATCACGAATAATCATGGTTGCAGTGATAGAAACAATGTAATCACGGGGGAAAATCAATTTGCTTTTCCACCGAGCCGAGCGATAAGGGAGTTTCAGCTTCCAATTAAAGGAAAATAAATAGCTGCCCACAGAAGCAAGAGAATCAGCAGAATCACCATCAGTTTCGAGCGGGAGTTGTCCCAACCGACCAGCATGTATTTTGGGCCTCTTTCGGGCTCGTCTGCCAATGAAGACTGAAACGTAACAGGTTTTATTACGAAAAAGCTTGAATAGTATTTCATTTGTAAAATGGCCATAGTCGCGTTAATTACATCGTCGCCTTCTTCGTGAACGTTTAGTCTCTGTGTGCTAAAATTATGGCGCATTTGCGTGGATTTGTCGTGTATATTCTTCGAGTGGCTTTGATCAGACTTGAAGGATATCTTGCTCGATTGAGTTTTCGATGTTCCCGGAGTGTTGAAAGTCGCGAGTCCGATGGTCACGATTTTCTTATCCGTCTCTTTCGACGTATTATCCTTCGAATCCGTGATTTCTTTGCTCGTCGAACCGCTAGTCCCTGTATTTTGCGTCTTCACATCGTCCTCTATGCATCGATTTCGGTTAATTAAGGATTTCATAAGTTTCGAAAATCGTAGAGATCGGCCGATTATCGGCGATAAAATTTCAATTGCGGCTACTGTACCCTTTCCGGGTTCCTTCCGCTCGGAGACGGAGACCCTGCGCTCAGGATCTCGCACTTGAGATAGGAAGCTCTGCAAGTACCGCGCAATCTTTTTCTCCTTTTCCTGCTTCAGATTGCCGAGTCGGTATTTCCTTCGAAGCATCTACCACGATATTGGACTCAACGAACGCTGATCCTTGTTATCTTCGATCGTTCGACAAACAATGCTTCCGTCTATCTTTTGTGCTGCGGAAGACAACGAGATTAGATAAATTAAACGTTCCCAATTAATCTTTTCGAAACGCGTATCTTTTTGCATCGACGAGATTCCGCTGTTTAAGTAACAAAGATCCGCGTCTGCGTTAACAAGAATTACTCACTCGTGTCCTGTACCTTGGTAAACATTTTACAAAAGAGGTTTCGATCGATTCGAGAGTCGGATACCAAGGAACGAGCATAGAATGCCGTCTTCGAGTCTGACGAAATTGCGTCTCGGGTGTGAAATACAACCTTCTGTACTGTTGAGCATCAAAGATTAATCGTCCTTTGCCTTCTCGCATATAAAATTTTCGTGTCCATCAGATTGTCATCGTGTCGGCTGTCGGCCTCAGGATCGTTGCTGGCGAACACACGTTTTGTCTCAGAGCGTCATATATTTGCGTGCAACTTGTAGCAAAGTTCATGCTACTGTTCCCGAAAACTTGAGCCCGAAATCTATCATCTTTAACCGTTATATCTCGTAGCGTGCCCGATTGGAAATCCGATAAAAGTATTGTCCGTAAAGTTTGTTTTCCGTAATTGCAAAAACCTACAAACATCTTATCGGTTTACACTATCTCTGCAGTTGCCACGCATGACTCCTGTACCGAATACCTTAATTCCATAGAACTCGATAAGAATGTAATTCAATTTTATCGCGATATCTCGTAACGTTGCGTTATCGCGTTATCTTTGGATCTGTTCGAGGTTTTGATCTTTTTAACGAATATTTTCATTTATTTCACAGCTGTTTTATGGATCAAGTTTGCTACTCGTATATAGGAAGATGGGATTATACAATCATTTTGTAAGCCGTTACGTTTTATTTAGTTGTATACAAACATTTGATAGAAAAAAAGTCATAGATAATAAAATTAACAATACTAGATGTTCGAACATTTTTCATCGAATAAGATTTAGAAATATTCCTTAATTTTCTGTATATACAAGGATTCGTAAAGCGATTCTCGTGTACGATATAAAAATTGGTCTTGCGTGTAGCACGTGTATAAATATATTTACATTGTTATTATAATACAGTTACGATTGTGTAGAAGTCAAGCAAACGTAAAAGATGGAGACTCGCAACACTTTGCTAGACGCAATGCACTCGAATCAATTTAGCGTAAACGATATGTATTTATTCTGTACGATTTACCGAGTTCTCCGAAGGTACAAAAAACCATAACATCGAGCCGAACAATCCAGAATTTGCTGTACCCTTCGAGTTTTCTTTGGCATAAGATTAACCGCGATTTACTTAGAATGTAGAGTCTCGAGTATGCGTTGATATGTTTTGAAAGTAAGTAAATACTGGTAAAGGAGGGCAACGAGAGAGGATTTTTACCTAGGAACCTTTACCTAGTATTTTATCGTACATTTAATATATTTTCATTCGGATCGTTTTTGGTCGTTCGTTCGGGCCCATCTAATACGACCAAAACGAAAAAAGGATCCCGAAGATCCTTTCTGTTCGCTCCTGATTCCAATCCACCGGGTTGTCTTATGTTCGGTGTACCAGTTTCGTCCCTTACAAGATTTTATACTGTGTGAGGAACGCGTAAACGATCACCCATAGGACTAGAGCAACGAGCACTGAGATTAGGAAGACTGTTTTAAGAAAATGCCAGGGACTTTCCGCTGTACTGGTCCAGCCTTTGCAGCCACCGTTTCTGCATGGGATGCTTCCCGACGGTACAGGTGTCGACGTCGCGACGTTGCTGGTTTTCACCTCTCCAAACTCCATTTCGTCCATGCTCTGCGTTTTTGTCTTTGTCAACTCGAATCGCGACGGACTCTCCATCTGAAATCGATATTGCTAGATATACATTTCCGATGATCCAAGTATCGCACTTTCTCTTTAGAAGCGATACAGTTAAACATTTCATAGATTACATCTAATTAAATTGTTTCTTTTCCGAACTAATGTTATCCGATTAAAATTTTCACTTAAAATCGAATGAACTTTCGACTATGAGTATCGTTTCAATATTCGCGAACTCGATGCGACGATGGTGAATTCAATTTGATCGTCGTTGAGTTTTACGGTCTCTGTCGCGTTGCAGTTTCTGTTGTTTTTGCTTGAACAGTTTGCGTTAAACAGTGGTAACAATTTATGCGCTTGTTAACGGACTTGAATGACGGTAACGAGTCATAGTTGGACATAATTTGTTCGAGACAGAAACTGACTAGCTGCTCGATAGTTATCGGCTAATGGAAAAATATGAAATATGTTGGAAACGATAACCGACGTTCTTAGCGGAGTACAGGCTAGTGATAAGTCGACTATATTTGTTTAATTTGTTTATACAAGTTGTTTTTATTCTCCGAGGTCACCGACGATGATCGATGTAACTGTTGTTAGTCATTTCCAATGAATATTCCATTTCAAAGTATCGGCCATTTTTATCGGCACGTTTAGCGACTAGTTCCGTATTTATTTAAGATATAGAAAGAGATATTAATTACGCGACAAACTTTCCTCGATCCGAATGAAATTTATCTGTTTAACGCGGTTTCGAATCCGGTCCAAAAGATCGGATTGAACTAGATATCGCGACCACAGTTTCCTATTTACCAAACGAGTAATGTCAATGCGTGTTCGTAGAACAAGTTGAGAAGCGCTGTACTATTCGAATGGTTTTACAAAATTTGCGCGATTTCAACGATGGCGTAACATGGTAAAAATAATTTTGTAGAGTCGTAACGAAGATTCGAAGGTCGGATTCGTTCTTCTAAGTGGATTGACCAGTTTTCGAAGCAGACAGTATTTTTACGTCTGCCATAAACAATTGGAGATTCTATTTTAAAAAACGAAGTCGACCTTTAAAGTCTTCTTTACGTCACGATTGTATCTGAAATATTACTCTAACGGGACACCCTGTAGAGACATTTCTCACCTGGTCAAAGTAGGACACGATGGAATATTTTGATGTTCGCGTCAATAATATGATCGTTGAATTTTAATTGATTCCGAAAAATGAAGAAAAAAACAGTTGATGTTGGTTGAATAGTATTTATAAACATTCAGCGAAAGCGTAGGTAAACGACCGCAGTATTCGATAAACCCAATGCTCGATGGTAGTACGTGAAATGCACGTAACAATCATGGACGGGATTTTATTCGACTAATAGATGACTAACTTTGTAATCTAACTGTGTTTTTTTTATTTCTCTTTTTTTAATCTCTTGTGTTTTTTTTATTTCTTTTTTAAAAATTTTGCAGAAAAAAGCGATTACATAATATCGTTAGATCTCGGACAATTATAAGAGAGAAATTTGGAACAACAAGTATGGTCTCTATCGAGCGGCCGGTAACACCGGTATACATCGCGCGCAATCAAAGAATGCGGGTGAATGCACCAAAGTAGTAGGGTAGATAGAAGGAAAGGGCGAGGGGGATATTACGTGTGATTCTGGAATTCGATTCTTGGAAGGGAAAAAATCTTGTTCCAACTCTGGTCCCGTCCCGTATACCAAGCCCATCATGCTGGTGACTTGATTCAAATAGGGATAGTCCCATATAGAGCCTGGGGATGGCACTATCACCATCTGTCAACGAGATTGAATTATTACATTCGACCAAGTATGTGTACGTATGTATGTCGAACGACGCGGCGATATTCCATTAGAATCGTACCAATTTTGCTCTGCGTTTTTCGGTAAGAAATTGGAAAATATGTCTGAAAGAAACACAAGTAGGTCACCGTCGCTAAGCTTTCCCTATCAGTTTCATGGAAATGTAAAGCAATTAAGGCGATTAAAAGCGTCGAGGGCGTCTTTGGAATGCATAGGCTATAATACATAATTGGTTGTATACAGAACTAAAACCGGCTGAACCAGTTTCTAGGACTAAACTTGGCGTAATTTCAATCATTGCAAAACCCGCTGACGCTGTTCTTGAAACGCTCCGTTGTACGAATCGGAAACTTTCGCTCTATTCCGCAATCACGTGGGATTCGAATCGATCAAGCCGCGAACAAATCAGATGTAAATTTCGGACGAAAGAAACACGGTTCGTTTCAAACGAGCTCTCTCGCGTTCTGAATCACTGTTGTACGGAAGGTCGTGTCGTAATTGATCGGGTCAATGATTCGTCAACTCCGTCCGATTTAACGGTAAAGGTCGTTTTTATACGTACTTACGCGTTAGAGTATCCGATATATGTAGATTCCCCGGGTTACACGGAGTTTCGAAGAAAGTAATCACGGTGTATAGGCGCACTTACGTTATCAAACATGTATCTGTACTTTCTGATGTGACGACTTCCGTTGTCGTCCATACTTCCAATGGGCATCGCTAAGGCTCACATTGACCACACTTTTGCTCCATTTTTTTTTAAACGAGATGGGTTTATCATACTAACGAAAGAGTTTCAACAACGAAGAACGATAACGAGAATCAACAGAGTTAGTTTTCCATACAATTCAGTCTGGAATGCACGAAAGAGCGTAGTATACTCGCGTACGGCACCGCAGGAACTGGCCAGTTACGCCAAACGGGGCTCATTATCAGACCTTATCAGCCTCGACCCCTGATCCTTCGTTATCGATAAGCTGCTCCCGTATGAAGATCGCCGCCGCTGCATTTTAATCTACCAGTGGATCGGCCGGAGGAGGCTTGACCATCTTCATCGATTATCTCGCCTAGTTTTACGCGATTCGATAAATGATCAAAAAACTAAAATGAAATAATAGCCGTATCGGTGTTTGTGTCTTTTGAAAAATCGCAGCGTTGGAAGCGATCGAGTAACGACCGACTCGGTTTTTTAGTACAAAGTATCGGAATCGTTATGCAAGCGGATGTGCAACAGGTCTCAAGGACGCATCGGCTGATTCTTCGCGATGACAGTACTAGGATACCTTGCGTAATCTGGTGAAGCTCATGTTCCGCAACACAGGTAGTAAAGTTGTCGGTTCGAGAAAAAGTTTGTTGTTCAAAAATGGATTCATCGAGGCATATCGCGTCAACGCCGAGGATACGAATGCTCGGTTTGATCGATTACGTCGAAATTTAACCCCATGGGAAACACGTGACACCGCGAATTGGCACGATCAAATCGAAGCGAGTCGACAAATGATTGTGTCGAGCCGGCTTCGTAACAGTTTTCTTTTCTATTATTTCCGAGCTTTTCTCCGACTTGACTTTTATTCGAGGAACTCTCTTGGATAATTAGGAACGAGAAGGTGAAAGTGTCGAACAATCCTCGTGGCACGTATATCAGTGCGCGATGAAAGTTGTTGGCTTTTCAGAGATCCAAGAGGCTATCGTTGCGAATGCCGAACGTGTCGTATCGATGATTATGCGTCATTGTTTTTTCTACTTGAAAATACACATACACTCGAACGAGTGATCGTGTACGGAACCTAGCCATCTTCGACAGTTCACAACGTTCGAGCAAAAAAAAAAAAAAATATACATGTCGAATTGAGTAACCTACTCCTTTTTCCAAGTCTGTTAAAAATATTTGCACTTATCGTTACGACACCGTATACAAACATTATTAAGATCGTTTCGAAGATGTTTTCCTTGTAAGGAGGAATCGAAATGGGCCGTGATTATCTCTCTCCTATTCGCGATTAGTACGACGCATCGACAAGGTCGCATAACGATAAAAACCGTAGAAAGCAAAGCGGAGGAACGCGCTAGCGATTCATAGAAAATTGAAAAAATGTGTAGCGCGTATCGTCGTCGAGATGCGATTTATCCGAAAAAAAGGTTTGTGCTCTCACCTGTTGCGGATGCCAAGTGTGTTGAAAAAAACTTTTGAAGCACCTCATGCTAGATGGCATTCTTTCACCTTTTCCGATCACCTTATTGTGAATTTTGGGAAATACTTTCCCTTTGTTTGCTTAGATACTCGAAAGCTGTTCTCGATCAAAGTTGAATAAAATTTCGTATACACAAACGTTTACTTTTGTCGAAATTTCATCACTGAAACGTCTTTGTTGCTTCGAAATTTCAAACTTGTAACTCTAGAGATATCACCGACTTTTCAACACCGCCATGCACCCTAAACACTATGGTGCTCTAATCAGAGACGAACTGCGACGGAACTGCAAGGTGCAGTTGCATCTATGCGACTGATCGCCAGGCGAAAGTTTCGAAGCGTACGCGACGGTGCGCACTCAACTAATGAAGTGCGAGCCGATAGCGAGAGGATTCGTACGAATGCTTTCAACGTTGGGCTGCTCAAACCTATCCGTGTTACGGACGTTGGTTATCCAGAAGACACTGGACGATGTACAAGTTGATTCGAAAACCTAGACGTCTAGTCAGCGACGCCGGATAGTAATAGCGTTAACATCGGAGTTGGGCAACGATTACTTTGCGATCATTTTTCTGATAATTCTTTTAATACCGAATAATTTGGCCTTTCGAACTTGAAGTTACGTTACGACACGATTCGAGTTGTTTGACATTTGCCAAGACGACATTCTACGTATAGAGTACCGAGATAATAGAGTAACGGGATCTTGAAATTTCTGCTGCAGCAAATGCCACGGTAAATTGAATGCCGCGAATACGCGGCCCACTTTTCTTATTGTCCAAGAGACTTTATTGCAATTGAAACGCAAAGTTGTGCACGGTATGTTACGAGTTACGAGTACACTAGTTTTAATTACGAGCAAATCATAACGCTACGAAAATGAACAATTAGACAGTTTTGCCTCTATTTTTTGATTGCGAAATCGGTGAATGAAGGCTGGGATATGTCCTTCTCGTTTCGAAATTCCGTCTTGTCTATCGCCGACTGAGGACTTCCGGTATATCGAAGCCAATTTTTCCTGTAAGAAAGTGTATTGTATTAGAACCAAGATTGGCACACCCCTTGATATATTTTTTTATATATTTTACAAAACTTACATTTCTTCGATTTTATTTCGTTCTCCTTCGAGATGTCCGACGACCGTGCCTTGGTCGGTGTTCATGCACCATCCGGTCAAGCTTAATTCTTTGCCACGTTTTTGGGTGTACTGTATTAGTCGGAAAACGTTGAGTGATTTAGATCGAATCTAATAAATTCTTGAAAGAAATTATTTAATTTGTTTTATTACGTTTCATCATACCGTAGAACACTGCGTGATCGATATAGCTGAATGTTTGGTTTCTTAATAAGCATTAGTCGTACAAATATGAATGAGAGTAGGAACTTGTTCGGCTAACTATGTACATTACTCGAAAAAATGGAGCAAATTGTATTTCTTAAATCGCTCTTCACAGAGTAACTGATTTTTCGATTATAGAGCAGCGCGTCGATAACTACAAAGTAACAGCTACGTCTGTCAGATGTCACGTCGGTACAAACTAGTCCGCAAACTTGTGTCTCTGCGTTTCGAGTTATTTACTTAACGTTTATTAGCGAGCGCATTACTTACCTTTCTAAAGAAGACACCTTTGAAGAAAAAAAATTAGTCGTTAAAATCGTCGTATTCTTACGTAGGACAAAAATAATCTCTTACCTTGTACGGTTCCATATACTTCGAAGTCGACAGCGATTAGTTTCGACATTGTCGAATGCGTATCTTGCGATGCTACTTCCGACAACGTTGACGATACGAGGAGGAAACAGAAAACGCGTTTAAGGTATTTCTCGATTAATATTTGATCATTATTCGACGAAACTATAAACATATCTCAGTCGATTCGTGAAATAATATTTGACTAGATGTCGCTAGTCGAGATCGTATCAGCTGTTCCGGCTGGTTATAGCGGTATCCTTGGAAACTATTCTCGGTGCTTTTAAACGAGAATTAAATTCAATTTAGGATTCGAACAGGGTTGAATAGTGATCAAGCTTACGTTCTCTAATCTGTAGAATCTGAAATTTAACTCGAATCTACGCTAAGAGTACGGTACTGTTGTTGTAATCGAAGTTTCGTAGATTAAATAAGTTAATTAAAGCTAAACACCTTTTATTTATCCGCTTTAATTTGATCTTATTGTTAGTGTGATATTCCATATGTAAAACTGTAACAAGTTTTCAGTTTTGTAAAAGACAAGCAAAAAGTTAATACGTTTGCCGATTCCATTGACAATTAATTAAATCACTTATTAGGTACGCACATGAACAAGCAAATCGCTAGCAAGCGTGTCAAAATGATTTGTTTTAATTTAAAAATCAAATTCCATTTGCACATGCCTGTCGCTAATCGTGATTACGTATCCGTGCTGGTATTGGTCGATGTTGCGAAGCGTGCGCATGAAACGTGCGACAGTGGCGTCGCAAATTATTTTATAGACAAATAAGACATCTGCCTAGAATTCCGTTCAAAGCGAGTTTTCAAATGCAATGTTTCAAAAAGTCATTGTTGTTATTTGTAAACAATTCACGACATAGTCTATTCGAAAACATTCGGTTAATACAAGAAATATCGACCTTGCCGAATCGGAAGTTGTAGAGTACGTATGCGCAATGTATTCCCGTTGTACTACAATATGTATATTAGCGATTGACAAAATTCTTATTCTTTACCTTATTCATAACAAGTAAGAGAAATTTTATTATTCGATCAAATACGTCGCTGTATGTTAGTTTGATCGTAACTTGTTTACTTTTGTTTCAACGGTCGATTTTAGTTGGGTCCCGTGCAGGTATAATTCGCCACTGGCGTACCAATGGAAAAGTCGCCAAGTACGCAGCCGTATAAGTTGTCCCCACGTCCCCACTGCGACCACCGCGCCAGTCTTAGCCTCAGCCCTCAGCAGTCTGTCTTGTGCAGTCTTGCTCAGTTTCAGGTCACGGTTAATACGTTTCGGTTGTTTACGCGCTCGTTTTCCTTCGTACGCGCGATTATTCGACGCGAAGCTCGCACAAAATACCCAGCCAGCTAATCAATCTATCGTGACCGAGTCGGTATGTCGTACATACCTCGTTCCATCGGTTCTATTCAGCTTTAAAAGTCACTCGGGAATCGGGAATACACTGGCATCGCGCTATGATAAACGATCGAGTGCAATCGAATGCGCGTCGTTTCAACGAAAACATCCGCGACATTTGATCGTCAGAAAGTTGTTTCGTCGACGCAAGATAAACTACCGACGAACGTGTGCGATAAATTGACGCGTCAGTGGTTACCACCGGGAATCGGTCGATGAGGTTAGGGTGGAGGAGTATTTGCGCGACGAAAATTCGGATACGCGATGATGCGGCTCTGACAGTTGGTCCGTATCGCAACGTTGCGTTGATACGTCGCTCGACGAAAGGTTGTGTGCAGTGCTCGAGGGCAACACGATCGGCGGTGATTTTGACAGCGCACCGTTAGAAGTGAGGTTATAATACGCGGGAGGTGGTGCGACGTCGCGTAGTGCGTGTACGTGTGCGTATGCGTGTGCGTGGTGTGCACGGAGGACAACACGGCGATAAAACGATGACGGCGATGTTAGTGTCCGTGGCAGAGCTGTCGAACATTTTCTTCGTACTCGCGGTCTCGATATGCTTCTGCGGAGTCTTTCTATTCATTATCAGGTATTTATGACTTTTTTCTACGATTTAACTCGTATTCTTAACCGTTTTATTGTTCGACATCCACACGCAGTAACACAAATGTTACTAATAATACGATCGAGACCCATACGTTGCTCTCGTATCGTTATTCGAACAATCGTTTAGTTGGCCGAACGTAAAAAATAGAACAGGTTTTCAGCTGTAAAAAGTACATATCGTGTGCGGCTTTCGGATTTTCACCAAAACAGATATCAAACCACCGTGTCATCGACACTTAACATTTTCTTAATTATCTTTCGGAAGATTTTAAACGTTCTCTTGGTGAAATTAAATTTATCAGGTCACAGCTACTTTCAGATATTTGTCAGTATCTCTCGAAAGTAGGTTAGCGGAAGTTGAGTTTTTGCACAACTTTTGTACACAGCATTACCATGTAATTACTTTGACATTATAAACGATTCATGTTGACGGTAATTCAAATGTCACAATTAATAGAGAAGTCCATCGTTTAAATACATTGAACTTTGAGAATCGTGACATACAGGATGTCCCATTAGAAATTCTAACCCTTTTGTTAGAGTAGTAGTCTCTCGCTTAAAGATTAACTCTGTAATCGGATCGCGAAATATTGTGCGCGTAATTAACAATATTTGTGGATAGATTAGCGACTAATGTCGTTATCCCTATTCTTGGATTGCACAACATTCCACGATTGTGCAATACACGCTATTCGCTGAATTATGCCTCCTTTTTGGCCGTTTCGTTTATGGCGAGCAGAGCGCGTCTTTCAAATTTACTCGCGCTATTGATTTTTGAAATTATTGGTGATATGTGGTAAATCCAATCCGGTTTCTAACGAAAAACGTAAAAGGAAGAACGAAGTTTTCGTTTTTAGTTTTGGCAGCCGCAATGACTTGGAGGCCAACTTGATTTCTTACGCACTTTTCCTTAACTCACCGATCCCATAATAGGTAGCTTTTTGTTATCCGTTTGTTTTGATTCCCGCTTCAGTCGACGATCGTTCGAGATGAACGCTAAACCTTAACCGAAATCTGTGGCAACGAATCATTCTCAAGGTCGCTAAGGTCCAGGCCACATCCTACTCGAAATTTCAAGACCGCTGAATGTGTTTATCGTGTTTACAACGATAGCAAGAAACCGACGAGTTTGATCATTATCTAGCGCAAGGTAGTTTCTCATGGTGCCTATTACCTCGTAACATTTTTAACGATGGACACACGCTTGAATCGGGTCTTCTATAAATAATATGACTGGACGAGTTTGGTTCACAGATCGCACGATGAGATTTCGTCTGGTGGCACTCAAATCACTCGACAACCGTCACGTTTTCTACGTGTAAGCAGAATTCTTTTTTTTTTTTTTCCTTTTACGTGTGGACACGTCTTCCCAATTTCGGAAAGAATTTCTAAATCGGTCCAAGCCGTAGGTAATTGAAACTCGCTACCAGCAAGAGTCATTCGCCAGGAATATTCTGCTCCTACATCCGTGAAAGGTTAACATCCAGAAATTCATTGTCGAGACTGTTGCGTTCCATTCTCATTGGCTAGGGAATAATTTGCAACACTACGATGTTGCGATACGTGCACACGTCCTCATGGCCGCGGGGTTATTGGCAGTCGAATAATGCGCGCGGTCGTTCGCACCTTGATTCATTCAAAAGGATGAATAGCACAGTGTTCGCTAATTCGATTAATCACAGATGGTCAAACGATTGTGCTGTGTCTTCTCGAATACAACAATTATAACTCTTTACTGTATACGTACAAATTGTTGTTTGTCATTTTCGTAAAGACGTACGTCATTCGATCGTTGAATCGACATTGTTAGAAAAAACGATCGATAATTTTTAGATTACCTAGAAACAAGAGCGATACTGTGGAGCGGTATTAGCTTTCTTACGAAACTCGTTTGGGTAGTACGGAGGAGTGAATACAGTAGGATTTTTGAAATCGGCGGCGTTTTCACTTGGTCCCGCGAGCTTTCGCAACGAACGCGGAAGACAAAGAGATAAAGTTTACGTAGAAATCGATGTAAAAGCGTATATAGCGAAATGAGGGCACCTTTCTTTCGAGAACCGTCGTACTTGACATGTATTACCGGATTCCGTATCTCAGTTATTCGAGTATCCCTAGCGAGCAATCGTTATTTAGTATTTACTGGTTTATAAGTTGAAAGTTAAGAAGGAAATGTCAAAGTAAGGAAGATGATGCGTATTTTCTTTTTTTTTTCTTTTTTCTTTTTTCTTTTTTTTTTCGAGTATCGTGACGGACGACGCTTTTCTGTTTTTCTTCGAGAAAGTGTGGTGACGTCGATAGAAGCATGAGAAATATTACAGAACCAGTCTCGATACGTGAATTTCGAACCCGTTACTTGCTACGTGCCGATACAAAAAATTAGTTTACTGTTACTTCTTCGGACCACCTAATCGTCTCGAACTCGCACGGGACATTGCATGCCTGCACGCGGGATCATGTTCTCATCCTTGTACATAGAATATAATTAAACATTTTTCAGAATGAATCATGCACCAGATTTCGAATAATAAATCGATTACCTCGTTCGGAAACGTGACCTAAATATCATATTTCGAAGAATGAACGAAATTATTATTATTATTATTATCATTTCGTCGATAACGTTTAAACGATTTGATATGTTGTTTGGGAAAAACCGTTTGGCCTCTAATCGCGTGTCTTTTCAAGATCAGTGAAAGTGTTATTAAATTTTCTCGTTGTATACTTCATTGAAAACTGAGTTGCTCGAACCGTTTACACGGTTTGTACTTTATACATATATATATATGAATACATAGATGTACTTTTTATGGATCGAATTGAGTAAAAGAATTTGTAATGTCCAAGAAAACGGTCGACGGCATTATTAAAAAGTAGGGTACCATTCCTTTGTGCAGGAACATGATCGTACTTCGTATTCACGGCGACGAATTGATGTTTGGCGGGAGTGGAAGCGTAATGACACATTCGCCACGCATACCTCAGATGGAGATGATGAAGGTCCACATTCCCTTCACCTTCAAGCTTCACGAAAGTTTCAAGAGCACTTACGCCGGTGAGTCTAGTCAACGTATACCCTGCTTTACTATTTTACCTTTCCTTTTACTCTGGTTTTACTACTCAACGAGACGAACGAAGAAATCACAAACAATGTTCGAATAAATGATATATTTGAAAACTAACTAAAAGTATAAGACAATTTCTACGTTTAATTTAAACTGGATATAAGCGTAACGCTGGAAAGTCGAATTCTTCTGTCGATCGTATTATAGATCGAGTCTATTTTTATATAGTATTTAATTCTTGTTGCGATATAATAGGGAGAACCAGTTTGATGCGAATAAGTTGTAGCAAGAAAAAGTAATAATCGAAAAACCGGTTTAGCTTTTTCGAGGTATTCTTGTATTAATTTTCTCTAACTTTTAATGAGAATTCTTTAAATTTGCGTCTTGTTAATTTCGATTAAAAAGCTCCTCTCGTTAAAGGCATTCGAATATATTTCGCGTATGGAAAATTATCGTCACCTTTCAAGATCAGATCAAAATTATATCTCGCGCGGTTTCATGTCCAAACGCGTGAACGTGTCCTGCCTGCGTTTCGTATCATTTTCATAGGATTAGTATTCAGCGGCGTATGAACTGTCGTCAAAATTCACGCGTCGTTTGGTTCGGCCGAGGATACAGGGTGTCTCTAAAAGAAAAAAAAAAATTGTAAGAAAGGTGATTTTGTACGGTAAAATGGTGGTGTATCTATCGAATGAAACAGGCATTTGTAATCATTCGTTGATAAGTTTTAAAACAAAGAAGGAATTTTTTGTTCCGTTAGGTATGTATAAAAAACAAGAGCGAGGTTCTCGATAAGTTCGTTGAACTAGATTCGATCCGATACAGAAGACTCGTTTTGCTCAATTTTAGCGCTCGAACCACCTTTCTGGCGGAGTCTGTTGTTTCTAGGAGACACCATGTATAATAATAGTAGCGGAGCCGAGGGTCTAACTGTTCTTCTCGCTTGCAAATTACGCGACGGGCAATTTTTAAGCGAATACACGGTTTAGGTTCTGGTTCTCCAAGAATACACGGGGTCGTATTTCGCAAGTCGCCGCCGGCGGGTTAATTAACTTAAAAGAGCAAAGCCTGTATGTTGAACCGAGCCGAAAGTGGGTTACAGACACGCATAAGGAGAAAAAAAGACGACTCCCCTTCCCCATCCCTCGCACCCGCTATCCTCGTAATTAGTATGCAGGTGTTAAGGCACCCGAAGTTACGAAACGTTACCTTGACCGCTTGGCCAGGTCATCGTGAGTCATTTAACCTGTGGAGACGGTAGTCGACGCAAGGGCAGCGTGTATCATCTCAAAATTTAATTGTTTTACATGGTATATTTTTTATTTTTTTTTTTTATCTTTAATGTATTCGGTACATCGTACGCTAAATTTATGCGAAAGATATGCACCGATACAAAATAAAACAACATTTTCCATATCGATATACATCGCAAATGCATATAAAATCTGCGCTCTATTAATCATAAATCAATAAGAATTGGTGTCAATTAGTTTTTATTTCGGTCAAGCTACCGGTACTCGAACTAATCATACTCTCTCAAAGATTTGTTTGGAAGTTGCGACACGAGTTAAAACCTTTCGTGTCTCCCGAACGTACGAGGAAAACCGATACGTAACGATAACGTATTCCAATAAAAACACGGGATTCATCGATGGAACGCGAGTATGTCACGTCGCGTAGTCGGTGATTTACGTTCGACGCTCGATGATCCTCGATAAATTGATTACACCGCGATTCGTGAGGTCGCGGGCATGTTTATTATATGCGCGACTAGATTCTGTAGCCTTGCGGGTCCATCTTGTAGTTTATTCGAACCGCGGTGCACGTCTGCGATGACACGACGGAACGGAGCACGTGTTCCCGGTTGAATCGATTCGATCACGCGCGCATCGAGTCGCGTGCTAATGGAACTGCACAATTGATCGGCAATCGGTATGATGGGCGTGAAATTTGTTCCGGTAGCGTTCTCGTCGGTGATCAGCTTCGCGAAATTTTTGACAATTTAACCGAACGATACTTAATATAAGATGCGCGCACTCTCTCGATCGCGTAACCCGAACACCGACATTCAAAGTTGTCGGTACCGCTGATAATATTACGTATATTCCATTCTTTGATCTAGGGATGCTAAACTCGCTTAAAAGTACACGCGTGTCATTACCTTGAGCTAGAAATAAATGACGCATCGCACCAATACCACGCGCTACGGTTATTTGTAAATATTGCTTTATGCGTATGTATGTATATGTACCTGGAATTCGGCCCTTTCAAACGAATTCTCTTTATTTTATGACCGCGTTCTGAGAATTTGTCTTCCGCAACTACCGTGGCATTGACGGTATGGATAACCATCGTACGATACGGTATTACTACGACACAGTTTCGCTCTATCACGGTTAAAGAATTGCGGCAAATCTTGCGTAATATGTTTTTACGCTCGATGTAGATTTTCAACATTGTAATTGTGTTTGTACAGAATAATTTTCTTTATCGGAATTTAATATAATTTGTGTGTCGCGAGACGAGCCGAAGACGGAGCTCGGTGGAAACGTTGCAAGGCAAGGGCAGAGCGTTTTCGAATTCCAGGCCCGTAGTCAAAGGTGACCATGTAAAAATCGTGAGGTTCGATAACAGAGTTTAGTCTCGTTCATCGAGGACGGCGTTCTCTCGCTGCGTTACGTAAGTTACGTGACAATAGGTGAAACAATTTCCACTCGGCCGTATCCGATGCAGGCATTATTAATAAACTCGCAGGATCGGGTGCTCGCTCGTTGCACGTGTTTCTTACCCTTCAAAAGCTTTGACACGACTGCACGTTTGCAAACGACTGGAAATGGAAACTCTCTGTAATGAGAATTCCTCGACCGAGTCATTTATTACGTGTTTCTCAATTATTGTTTTACTACCCGACACAATAACGACAGTTCGCGTTAATAATCAACGAGAGTTTGTCAAAGCATTGATACTCGGCCACGATGGAATCAAAGTGGCTCTTTCAATGTTCCCATCAAACTCGAACCTTGTACTAATTATATGTACTATGTATATACGACTGTTGATTTACACGAAGGATACTGTTTCGACTCGTCGTTTCTCTTTTTTCCCTTTTCTTTTTTTTCTTTTCATATTTTACGTGGAACGCAGAATATCAACCAAAGCGTTGTTGGCATTTTAGCGTGGAAATATGTTCGTCTCTAGGTATCTTTCGACGAGATGTTCAGACCAAGGAGCTATCCCATAGACATTGAGTAACGCGTAATCGCGATTGAATCGGTAGAGAAGAGGAGCTTGTGGTCCAAGTTACGAAAGGTAAGCCGAACCGGTGGCGTAACGTCGCGAGTCGATTGCAAGATTCCTTCGTCGAGAGAAATAAGCGTCGCGATCATTGGCTGATACGGAATCTCTCGGTCCTCGTTCTTTTGAATGGCGTTTTCGAAACACCTACGTTTCGAGCGCCTGCGATAATTTACGCGTATCCGTTCGACTCGACTAGCTCGTTAAGATCGCAACGAAACGTTTAATCAGGGCCGAACGAAGGCGTTAAGTTTAGAGTAAAATTCTTATCTACTCGTAATCGTATCAAATATTAAATTCCTTTGTAATCTATGTACATCGTATCCTTGTTAAATTTGTAGAAACAGGTGTAATTTGCCGTTGGTTCCCTTTCTCTTTCTGAAAACGCTATCGCGAGTTTCGTGGTACTATAGCCTAAATGCCTATGGAATCTTAATACGATCCTGCATGGAACTCTCGGGACCCAAGAGAAAATGCGAAACTGCTGTAACCTATTGCCAAACCGTGCGCGTTCGTGTTGATTCAGAAGGTTAGACATCGTACACTTAGGATACGCGATGTTAATGTCGTGCCGAGTACTGTCACCTTTTCACATTACGATGTTCGGAGATACAAAGACAGCAGCGTTAAGCACAAGCTCTTCAACAGAGTTTTGGAAAATTTTAGTTGATTACGTATAAAAATGCCAGTTTTATATGTTTTATCGCCCGTGACTTTCTTTCCCTTTTTGTTGTTGCCTCTTCCATTCCAATTTATGTGCGATCGTTCTAGATTGTATTTTCTTTTCCTGGTCGCGTTTTTAATTTGCTCTTTTCTTTTCTCGTGAAAAACTCGATAAGAAAGGTGCTGACAAACAAACCATACGTTTTTAGGAAATCTTGTCCGCGCATACGAGCAACGTACCGTAACATCGTAATGCAACATCCTGTCGAATCATTGTTACGTAATTGCTGGTCGCATAAAAAGAGAAAAGACACGCGCACAGGGGCATCATTTTTTAGACGCGCGTTTCTGGTCGGTTGCACGAAATGAGCTCGATGACTGCAATTACGTCTATGCCTCGTACACATATACATATACTTTCATTCTTGTTCTCACAATACGTAATAGTCGCTTTTATTACGAGTGAAAAACTGGTCCATTCCAATGCCTTTAATGCCTGAAAGCAAACAATTTCGCGCTTTTTTTTTGTATTCGTCGTTACATTCCAAATGAAAGGAACGAAATTTAGAGTCTTTCAACGATAAAGTTCTCGTTAATGTACAATGTTCGAATGTACATATTCGCGTCTTTGTTGATACGCGATGATTTTCTCACGATTATCCGTGCTAATTTTGCTTTATCGGTTTCTTCATTGTTTCGTCATTGGCAACAGAAACACGTAATCGAGCGTTTTTTAATATCTCGATCGCGTAACTCTCGGAGCGAATCTTTGACTTTGAATCGTCAGCTCAAGTATTACAAGCTTGGTCAACTTGGTGCTCTTTTCCGGTTAGACGCTCCCCGTCGGTTAGATCTCCTTTCCATGCATACAAAACTGGGTATCTATAGTTACCTATATGTATATGAAAGTTAACGTATTTCGCACGAGGCGAGCGAAAAGTTTCGTGGCTTCTTAACGCCTCGTTACTCCATAGAAAAAATATGCAAAGAGTATTAGCGCGAGGGAGAGAAATTTGCGCAAACACGCCGAAAGCATTTTTACATCTATATGCAGTGTACATACATATGCAGTATACCACGTCTCGTCGTTTGCGATGCAAGAGTACGTTTCTTTCGTAAAATGAAGACTCTCGCGCGCTAACAAAGAAATATTTTTTCACATCGTGTTGTCTCTCTTTGTCTCGTGATCGGTTCAAGCCTGCACGTTCGCACGAATCACGTACAAGTATTTATTCTATACATCGTGGCTTTCTATCGCTGTTAATTGTAACGCTACTCTGTTTGATATTACACAAATTACGCGCGTCCGCAAAATTTAAAGATCTCGAGGATACAGAAATAATCGTAGAAGGTCGATGAAAGGAAAAAAAGCCTGGAAAGCTGATCGTTCGACCGAGTTAAAGTCTCAAATCGTAAACCTTGTAAATAAAGACAGGTTGTAAAACTGAGCAGAAGGAGAGATTTTAAAGACAGGCGCTACTTACGAGGCTACTTGTAAATGTTGATAAAAGAATAAACGACCGGTGACTCGATCATTTATCGCGTCCCGCGAATCGAAGCGTAAAACGTACGAAGCTCTTGTTAATAAAATGTCTGTTAGAGGCGATTCTAAACGAATGTACCACGTAAAGGGAAATAACGTCGTAACAGGAATAACGGAATCGCGATCATTGCAAAGGTCGATGCACCGAGTAACGAGACTTATGACTTGTAATCGAATGCTAAGAATTATTAGTTATACCGAGTCTTTTAATAAAATAGCATTTAGAAATGATAACGCTAACGATCGAGAAGGAAGTAGCATTAGCGGCGGTAGGATAAGCAAACGGTAAAAGCAAACAGCGGGAACATTCTGTAATGTTTTGGCAGACCGATAAGAAAATATTTAGAGAACCAAGTACGGAGTGACGCATAAATGAAACATCGGTGGTCGAGGTTGGGGGAAACGTGCCCAAACAAAGGAACTAATTGAAACACTTTGCATGCGAAGACAATAGATACCGAGAGATCCCCGGCACGCCGCGCACCGTGAAAACTTAAATAAGCGCGCGGTCTGACTCATTTTCAGAATCGATTTTCTTTGCCAGGATATTGCGCGCGAGAAACATTGCATTCTATATTCGTCTATCGTCCTTCGCGTTAACGATAAATCCCTTTAATTTAATAAATAGAATGATATTCGAGCGAGACGTATCGGGGCCAATCGCTGCGTTTGTTTGCCATTTTTCCCATAGATTGTAGCGATCGCGCTCAGCATTTCTCGCAAAGAGAGAAAATACATACAGTCCCGGTCCCGACTTGCCTACGTGACTATCTCAAGCGTAGAACAATCAAGGCCGACGCGAACGATCGGACATGCTACGCCCATTTATATCGATCTCCTGTCTCTTGTTTTTTCTTTAGAAAAGACTGGTCGACGAGATAAGAAAGAATGAATCGAACGCAATCGAATCATCGTTTTACACGTTAAAGGCAACATAAGACATGAGAAATGTAGAAGACCGTGACCGTCAAAGAATCAGGCCCCACATTGAGAACAAGGTTTTGAGGATGCGATTTCTCATTGTCAGTAGCGAATGTCGTACCATGACCGCTCTTCCATCTCATATGTCGCGTTGTGCGGTGAATCGTGCGTAAAAGTCGATGAAATTTGTTCCAACCGAGTCGCGCGTGGTTATCCTGCTTCTTCTTGGAATTGCCAACTCGGAGCGAGCCTCGATATTATCTTGGACAGGTGATTCGAGTTAATGATGAATCATTGGAGCACAAAAGTAAAAGTATCCCACTCGCTCTGACCGTTTCTCGCTTGCTCTCGCTGTTTCACGCTCACTTCTGTAATATAAATTTAACTCGATCCTTTCGTACCCGTTTGAATTCGAATTCGAATATAATCTCAAATTATGTGACCTCTGACGTTTATTTTCTTCGATACACGATCGTTACGCTGAGCACGTTTGCATTCGGTCAGCTTCTAAACGTAGAAAATGCCATTTGGGTTCGGCCGAACGTCCGAAGCTCTCTCGAGCGAGTAAAATGCTCGGATTTCCACGAGCAGTTGGTGCAACCAGGTGAACGGATTAGCCGGCTTACCCGGATTATGCAACGACATTTGATAATTGTCCGCTCCACATAACTACTCCCATCGTTTTTCTTTTTTTTTTTTTTTTACATATCCTCTAAAGTAGAAATTCTCAATGGAAGCCACGTATTCCCCCTTCTCCTCGCCAGGAGAAGAAGGAGACACGAATTATTCTCACCATTGTTTATCTTTAATTATCGCGAGCCACGCATGTCGACGAAGTCTTCCCGACATAAACGAGTCCGATATTACACGTAAACGTGCGATAGAGTATTCATAGTATCGAAGGGGTGATCTCGCACATCTGCAGTCGAAATCTTGCTTCGAAAGTAAGCCGGTAAACTGTTGTCTGGAATTTGGGTTAATTGCAGTTCGTTAAATCGAACAGTTCGGACTTGAACATTCTCGACTTGTCAGCATCCGGTGTGTATTAAGTTAAGAACCAGTTTTCAACCGAGTAAACGGTATATTACGACCGCCGTGATCCATTTATCGTTTCACAGATGCAATATTGGACGTAACTTCGCCTTGCATCTTGGTTGGGTGCAACGCGTCTGTGCAGTTGTACTCTGTATGGCCTTTCACCGAAGTACACACCGCGCCCGATCGCTACATCGTTCGACTGGTTGGTCGTGTGTGTCGTTCGGTTAGGAAGGTTCGCAAACCATGTGCATCCGATTGGCACGTGTCGCATTGGTATTCCGATTGGACTTGCATCGAATTTCCCATCGAGAAGTTGTTTGCAAAATATAGTTGACTCTATGAACCGATATCAGATTTATTCGCGCGCGTACTCGTAAAGTCTACCTCGCAAACTTTCAACCATTATTTGTTTAATATTTTTAACATCGTTTATGGAAACACTGGTACATTTGGCAAATATTTATTGTACAACAAGGATGTTTGTTATCTCGACGCGTTGTTATTTTTCATACGCAATATTTGATCCCGACGCCGACGTTTCCTCGGTTCGTGCTACGGAACAAGTCGCGTTTCCGCGTGCAACTAAAACGCTATCTAAATGTTGCGGATGGTACATGTACATTTTCGTGCGATAACAAGCGATAGGAAATGCAGAATCTCTCGTCGCGTTACATTAATTTTTTTTATCAAAGGAGATTAATTAATTAATTCGCGTTATCTCTTACGTCCGGATAATCGATATCGACGATAACGGAACGGCGCGGGTGCGGCGAGAGAGAGACTCGACGGAAGTTTGGAGATACGATCCGATCATTTCTATGGCGAAGCCAGAAATACGTGTCCTTGTACGCGAATAAAAAGTTTTTGTTCCATTGGCATCGTCGCGATTCTCTGAAATGTCCGATTCGATACTTGGGCTGCGGGACTACCGCGTTGTGGACGATCTGTTCTTGGCAGCTTTCACTTTCGTTCGCACCGGTCTCGCGTGATCTCGAAACAATCTTCTCGACAGTGGCCTCTCCTCGTCCGATTAGAATTTTTAGCTTTGGCGACGAACGCGACAGGAAGAGAGACGAGATGCCCCATTGACGCAAAAATCAATCCCACGCCGACTACGACCGTTTCGTGTCTCCTCCTCGGCATGTGGGTCACGATTTCCCTTCTTTTTTTTTTTTAAATATTTTTGTCACGAGACGACGCGTACGTTTTCCTGCTTGTCGATCAGGAATATTGTATGTGATCGACTACTCGTACAACTACTCGATAACTGCTGTACTTCTTATGGCTATACCGTACATAGTCCCTTGATATAACGATACTAGTCGGATCCGCTTGTTTAGTTATATCGAGAAAAGGTAACGACCTCGTTTGGCTCGCGTTTCAAAAATTTAAGCGAAAGCTACTGTAAAGGTCCAAAAAATCGAGCAAGGCGTTAAAAGGAGGAGGTACGGTGTATGTAGTTCAGAGTACGGGATGCAGCGAATCCGTTGACAGGGTACGCTGTGCCGGTTGACGCACCAAGTAATACAAGTAGAGAGCCTGGAGCAATATGTTACCGTGTCGTCTCGTACCGTGACGTACTCAAAATCATTACATAACAAACCCACTTTCAACTTTTTTCCTCTCGTCTGGCTACAAGATATCTCCACGAGCCAAGGAGGTTTCCAGGTCATGCGTGAGAGGAGAGACCATTATACAGCGATTTCGATTCTAATTTTTGCGAATACTTATTGTCCTTCGCGAAAGAGGAAGAGTAATCTTCGGAATCTACCCTTTTCTCGATTTCTATTCGCGACTGAACAGTTCGATCGTTAAAATAAATATTCCTAAGACCGAAGCAATGTAAATTTCACTTTATTTTTACCATGATACGTTTATGGAAATAAAAATATGCTTGTCTTTTCCTTGTAACAGGATACGAAACCAACACTGATGCATCCCTTTGCTTTCTTTTTCCAGAGGTTGAATGCGAGGTATCGAGTCAAGTGGAATATTCTTTACAAGCAATCTGGGGTGTCAGCATAAGAGAGCTTCACCTGGCGCTTTGGAAACCCTGGAGCACCCTCAGAGACGCATCCTTGAATGGCACTCTTCTTCAAGGCCACGCGCAATACCTCACGCCGCCCCAAACGTATCCTTTGCAAAATGAAACTAATTTTTCATTCATGCGTTAGACTCGACACGTTCCGTTCGTTATCGTCCGAGTCGTATAAAAAATCGTAAATCGCTCGAGGCATGATTTTATCACGATATCAACGACTATTCCTTGACCAGAAAATGCAGTAGACAACCCCACGGGGAGGAAACGCTCAGACTGTCGCTCCCAGCACCAGAATTGGAGTTGGGAACACCCCCTCGTCTTTGCTATCCTTTAGTGATCTTCTTGACGCGCAGGGATAACGGAGATCCGCATCCCGATGAAACCGTGGGTACCTTTTAGCTTTCGTAAAAGTATCGAAAGATCAATGAAATCGATTCAATTTCAATTTCTTGATACTACTCGCGATATTGATTAGCGAAAGATCGATAGGCCACCGGGTCGTGCAAATATTTCTACTTTGCTTCGCAACACGGTGTACAAATACTTTTGCAATGGTTCTATGTTCAATATTGCCAAGGAATGCTTTGAAAACATTGTTTGCACCATCGAATGTTTTCCAAACAAAGCATGTAAGACTTTGACATTTGTAAGTATGTCGCTGCTGTAACAGAAATATTTTGAAAATCATAATGGAATTTCAGTGTTTTAATCGATAATGTTTGGGTTGAAGTTGTTCGAATACTTTCGAGAGCTATCGTGTATCAAGCTTGATCGCCTTACGACTTCTGTTCGTGTCATGAATCATGGCTCGCTAACTTCGGGTTTTTAATCGATCCAAGTGGCTAATGGGTTCAAAAAAGAAAATTGACCGGATGGCGTTCGTTGTCAGTTGGTAATCCGTATACCTCTTAACGCTGTTTGCTTTTCTAAACAAAAGTACCGCTTTGTCCTGATGATTGCTTTGATTTCGTCAGGTGGTACGCGTGTAATGAAATGTCGCGTACGCTTTAAAAGATCGATAACGATAAATTGTGGCTACCCAACCCGTGATTGCCCAAATACCTTTATTACCCTTTCTCTTCGAAGGTGGCACTGGTGAACGTCGTCCACATCAAGGATAGTGTCTGCACGTTACCGACCTCGATTCTGGCACAGTATCTGAAGCAAGCTAACGGCCAGTTATCCTGCCTTAAGGTGAATTTCCTTTCAGTTCTTCTCTTTGGAACGTCTTCCTCGATGACTAATATTAGACGTGTAAATTTTGGTATTCTACACGGTTCGAATACCGACACCTAAAACTAGTACAGTTACCCGAGCTGATTGGCACAGTTTAAGTTGATTAATGTAAAATCCTTTACAACGAGCGCGTTTGTCGATTGGTAGAGCGAGATCAAAGAGACTTGGGCTCTTCTTTGTAGACCATTTCCGATGGACAACATCGGTCACCTATTACAAAACTTTGACCACTCCTCGGCTGGTTCATCGTTAAAATTCGTTTCAAGTGTAAAAAGTGATGGGATATTATTATAAATCATTAAGTATTCGCCAAGGATTTGACTACATAAGGTCGAAAACGTTTTATATTTCAACACGTTTATATGTATCGTATATGTCGGTAAGAAGACTCATCATTTTTAAATCCGTATTCCACCTACTTTTATCCGAGTAAAATCGACCCTATTGTACCAGTTGTAAGTATTTCTCATTGTCGAATTGGACATTGAATTGAACGTTCTAAAAAACAAAAACTACGTATCTAATGAAATAAATTAAATTTGTTTCAGCAACTGTACCTAGCAACGGGCAATTCGACCAACTATGACGAGGGTGATGTGTCCTCGGGATTGGGCTCAGCTCTGGCGCTCGCAGAACCATGCAACAACAACGGTAGTTCGACGAGAGGTGCGTTGGTTGCTTCCGGCACTGGCGATCCCGAAGGATCGCTTTGGAACACGGCGGGAGAGCAGCTATGCGTTGTTTGCCAATATTTTCCTCTGTCGCGCGCATTATTGCCTTGCAGGCACACGTGTATCTGCGCCTCGTGTTTCGGGAAGCTCGACCGGTGTCCCATGTGCAGAAGCCCGATAAAGAGTTATTTCTGCATCAGGGGCGAAGAATACATGCCTCTCGAGACTGAGATCAATCCCTGCAAACAAAGGCAATCGAGTCACGGACCTACTCACTGGCTACACGATTGGAACGACAGGCTCACCGATTTCCTTGGATTTGCACGATAGGAGAATGCTCTACGCCAAGTTAATAGCTGTTTTTCTACGTGGCAGTCGATTCGATTCGGAGAGTGTGTCGTTCGGTCGAAGAACAACATTTAACTCTCTCTAATCCATTAGGAGTCCGATAACTAAATCACAGATAGAGCAAGACACCCATTTTATTCTAAATTGGTACGATCCAAGAACTACGATAGGGATTATCGAATTGTTCTTCGATTTAAACTTTCAGCATGATGGAATGGGCGACGTGAACGTGAACTTGGACGATGTTGAAGAATACGCATAAACCGATCGTTCAAAAATATTTCTATCGAGTTTCACTCTTCGCCATGTCGATGAATCTATACATAGACTCTGTTATGAGAAATACGTTACACTGTCGTTGTAACTTTTTCATTATTTTTCGTGTTTTTGTTTTTACAATTGAGCGCGATTTCGAAGACAAGACACGGACACTTGGTTGGCGGTTAAGATAAAAGAAGAATGAAAACGAGTGAAAAACTTTGCGATAGTGTCCTGGTAAACGGACGAGAGAAAGGAAAATATTCGATAACGAAAAGAGGAGTTTCTAAACCAGAGACCACGGAATAACGTTTCAGATTTTTACTGCGTAACGTTGTATAAATACTTAGGGTGTAAATGTAAATACAAGATAAAAGTAAGACGTATCCGATTCTAAAATTATAACTAACCGTTAAGTTATCGATATTATTTCATACGATACGCAAGTTTATTCGGTAGATATAGAAATATTAGTTCCAATATGCATGCCTTTAAAGTATTCTCTTCCCCACCCTTCTTCCCATTTCTTTTTTTCTTTCGGTACGGATTAATAATCCGTAGGAAAGGAAATCTTTTTCTCGCGAATGCTCTGCCGTCCATGTTCAGCGATAGAGCTACTTTTCGTAAAGTTCATCTTATAGAAAACGCTACACAAAAATAAGAACGTTGTTAAAGTAATTTAAGAAGAGTATCGCGTTAACGTTTAAACTGTAAATACACAGACTGTGATAATTGTAATAACATCTATTATGTAACCAGATACACGAAAGTGCTCTGAATACGGGGCATCGGAACGGAAGGAATTGGAGCGGTGCGAAAAGGAACATGAAATCATTTTCAGATTTCACATTCAACACATATATGTTATATCAGCCTTTTTTTTTATATCTTCAAGGCACTTGCATAGAACAAAATGCTAATACTCTCTCGTTAGGAGTTTGTAACGAAATTGTTTAGAAAAACACAATTTCATCGGGGTTGTTCTTAAAATTCAAGTAACAAGAAAGTTTAAGTGAATTTAAATCTTAACTGTTTGTTCTTAATTTTCTTACGTTAAGTTACCAGAAAGTAATGTTTTAAAAATCATAGTTTAACGAAAGATGACCAGTGCGCAGTTACAAACCCCAATTAGAAGTATCGAAGTATATGGAACTATACGTGCTAATTCAAGAGTAAAGGCCTCTGAAGTCAATGTTATTAGAGTCGAAGATCTTAACATCCTAATTTATATTTTATTTAGTAAGTATGGCATTTCGATGAGACGATAATGTCTGTATGTGAGAATCTGTATATAATTTATTTAATAAAGCGTATTCATGCTGTCACGCTATATCGTTCACAAACAGATGAACTATTATGTTTATAAAAAGAAAAGGTTGTGTAAATGGTAAATAAGACAAAGTTCGGTCATTCATAATTAATATTTATATTGACCAAATTTATATTCGGAACGACGGTATATTCTTTGTGTGTTAGACCACGAGCTTCTAGAATATACTCGACCTACTCAGATTTGTACACACTGCTCGAACAAGCTATTCATAAGAGAAGTCTGAGAAAACTGTATGATTAGCATTGCACTTGTGTACAGTTTCAAATTGTACATTACAATTTTACATTTTGAATGTGCTATCTATTTCAGGCTTATGAGAGGCATTTAGTATCTAGCGCAACACGTTCTTTGTGTGTTCAAATCAGACTTCCTATGGATCGGTAATTTTCGTCCAATCTCGTCTTCTTTCGGATTTGCTCGGGGATTCTTGCAACTTGCGATATATGGGATGGATACGCTACGGCGCTACGGTATATTTCACTCTGCCGATGACCGTTGATCACGTTGACATTCGGCTTTATAATTCCTAAATTCGAATCCTTTACAAACGGCAGCTGAATTTCTCGAAAAAAAGAACCGATAAAGTGATTTTCATTTTGACCTTGTACGAGAAATCCCTTTAAAAGGTTATGCGATACGCAATCATCTTGCGATGATTTGGTAAACGGATTAGAAGAAGAAGAAAGAAGGACGCAGATTTATATACCGTGCGGAAATTGAAATTCATACAAAAGTCTACATTTTGCGAACTGGTGCGTATCGTCTATCTCTGTTCTTCCATAAAATAGATTTTCTTTTCTGTGTAAATTTCATTTTTGTTATTGTTCAGTCCAAATAAATAGATATAGGAATGGTACGATTGTCCTTTTCAGGCACATATACATTCATCGATCAAAAGGGTATGTTTGTTTTGCTTTTTCCTGCTTTCGAGTTTCAAGTCACCACGAAGGTTAGACTGAACGACAGTACGGTCACTTGACGATTCGGTAAGTGTACTGTTGTTTCTGTATTGGTTTTCATGTCTGACTCACTCGCTTAGCGATAAGACAACATAAATTCGATCTGTAAGAATTATTTAAAAATATTTCTTATCTATATAACGTATTTTAACTATAAGAAAGTAATAAAATTCGAAGTAACTCTTACTAAAATTATTCGATCTAAAAAGAAGAATCAAAAAAGATTGAAGTTTTATTTCCACTAAAAATTTTTTAAAGCACTGTTTCAACAAATATATAAAATTAGTTACATACAGAGAATTGCAACTATGCACTTTTGTTAATCACTGTTGTGCATATCATGTTTCAGTTCCAAGATCAAAGTAATTAAAACAAATTAATAAACAATGGCTGGCAGTGGAGAACTTTGGGTGCAATGTTTTACCTGTTGTTTAACACAACAAGGACCAAGGGCACGTAATGGAAGACAGAGGTCACATCAAAGATTAAGGATAGATCGTAGTATGATAGGAGTACCAACGAACTTTAGGCATACCGGACATGTTAGTAGCGGCGATATCGATATGAGCAGTGCACAATTATCAAACATTCAAGCACAGATGCAAATGAAAGGAGGCTACGATACTTCGTACAGCGTTAAGGTATAATCATTTTCATTATCGTTACAAAGCCTATCGAAAAAGTGCATAGGTATTCAATGAAACATAGATTATTTTCATTTCAGGCATGTTGAGAATAGATTAAGGAGCTTTTAGACTGGTCTGCGAACGATCTTGTAACGAGACTAAAAAAATGACTGAGTTTTTAATGTCTATGTTCCTTGTACTAAGACAAACATACGTGCAGTTCAGTGTACATACAATCGTGCTCGGAAGAACTAACCGTTTTTGAAACATTTTTATTTATAAGGATAGGTTGAACACGCCGCAATAAAAGTTACTACGGTTAATGCAAAAACAGAATTTGCATTTCAACGATAATAAGGTGCATTTCACTTTTGTATTGTTTATTTTTTATTTCTGAGATAAAGACTTGATTTTCCACTGGAACACAAAACTGCCACATTATAATACACGATATCTTTGAGGTGCATTTTTTTTTTACTACTTTACAATTATTCATTTATTCGAAGAAATCGACGTTTGTCGGTAATATACTAACACTATAGCTGCTATATCACATATTAATTGTATCGCAGTCGTAGATTTATCATGAATAAGCATTAATACCATTCTTGTACTTCCAAGTGAAAATGTAAGTACTCCGCGTTATGTAGTACTGCTTGTGTAAAAAGAAAAAAAAAAGAAGAATGTACTTCGCATGGTTCGCCTGTGCCGACTAACGATTAAATATTTTAGCGTATACGGTGAACGTCCAAGTTCACAAAGCACGGCCCATTTTTCCTACTTCTGTAATTCATCCCTGAATGGGATGTATAAACCTACATTAGGTAATTTTTGGAACGTAGATGTGTTAAAAATTGAACAAAAATTATTTGTACGTATTCGCCTAGTCTATAATCATTCTATCACACCTCGTGAATTATATTAGCCATTCTTGGTTGAATATACTTTAATCTTACAAAGTGTGATCTCTGAAAGCTATAACCATGGACCAACGTGAAATGCGAGAAGAGGAATGAAATCTTTAAGAATTTCCTAAAATCTAATTTATATACAATCCTGGACCACTGTAAATTTAATAATGCATTAGATGATCTTATAAACAGTTATTAGGTAAATCTAACTCTTTTGAAACATGTTTGTATCCCCATTTTTTGATTGACTTCTATGCACATGGTAAATATTTATACTTTTGAAATCTATACAAAATAATGTAAAATTACAAAATTATAATATATAAGTATTTGATTAACCATAAAAAATATCATGAACATAGATATAAGTATTGTATTTAATACGTCAGCATAAATTTATGTATTTGGAAAATAGACTTCTTCGCGTGGTTGTTTCGAACACTATAGAAATAAGACAAAATATTTTATTTTCAACTTCATTCAGTATATTTAATTACATTTTTTAACAATAAAACAACAAGTGGCGTTCATAGATCAATTATAATGCATCTCGTTTCATACAGTTAAATATACACATATACATATATGTATATATACGCGCGCGCGCGCGTGTGTGTGTGTATAAAAACAACTATATATAACACGGTACCTTACCAATAACAAATGTATTATTGTTCCTTTAAATGCTCCACGTTGTATTCGTTGAATACTTGTTTTTTTAATCTGCGGAAGACTATTTGTTATCGGTGAAATTAGGTACAAAATAAATGGTATTCCTAAATTCAAAATCACAACATTGATCTCAATGACTATAATATCACATAATACAGATTTACGTTCGCTTCAGAGACTTTCTTCGTACCTCTTATACAAAATATTCTTTTAAAAGCCTCCTTCCACAAATATTTCATAAGCTTCGGAAACACGAAACAATTGAAGAAATAATCGCTTTGAAAAGAATATTTTGTGCAGTCAGAAATTGTATACATAAACACGTCTAATTAAATTGTACTTTACCATTGAATGCATGATATACGTACATATATCGACAGCCATGCTGCCTCCTTAAATTATATTTTAAATATCCATGAATTATGGATTACTGAAGAAACGCCTGCGAGTCTTTTATCATTCGCAAGATTTATAACTTCACCAGTTAAGCTGGTAGACTGTTTCGCGTATTTCATATCATTCTTTAAAAAAATTAAAATATTTACAAAAGTGCCTGGGTAACTTGCAAAAAAACGCGATTTCGATATTTACAAATTATCTTGCACTCAAACATTTATGCATACATTCATTTAGAGACATTTTGTTTGTTTGCTACAAGAATTCGTAATATTTTACTCCAATCTATGGAATGGTTTTCGCGATTCGTTTCTCGTTAATAATAAATGTACTGTAAATACATATTTGTCCAAAGTCTCTCTAGAATCAACAGGGCATCGATGAAAGCTGTTGAAAAGATGATTTCCTTGATTTCTTCGTAACAACGTTCATTTTCTCCTACGCGTTTTAACAGGCGTGAATTGACTCTTTTCAACCCCACCGATGACACCCATCCTTGTATACGGATTTCCAACAAATGATACGTGGCAACAGCAACTCGATGGAAACTTGAAAGTGTCCGGAACAACAGTACCATCCGATAATACTGCCGCGAGTTGTCTATACACGTATTTTTGTTTACACTTTGTTGTATAGCCTTCGGCGAGATTACCAATCACGTTACAACTGACATTCTCCTTGCTGCAAGTGATACAGAACTTTTATAACATTACTTTCAAACTATAGTAAATTATCTTTTTTTCTAACGGTGATCTTCGTATGACACCCACCTACACTTTTCGATCCGTACACCCTGCTTGAAATTTTCTTGATTTGCAATATATTTCCATTGATTCTCCTTATTCTCTGCCGATTGAGGAAATATCACTTGCTCCTTGAATTGTATGTGATTTTTTGTATAAATTAATTTTGAATCATTTGTAGTAACAAGTTGGCTATTTTTTTTTTGTAGGAAACAAGAAAGATAAGGAACAATTTATACATACGGTCGATACGCAGAGAGGTGTGTCATCCATCGGATCGATCCTCTGCTCTATATCGGATAGCTAGTAGCACACAGAACAAATTACGATAAAATAAGGTAACTACTTTGAAATATTTCAAAAATAATATGATACTAACTACGTCTACACCTGCGAGGTACTTGAGAGTTTCGTTCCGGTGGATCGCGGTAGTTACTAAATCTCGAGGGTAAGAATTAATCTTCTCGCAATACGTGGACCCCTTGCAAACCGGTACCTGATTATTTGTTTCTCCCGGAAATACAATCTTACCATCCGACTGCATCTCCTGGGACGATGAACCTAATAACAAACAACAAGTAAAGAGTCGATGGACCAAACTGTTAGGTCCAAGATACAAACCCACGCGTGACGTATGTTTCATTTCATGAACTATTTAATTGTAAGCTCGATACAGTCGCGACTATAATTAACGCGTATACCGAATAATAATAACAACATAGGACTAGGTAGATCAGACCAATTCAAATTAATTTTTTCTTACCTTTATGCTGACTTATGAAACTTCTTGCCAGGGATTTCGAAGATGTGTCCGAAGTATCTCTTTGGACCCTCCTGGTCGGTCTACCGTCGTTGCTGTCAGACCATTCTTCGGAAGCGAGAGATTCATCCTTATCAAAAAGTTTTTCAACGAATTTCTCGCCTTGTTTTTTTGCTCGACTTTTATTGAAATTAGTGTCCTTCTCTTTTTGATTAACTGGATATGGATACGCATAAACATTATGTACTATCTAAAAAAAAAAAAAAAAACAAGATTACGTTAATTAATATCAAACTTTTAAATGATAACAGGTGATCGAATCAAACAAAGGATTTCAAGCATTGCCGTAACACGATCTTTGAAGATTAAAGACGTTCCTTAAACGGGTATGTTTATTATCATTTAGTTCCGAGCAATAATATAATGTATTACTCTATATGCAAAGAAGACAAAGGGGGAGTCTTGTTTTTATTTGTTTACTTGTATTACGTTTTTTCTTTAGATTAAGGCTCCAAATTTCACTTTCTGGGTCTCGCAAAGGATTACTGGTTGCAACATTTTCTATTCAAACCGTGTACAGTTGGTTTTCGTGTGGAGAATCTGGTGTTCTATTAAAAGAGACAAAATAAGGTTGTCCGATGGAAGGAAAGTCGACTCTACCGTTATAAGAATCTGGTAACTCGATCACGATTACATATTTCATGTAGCTTCTAAACTTTGTATTTTCGTACAAGTCAGAGAATACGAACGATAATTTCTCTACTAACAATAAGAGAATACGGGAATATTAATGGTTCTTGCATAATGTGTTTGTCGTTTATTTTCTTGAATAGATTACTAAAGATTTTAAAACAAGATAAACGCGTTCGCCAATAATTGAGTCTCTGGCAAATAATGTACCTTAGCATATATTATAGCATTTATTAGATGAGTGTTTCTCAACCTCGTCGATACTGTTTTCCAAGAGATCGAGATAGGTGATGATCGACGAATTAATTTTGGAAATGTGTGCGTATTCAAAGGACGTAGAAGTAGGTTTAATGTTTGCCGAATTGTTAACAGCAAAATAATACGAAAGAAACACCTGCTTTGTAAACGCAATGATAACAATCTGGTAAAAAAACAAAGAGGCGGAGTCTAATAATAAACGTTACGGCAGAATTTTCGAGGACAACAAAGCGACGGAAGTAGAAATGCGCGCATTATCACGCTTAAATGTGTCTTTTCATTTTTAAATCAGAGACACACGCTACTATTTCTACAATATTGGCGGGCTCAAGTGTTCCATCAAACTCTTAGGGAGAGTCTGTATTTTAAACTCTGCAAGAAGAATTTCTATTTATAACTTTATTATTCCCAATGGCGTATTATAGAATTCTGCGAATCGTGAACGTCAACCTAAAACGGCACGCGAATCTAATATTTATAAGATGTCCGCACGAATACTATTCGTCCTTGCCGTAAATCGTTATAATCCTTAATGTATAGTAGAAATAAAGCAGTGATTCGATTTGTTGCGGTCTAATTTCATTATGTTGGACTGCAGTCTGATTTTATTTCATGGCAACATTCGTTAAATGAAACAAGTCGTTTAAATTATATAAAAGGATCACGCTTGTATAGCTACTAAACGTTGAAGATATTGAATTTTCGCGTTCGATCAATCGTATAAAAATGCGTCTTTCATTCACGTTTGCTGACATATCTGCGATAAAAAACGCTTAAAAATAGCTATTCGACTTGCCACAAGTTCACCCTAACTACCGAGATACAGTTACTCGATAATAATAAATCTCGGGTTACGTAAATATGACCGATCAGCCGTTAATTGCAGACTTTGTTCTAACATGTAGCGTTCAAGAAAATCTACAGCCCTAACGGCACACGGCGATCATGTTTCGAAAGTCCTTTTAATTCGATAATTTTTCATTTTTGTAACTTCGTAAGTTTATCCGTAAAACTTACAAACTGAACCATTACGTCCGTAAAATACATACGAGACGATTTCATTTTCCACCGTTTGGAGAAGATGAAATTAAATTGGAAATTACGATTGGAAATATTTATTTCCAAAGAGAGCCAAGCAATCTTCGAACGAAACGTCGAAATAGAGAAAGCTTTTCAACTAAATTCACATGAAATGACTAAAGAGTATTAGTGGTATTTCCTATTTGTTTATTGTTGTGACAGACTTGTACTTCGGGAAACATGATCAGTTCTTACCAATACGATTAAAAGACACAGCTTGGCGAGCGTTAAGATCGGTCCGCGTTTTCCTTCCATTTTCGGCACTTTTCAATATCTCTAAATATAATTACAATGTTACTTCGTAATAACGTAATCGGGTCACTTTACATCCACACTAGTTCACTTGTTCTCATAGTCTACCAGAAGACTAGAACGACACTATAACTATACGCGTTCTCTGATTATCTGTGAAGAAGTGAACCGTGGCATGGATACGACCGTTAACTTAGAGTTGCACGTAACAGAGTAGAACTATGTAAAAGAGAAGAGTTGAGAGCGAACTCGATCGTCGATAGATCGCTCGGCGATCCTGCACGTTCAACCGATCGCACGCGATTGACGATGACGATTGACCGGTTGTCCAACGTACCAGGTGGGGTTTACGTTTTCCGTCACGTTAATGGCCCGTAATCACAGCCTTTGTGCATCGTGCCACAGGAAACGGGGCGACCGCGACGGGGAGAACTTACCGATGCATTACGGATTCGTATTGCAGAGGGGCACTTTGGTTTGGTCAGAACCACGAGTTACAAACCGACGCCGACGTTTGCATCGTTAATAGTTTGAATACATCGGAACGAATCTTGTTATTTCACACTTTTTGCTTAAATTACAATCACACGTACAGATTTGACATGTAGATTTTTGTTGATCAATAGGTGGGGGAGATGGGGGGAGGGGGAGAGGTGAGCCGACAAGCATCTTGTATACGTCACTGATCGACCGATGTATTTCAAACAATTTGAAGAAATCTATAACCAAAGAGCATGCAGTATTACGATTGATTTTCTCCTCGATAGAAATACATACAACATTGTATCATTTAACGACTATTCGACATTATTTTGCGTTTGACTGGTACTTGAAGCTTTCCAAAAACAAAGAAAAAGTGTCGTCTGTTAACAGGTGTCACGCGTTCCAAGTTGGCTGTGACCAATACGGCTACCTGCCGATTTCCTCGTTAACACTTGCAACCGTAATTCACCGTAATTATACAGGTAATAATTCCACTCAACTATTCTTGCTCACTTATTCAAATGCTTCCAATGAAAGAAATTGTTGTTCTAAATAACACGTTTATATTTTGTTCACGCGTACTAATACCTGTTAATGACGTTAAAAAGAGAGGTGGTAACGTTGAAAAGAAAATTACGTTTGCAATTGTTTTAGAAAGTTTAATAAACAATTCTTTATTAAGGAACATAGAAAGACTGCAACTTTGAAACGCGTTGCTTGCGCGCCAAACATACGAAGTTGTAAACTGTGCGCGTGAAATGTCACTATCATCATTTGAATCGTAACAATGTCAGACATAAAAAGCATTTTGGTCCTATTATGTCAACATTTAAATTTATCTATCAATGTCGCGATGAAACCTGAGTATTTCAGACTAGCGAAGTTCAATAATACAGCCGAAAATGTCGTGAGTATTACGAGTGATATCACATAACCCCTTACATAGTGTTTTGTATGTAAATAACTTACAAAAACAAGATTGTGATAGTTAATTTATTTTCTATGTTAGACCGAGACGTTCTGGAAAACGTTGTATGCTCTAAGTTATCATGCCGTAAAAGAAAAACAGATCGAAGTCAATTTTGAACAATGTGGTAAATTAAGTTATTTCTTGTTAAATTTGTTTTGATTAGGAGACTTTGTATGGCATTTTGTTAATTCTATTTCTTCTATGTCTTTTTTTTCAGGTACAGTGTGGGCTACGAAATTGTATTTTGCATATTTACATTACCCAGCGATAGAGTTTTATGCTCTTGGCGAAGACAGTAAGAATACCAGAGAGTTGTTAGTTGCATTTTCATGGCTTCTTGGAACGCAAGATGTTTTGAGCAGTATAATTAAAATAAATCTCTCCAACAGCGTATTTGGAAGCGAATGTTCACATTTAAATAACTCTGAAGTAATTTTTTACATTAGACATGAAGTGAATTAGGATACGACATTAAAGATTTATTTTGAAATTATATATGTTTCTAGGAAATGAAAATAGAATACGATGTACCAGACACATGGCCTGCGCAAATGAACAATATATTAAACTTAAGCGGTAAAGTGAATTATAATATAAAAGAGATATCCGAACTACTTTCTGAAAGAACTAAATTAATAAGCAAAGTTCACGCCGCAAGCATCGGCACTAGCGGTCTCCCACATCTGAGCGTATCGGAATTAGCATTGATAAAACGTATTGCGACCGTTAACAAAGATGCGTTATCTGATGAAGATACAAGATATTTGAAGGAATTATCCAGTATCGGTACTTTATTAGATTTACATATGAAATGGTCGAAAAAGGAATATATATTTTTTGACTGGATGGTAAATGATTAAAACTTTGCCCAAGTTTTACGCATTCCGTTGCACGAAATATAATCAAACAATAATAATACAAATTTCAGGTAACGGTATTCGAGGAGCTTGATAAATCTATAAATTCTAATATAAATGATATAAATTGGAACGAAGTTATAAAGTTTGTTTCTTTGTTACATCATATCGTACGAGAGAAACTTGAATTCTTATCTAGCATAAAGGAATCAAGTTGTCAAAATCACCGTTGTGGGTGTGTATCGCGTTTACTGTGGTCTAAAAAGATTGAAATAGAATTGGATAATTGGTTAACAGAGATGTCTGCTGAATTAAACAAAGAAATAGAGGATTTATCTGAAAAAAAGAAAAGTCTTTCCTTTGAATTAAAGAAAATGATGCATTTAATTCCTTCTTGTATTCAACTATAATTTTTATAACAAAATAAAAAATATCACGGATCAGGTTCATCCTTATTCTTACTTTTGACTAAAGCATTCAATTTCATTTCACTAGTATCTCGTGTGTCACGTAGAAATGATCGAAACCTGGTCGACTACGCCAAACGACGAAATGAAAACATTAAGAATGGTCACTAAAAATATACCGATCACTGTAAAATTGTTCGCCTGTTCGGCCTTACACATTTGGGCGTTGTCTTTAACGTTATATCTGCTATTCCAGATCAGGCCAATTCCCACAGCGATTTGCAAGAACAAACTAGCACCTATCATAACCAGCGAAGGATAAAAATACGGATGTCCTCCGTCTGTCTGTAAAACGTAGCGCAGTTGATTCGCGTTAGCAGACAAAAGGGCCAGGTCCATCATTCCCTGGGCAAGCGTTTTCTTGTGCTGATAAATATTCACGTCTGGTATATTTTGAATAGGTGGCACCGGAAAGAACGGAGTTCTACTATCAGGAAACGTGGAAATATCAGGTGTTCGTGGAGCTTCCGGTAGAAGACCGTCGTCTATTCCTCGATGATCGAAATCGATCGTTGATTTTCCTTCTGGTTCAAGATCGTCGATTTCAGGTCCGGAAGTTGGTCGGGGATTATTCGTGTTGTCCGTCTCCAACATGGAACCAAATCGCGGTATAACTACCGCTTCTAATTCTTTAGAGGTCAACGGTTCCGACACTTGGTCCTCGATGTCATCCATGTAGATGATTTCATTGCTGTTGTCGTTTAGCCGTGCCATTGTTTATGAACACACTGTTAATCACAATTGATTCGTGTATGATTGTTTACCGTTCAAGTAATTCCGATACTTGCCAGGTAAAGTAACAGTCAAACGACTTTTAGTGAATATTCTTAATGCACAAAACTCGCGCGTCTCTTAAGGTCCAGCATCGATCCACGGATCTTTAGCATTTCAAGATTCAATATTTACAACCGCTCGAGCATTTCGTTTTTTCCATACGAAATGAAGAAGCAATACGCCAAATGGAAATTATAATTACAAAAATGAAAACATGTGATAACACGATAATAACGAAATGGCTTTTGTACTCGTCGTGTACAACTGTCACTGCTCTCAGTTGAGACCGATCTGTTTGGTGGGTAACTCGTCGACGGATCGGTACTCTCCATTCATTAGATCGAAACAAGGTGAATCACAGACCTATCGGTGACGTCGCCATCGAAACGTCACGATCCCGTTTAGATTCTGGATTTACCAGTTTAGTCAAGGTCGTTGTTTGTTTTCTTGTAGTCAATTCCGTTTTTGTTGCACTCTGTTTTTCACACAATACCCGCTACAATTCTACGCTTTTGTTTAAAGTCGTGAAACAGTTAATGGGAACAATGCCAGTTCATAGTTCAACGTGACATCTATTTAATTGTCTTTACTTGAAATACAATGTAGATTCGTCGTAACGAAGAAAATCATTAAGACTTGGTGTGTTGTTGCGTGTTACTGCCATGTGCTCCTCAGGGCATGTTTAAAGAAGCTCTCGTGATACTTTACGTCAAGGCTTCCGTGCAATATAATAGAAGGGGAATGGCATTGCTCCAACAGAACCTTGTAACACTCGCAATATGTTACTAAAAATAATGTTTATCATTCGCAGAATCAGAACTACCTCATTACGATTCGCTTGAAAATAAGAATTAAGAATTAAGAATTATTTTGAAAATTAAATTTGACAGAAATTCTTATATTAACGTAACAGAAATACGATACGTCGTAGTAAATGTAAGTCATTGTTTTCTGGCAAATGTTCTATTTAAGATTTTCGGCGAATATAAAAGCTGGTCTGGTCTTTAAATCGAAATATCGTATGTCATATTGTTGGAGGTGGACCGTACCTATCTAAATTTATCGTCCTGGGGAAAGCACCAAGCACCGTCAACGAGTATTCACCGTATTTACCCATCGTCATCGGTGATTCCCGAGTCCCGACGCGAGACACGCTTTGCCTGCGGACACAGATTCCGGTACTGACACAGATTCCGGTACTAACACACAGCCAACTATCGATGTATTGTGCAACGATACGGCGAACCGAAAAAGCGCATCAGGAAGTTCTCCGATCGTGAACTGTCTTGCGTGGAATCTTAACGCGAAAGCTAGTATCTATGCTACAGTTATGAATATACATATAAAGTGTGGGACAATAACTACTATCAACACCTCAAATATCTTCGAAACTATATGTTTCACAGAAACGAATACTGATGAATACCTATGAATCAGCTATCATATGATTTCATATACGGTGTCGATACAGAACAATTCTCAGAATAAAACTACACGCAGACGTGAAAAGTGTTGGAAACATTCAAATTTTTATTCAATCAAATACAGGAAGTAACAAAGTTATGTTAGATAATACAACGCATATACTAAAAAATGCAAATTCACGTAACAACTTCGAGGTTACTCGATTCTTCCAATTTTAACATTATCCGGAACAGGTCTATTTCCGTATAACTATATAGAATCATGATATCGAGCTAGTTCGTCGTCAAGTAAACAACCATTACAGTTAACTTAGATTCCAGAAGTACCAGCATTCCTGCAGTCGCGTTCGAGCGAAGCGCGGAAATGGATGGAAAGGTATATGCTGTTGAGCGCAATTACACTCCTGTCTAATTCTATGTACCCAGACTATTTGACTCGTCAGGTAAATAACGTAACTTGAACCGATTCGCTATAAAAATAATTGAAAGGATGCGATTCTGAACATGAAGGTCCAAAAGTGCTGCGCCCACTGTCCAGGAATAATTGTCCCAGCAAAAAGCAACGAGTCGCACGAGTGTTGCCAGCCAAAGTATATTTCTGGGAACTTGAGAATACCTTCTTTAACGAAACACGTGTCAGAATGTTCAGAGCAAAGAGACGTCGAGAAGAATTGGCCAGGAATATCCCGAAAAAGTCAATCACCTTGCTACGACCAATTTGCCTTGGCAAAGAGACTTCACGCGGAAAATCTGGAGCATCAACCTCTACCCGATAAAGTCGAGGATGCCGTCTTTAAGATAGCTATACCAAGAACGTCCTGTCATCGAGTTTCAACGAAAACGGGAAAACGTTGCGACTGTTGCGGTCAAGAATTCAAAGACCACGCTAATTTATCGAACAAACGTTACGGATCAGCCCTAGGTTGCAAGGAGCCGAGAACGAAAATGGATTTGGCGATCTGTTGGGAGACTCCTATAGATCCTGTCTACGAGCCACCCAAACCCTCTCATATCGATGGGTCCGATGGTGGACTCGCACCCGCTATCTTCACACTTGTTCAACGTGGCCCGAATTCTGGATCGTCTCTTTGTTCTGAGATTGGAAGAAACGAGGAGTGTTGTCAGAGTCGATGCAAGGCACAAAGAAAATCGGTAAATAATTCAAAGTCTGATCGTTATGAGAACGAGAATAAAGATAAGGACCTCGAAGGAGGTCCCTGTGAATGTCTCTGCAGAAGCTTGAGCGGTGCGAGTATTTCGAACAAGGCTCGAATCGAGGAACAACCCAAGAGGGTGTCCTTGAAAAAGTGCGTGGCTTGCGAGCCAAGGAGTTTCAAAGATGATCCTAGATTGATCAAATCGGCCGTTGGGTTGGCATTGGGCCTTGAGAAGGAACAGCGCGATCAACGAAGAAACGGTTCGAAAATAACGGTGCCAAAGCCCAAGACTCCTTTTGCGAAAAGAAGTTTCCGCATCGACACCTTGACTCCTCCTTTCAGCGTCGTAAATGGTTGCAGAGGTACCGATTACCCAGAACACTGGAGACTCATGTCCGTTTACCAACAGTCCTACAAAAATCCGTATAGACGGAGGAACTATCGTTGATACGTTCGTTAATATAAACTACTTAAAGTCACTTGTACTAAAAATCAAGCTGCTTAGAATTAGCATTAAACGTTGTTAAAGCGTAGTATCAAGACGAATTTAGCGTTCCGTTTGATGCGACGGCACATCTTTCCTACTGCTCTGTATGCTACTTATGTTAATATACCGAGGACCAGTTGGTGTGTCCAGATTGTACGCGTCTCCGAGGGCAAGACTCTTTTCCAGGTGCTCGAGGGCTACGTTTTGCAAACGATTCAATAGGTCTGGATACGGAGATATGTGTCGCCTAAAGTCATTACGATCCAAAACGTTGACTTCGCAAGTTTCTACCGCGATCACGGTCGCTATCCTGTGGTCGCTTTCCATCACTAGTGCCATTTCCCCGAAGTAAGTTCCATCCTCCAAATGACATACCTTGAAATTGTAGGAATCTCGTCGAAAAGAGAAACACAATCGTCGATGCGATTAACGTTACTTCTTTTCCTGTAGAAGTGTACACCGCCACAGTACCGCAAGCGATGAAGTAGAGGGATTCGCCAAGTGTACCAGCTTTAACGATCTCATCACCAGTCATAAAGATTTCGGAGCGTAACTCGCTGACCAACTGGGACACCACCGTTTCCGGTAGATGCTTGAACAATTCCACGGTGCTGATCAGCCTCAGATAATTATGTAAAATGAGTTCCTAGAAAAAGAAAGCTTCGTTGTGTCTTATTAGATTTTAACGACCCACCGAAACATTTGAGAACCTATTAGATCGGTAAACGTTTAAGGGACCTCGCGCAAGTAGGGAGAAACTTGGTTTATAATTTTTGCATCTCGTTCGAAGCCCTTCCTGTTTCGGTAATGATAAAATATCAGTAAGCGACGTTGCAACGAGTGTGGCAATTCTTTGCATCGCATATACTCCTGTAACTGTTGTATGATCTTCAGATGCCGCTTGATAGTTATGTGAAACGTCGTCATCAAATGAGAGAATTGGGCTAAAAAAAAGAGGAATAATGATTGCAGGTTGTTCCGGGAACTCGGAGGAAATGTTTGTAGTTCGGCTTTGCTTACTTAATAAATACATGAAACCAAGGAACCCGACGACCGTCAATATCAAGTTCAATATTATGTCCTCTGGCGTTTTCACGTCTAAATAATGCGCGGAACGTACCAACGAAGTGACGGCACGATTCAGGCATACCAGGTATCTTTTCACTTTTGTTTTCTTGTTCCGAAAATACGACGATCTGATCCAAGAACTGAATACAAATACAGATTGTAACATTTAGACGCAAAGCTGCGTTTGAATAGAGTCTGGGTACAGGTACTAAACTCATTGCTTAAGGTGCCCAGGTGATTAACGGACATTGGAACATAATATTCCAAGCAACCGGCCCAGTGAACACATACTACGATGACGGAGAATGTTTCTAGAATTTTGTACTGTTGAAAGCTCATTCGGTACACCTGAAATTACGCATAGCCGCGATAGTATGGCAATCGATCTCTCGTTATAAATTGCCGTCGTAACAAACTAACGTTATGAAGTCTGCGAGAATAAACAATAATATTGCGAATCCGTAAGATCTTCAACATATTGAGAGTGGTGCAGTACCACGTCGAATTCGGAATAATGAGATCGATGAATCCTATGGGTAGCACGGTCATGAAGTCTATCAGGAAGTAGTTTTTCAAATATTTTCTGTATGGATATAAGGCCGATTAGGGTCAGCGTTGATGCGTGCAGGCGGTGTTAGACGCAATAGCGGCTCGTTACGTATAGTTGAAAATATAAAAGAAAAAACATTAAAAAATTTAGAAGAATTGCACGCGTTAAGTCAATGTTTAACTATTATATTAAACGATCGCGCAAAGTTGCTAAATAACCTGGTCTAAAGGTTATTTAGTTCTGTCTATAATATTAATGACAACGAAGCGGTAACAAGTGAATTGAACTATCGCGCATCCCAAGTATGAGAACGATCAAGCCATTAACATACAGTGCCACTATCCTGGGATCAAGGACTATGACTTTTGTCCGATAATCATAGTAGCCAGTAAAAAACCACATCACTATATCGCACAGGAATACAATGTTCATCATGTCGTTGATTATATGCCAGTTATCATGATTTTCGAAATGAAACGTGATGGAAACTGGTATTATCAGAAGGCCCACGAAGGTGAACACAGTCATTAACGATTCCCAAACGATCCTATATCAGAATCGAAACATAATCGTTGTATTTGAAAATCAATCAAGAATCTGACGTCACAGATTCGAAGCCACTAGATTTGATCTCACAATTAAACCCACCGTTGTATGTATGTACGTATACGTTTTATAGGATAAACAATCATAAATTGCAATTAACCTGAACGAACTAAAAGGATGTATCATATAAGGATACGATTTGATGTGTCTCGAGATCTCGTAATTGACTGTAGACGTGCTTTTCAGCCACCAACGCGTTAACGGATGCTTCCGGGACAAGATACGTTGTCGCATGAACCACCGTTGCAATTTAGGTCCAACAGAATTCCCTTTTATATGATTTTCCAACTCGTCTTGTTCTGTCGGCTGCTGGCAAATATGCTGAATAATCGGTGCATACTATGCGATACAAGAGCCGAATAAATTTCCGTTGTACCATTTAATAATTATTATATCTCCAACAGCAAACTTACTTCGACATTTGGCGCTTCCGAGAAATGAGGAACGTAAGCCATTAAATCCATATTTCTGATCGTTGTCTCGATATATCAATCGTGACGTAACGCGAGACTCGTGTGAAACGTACGATAGCAATTATTATTTTCTATAGAACGAACCAATATAAATGTATAAAGTGATATCCAAGTAATATGTTTCCCGCGTCGAATTTTATATTGAACAGATATAATATCCTTTGATTTTGATGGCTGAATAAAATTTGTTTCTTTTCAGCAAGGATAATAATTGAATGCAGACATAATAAACTGGTGGTATATGATTATAAGAGAGAAATAAAATACAGATTGAATCGTATTCGACATTTCGATATTTCGATTTTCTCGTATTTGTAATTATTTATCTGGTTAGTTGGCGTTTGACATTCAAGGCATTGTGTCATTTGGTATGCGCGCGAAGCACGTGACTCTCATAAAAGCAACTATGTATGTATGTATGTATGTATATATGTATGTATGTATACACAGTCGAATACACAGTACACAGCTGATTATGAGCGATGGTCTGAATCGTCTGAATCTCGTACACTGACGTTTCACCACGATCCACCGATTAAAATCTGGATTTCTGGATAGTTGTACTTGTCAACGTAACGAACCATTGTCGTAGCGTTATTTTATTATGCCAATGGTATAGCGATAACGTTCGACAACATTCGATAACGTTCGTATATGCAACATGCCAGATCCGGAAGGTCTTCATTTACCCATAGATGTAAGTCTTTCTTTCCTTCTTTTTTTCGATCGCTCGTATTACCCCTGTCATTCTTTGCTTGAATTATTTTGTTCCTTAATTTTGTTTCTCGTTGTACAAATCAGAGGTTATATCAATTAAATTACGAGCAAAACATTTATCTGCAAAGGTTATTACGAATTTTTTAAACGATATAACGCTCTGTCTGTTCGCTTTCCATTTTTATAGACACTATATATTTTCTTTTTAGATAATTATACATATACTATCGTACCTATCTACATCCGATCGAATGTCCGCAAGACTAATCAATCAGACATGGAGAGAGGCATCGCTCGCTATGAAATTTGTAGATCAAGAAGCATTAGTTTTTGGTCGGTCGCGTGCAGATAATTTGAATCAAATAATGGATGTATTACAGCATTCTACACGGCCCTTCTATCATTTTATTTTTAGAGAAGTGGAACTTAAAAGAAGTATGCCAGTGTGGGATCGTTACGGACTACATATGAAGAGTCTTGTACTGGTACGAGATATCGTTTTTGTAGAGAAACCTAACTCAAGAAAAAAAATACTTTTTTACAAATCTGTGTATATTAATTTTTAGTTGTGTTGCGATTTAAGCGAGAAGGCACTTGTAAACATTCTAAAGTGCTGTCACTCTTTAAGAGTATTACGTATCGATGGATGCAGAGAATGTTTAATGTCTGGCAGACTTTTGGAAGACGAAAACGACATAAAGGAGCTCTCTGAAACATTTCAAAATCTACGAGAACTTAGTCTTGGTTATAATCGATATTTGAGCGATGCACTTTTCAACAGATTAGTTGCTATTTGCTCGAATTTAGAATCCTTAAGCCTTATAGGCTGTCAAATATCTTTCCACAGTGGATTATACAAAAAATTTTATCCTCAAAACAGGATAACGTTACCAGATGCTTCAAATTCGGTCTTAACTTTTCTGAACGCGTTGCATTACCTCAAACAACAAGCATACAAGTTGAAACACTTGAATTTCGGCTATACCTCGATCGATGGAACTACTTTGGCCACTTTGTCAGCTCTACAGAATTTAAAACTCGAATCTTTAATACTACAAGGATGTTATCAGTTGACTATCGATGGAATCAAAGGTCTTACACAATATCAAACTTGTTTAAAAGTCCTTGATATTAGTTTTTGCGTGCGTATTACGGATGCTAGTCTACTTCGTATATGTAAAAATTTGACAATGTTAGAAACACTCAAAATAAAAAGGTGCCGTGCAGTTACCGATATAGGTGTACAATATATTCGATTACTCAGGAACTTGAGAGAACTTGACATCTCGGAAGTTGAACAACTCACCAAAAATTGTATTACCCATGGGCTTTGTTCGAGATGTGATACAGATACCAGTAGTAATACTACTACTCGTAATGTAAAAGAAAAGATCGATTCGGAAAATTTCAATTTTAGATGCCTTGATGATTACGATATGGAAAATATCATACAAAAAAAGAACTTGCAAATGTTCTCTGCAAATGCATTACATCTTCATGAAGAATCAATCGAACGCATATCCAGGTGTTTCCCTAATTTAAAGTTGCTCGAACTTGGTTATTGTTTTAATGGCGTTACAGACAAAACAATACAGGTGCGTAAAAATAACTTTACACGCGTTATGCTAAGCTTTGATATTACAAAGATTTAATATAATGTACAAAGAATGCCATTTGAACTAGAATTAAAAAATTGGTCCGTCGATAGATTCTACGCTGATCGTGTAAATCATATATTTTTTCAGTGATGATGCTCATGCATATAAAAGTAGGTTTATCTTTTATAGATGATATTCAAGGAGCTTGTACATTTGCAAACACTAAAAATAAACCATTGCGATAAGGTCAGCGATGCTGGCTTAACGGGTATGGGTGCTGGTAACCATGAAACTGTCGAAAATATTGAGATTGTACATGAACCAGAAGTTACAGAAACTAAACTAAGAATTAGTTTACGTTCGAGGGCAGAAGAAGAAATAGTGCGCGATGCTAATCGAAAGTGGAAAGTCATGAAACTCTGCGAAAACGTATCTAGACCTTTGAACTTGAAAACATTTTCTGGATTTTCGTTGATTAGACTCAAATATCTTCGCGAACTCGACCTCTCTGGTTGTAATAAAATCACCGATGTTAGTTTAAAGCATGCATTTGCTTTTCCAGAATTAAGAATCTTAAATTTAAGCCAATGCCAACAGGTAACTACAGATCTATTTGAACTATATGGGAAAGCCGTACCAAAATCTTTACGTACCATTTTACGTTATTAAAGGTAACGCACATAGGGCTGGATTACTTATCTAAGAACAATCCAGCAATCGAAGATTTAAATCTCAACCAGTGTCATAATGTATCAGATATAGGAATATCTTATCTGGCACAGAGACTGCACAGATTAAAGCGGCTTCTTATACAGGTAATTCTTCCAAGAAATAGAAATGAATAATTATTAATATAATTTTATCTGTTCTTTTATTACAGGGGTGTTCGCAACTCACAGATCATACCCTTGACTCTATCAGATTGTATTGCAAGAGTCTTCATTATCTCGATACCCGTTACTGTCTAGGTATGACAGTAGCTGGGGTCGAGAGTTTGACACATCTATACGTCGATTGGATCAAACACATAGATGATATTGTCTCTCCAGAAAACGAAATACCTCCTCCACCTGCTCCACCTTTACCGTCATTACCTTCTTTACCATAGAGACGACTTCAATATTTCCTTTCACATTTTAAAGACAGGGTAAGAGAAAATTAAACTATTACTTAATGACGACCATAAATATCATATTTTTGTTAGATTTTATTCAACGAACAAAATGGGAAACGTGAGATTGCGATTTACGAGTATCTATTTCCCCAGAAAATTATATTAACTTAAATATTCCTATATAATTGAATAATATTTGATATCCTTTAAAATGAACTAATAGTTTGGTTCAATACTTTGTAATCATATTTAATTTAAAGACCACAAAGTATTGGAAAAGACGTGAAGCAAACATAGATTTTTTCACAAACTTTTTGCATCAAAAATATCGATATTTAACATTATATACAAGAAAATTGTACATAGAACTATATAAATAACAAAACAGATTGTGCTCTTAAAAATATTTATGTAAAAATATTTATAATTATTTATATAGAAAGATCAGAGTTTAAATGTGTATAACAATGCTTTGCTGAAGTTATTTATAAGAACAAATTAAAAAATCAAGCAATTTAATAAAATATTTATTCATTACTATTTAATACGTAAACTAAAAAAGTAATTGATTAAGTATATTTATAAAACATCGAGTGATAATGTGAGTTTGATTACGTGCAATAAATTAGCCAAAAATATTATTCAAATGATAAAATATTCCTCACTTATTTAAACATAAGGAAGAAGTGACTGATAAAAATATTACTTACAAGTTGTTTTACGATTTTAGAGCTAGTTTTATTGCGTCCAATATTTAAAATTTAGTTAAAATTTTAGTTATCTGTTGGAGTTTATCCTTTTGTACAAAATTTTTAATATATCACAAAATCTGACACGTACAAATAGCGTAGCATCAACTACATCTTTGTACAGGATACATATTTTGATTTTTGTTTTTAATACAATATATAGTTTGATCCCCTATGAATTAAAAATAACATTACATAGATATAATAAAAATTCGTTAAGACTAAGTTCCGTAAGATTTTCTAGAAATTATGAATTTGGAGCAATTTAAATATTTGAAAATTGAGTGGCTTTCAATTTTCTGTATTAAACTTTTGCAAATTGTATTATTCTTTTATACCTATTGGTATAAGAAATAGTTCATAGAAGATCAATAACAATTTTTTTATAATATTCAGAAGAAAGAGGATCTCTGAAAACTTCGTATCGTGTATGACACATACATAAATAACCTAACTGTGGATTCTATCTACAAAACTGTAAAATGTACTTGAAATTAATTTGAAAATGGAAAAAAGTAAAATACATAAGAAAGATATGGTTAACACTTTACTGCATATGGAATTACATAATATATGTTACGTTTTCCTATGAATTTTTAATGTAGTATAAACTTTCTCTTGACAAATGATTATAAAAAAACTTACTTATTACTAAATTAAAATAACATATTAATGTAATAAAGATACGCAGTACCATTCTGATTACATTATCTACTGGTAAACACAAACTTAAATTCTCAATTTACTTGTTAGAGGTTCAAGACCAAGATTTCAGTGTTTAACAAAACAGGAAGTCAACCATTGTAACTGTTAACTATCCGATGCTGAAAAATAGTTTGTCAAAAGAATACTGAATTTGTAACTAAAACAAAAATGAAAAAAAAAAAAAACGTTAAACTTTGTTTTTTGCTAATTGAATCTATTTACAAAGTAAATGTACAATTAAATATTTTTATAATCTAAATAGTCTATTGAATATTTAGTTTTACTAGTATTAATCAATTAATATTAACTCTCTATAATAGCCATCAAATACACATAGATTAAATTTGTATCATCTTTCCATTTCAAATTAATACACTTGAATCTCTATTTTACATTACTATAACGACTATTTAATAATAACTGTCTGATTCATTTACAAAATTCATTATAAGTATCGACAATACCTTAATAACTTTACATGGAGTCTTTAATGTGTTAACAATTTTACTAAAAGAAGCAATCTTTAGAAGATCAAATACGAAAAATTCACTTATTGGAAGTAATAGAATCTTTCACATAACACTAAAGTAGTGATAGTGTTTGAACGAGAACACTGAAATCTTATCTTGTACTATCACTTTTGCTTCAATTATCCTTATACCACAGTGAAACAATAGATACGAAAAGTATAATGATATGTTAAACAAATTTTGATTTCCAACACAATGTTCCAACTATTGTATGTATATACATATATATGTATACATAAAGTAATCAAAGAAAACGTTATATATATATATATATTCATATGCGCCGCATCGTATAATATTCACTTGTTAATACTGTGCTCTACACACACTATATAAAAAAATGTTACTGTTCTGTTGACGGACATGTTTGCTAAATATCCTGACAGCAGGATTCTTTATCGGCGCGACAATCTTCTGCATAGCTTATGTACAAATCAATGAGAACAGGAATTATTCCTTCAATACGTTCTCATTAGGCTATTTTTGCAAGAGACAGAAATACGTTTAACACGTAGTTTAATCATGTGAAAAATTAATATCTCTTCCAATCTAGAGTACACATTTGGTACTTTTATGTTGTACTTTCTCCTTCAAGGGAATTTAAGTAAACCTCTGTGCGTATTTCAATTGTTACTTTTCTCTGCACGCTATATATTTGTCACAGGGTTCGCTGCATCATACAGTTAATTATTAAAACGAAAGGTATTACCAACGAGGTAATTAAAAATCCAGCAGTTTTTCTTCCAAAGCTAAAATAAAAAAATAATTATATATGTATACATATATGTGTGTGAATCATAAAGCACAAATCTGAGATAGCATCAATCGCTTATCGTGAAAGAACTTCTTGCGAGTCTCCTTAGTCAAAGATCTATTTTCCTTAAATTAAGAAATCCTCTGCATGCTCAGAAGAATATCAAATATATTGCAAAAGGTGAAATGATAAAAATTGTTCATTTCTTTGTTTACATGTAAATAGTTACTGAAATTAAATACCTTATTTACTTTCGACTGCAATGAAACATATCAATGATCCATCCATAGATTTTGCTAAATTAACTCTTAACACATTTATTATACAATTTCTTTAAGTAGATCAGTCTGATACAGAATATTTTTAAGTCGCTAATTAGCTGAAAAAATATATAATCAATTGTGTTACTACAAGCACAGAAAGTCTATTCATAATTTAAATACTGTTTTTTATAGTATGAAGAATTCTTTTAGATATGAAAGAATAACTTCGAATTTGTTCACTCTATTATTTATAAAACATCTTTAAAAAGAGTATATGTTCGTACTTTTTGACAATTGTTATTAAGTTTGGGATTATAATTTGTGGACCAAATAAACTAGTAAATAAATGAAAATCTCATCTACTAATACATATACATACATACATATGGATTATATGTATGTATATATATATATATATGTGAACATTTATTAAGAGCATTCATAAACATATGTTTGCATAAATATAATTCTTTCATCAACATCGTTTCAAAACGCAATAAATATATTATAATTTTCTTTCATATTTACGGACACGTACGATAAACAAATCACATTAAGCATATCTCAGATATGCATTTCCTAACACAGGAAATAAAATGTATACCATTTTAAATACGCATCAGTCAACTTAAATATTTGCATACTTATGCATTTCTTATTTATCTTAAACTTTTTACGTCTTAATAAAATCATGACATTATTTAATATAAGTTGATACAATTTCATAACAACCTTATTGAATAATTATTAACAAAGAAGAGAAATAAACGTTTTATAAGCCGATAATAGCTTTACAATGTATCAAAAAGTCGAGACAGGTACATGAATTCGTTTATCTTAAAAGTATAAAAATACAAAATAGCGTCTAAAGTTCAACTTTATCCGTACAATTCTTTAATGAACCAGGACATTAGATGTTCACGTACGCGACACTTCTATTGCAGATGAGGTTAGTACAAAAAATACGAATTTCGTATATACTTTTTAAAGCTATTTACATAGACGAGACGCGTAAACAAGGTTGCACTAAAATCTCATAAATAATAAGATCATCAAGTTACAAATAACAAATGATTCTATCAATGCTATGTATCACTCATACAAAATACGAACAAAATGTTCAATCTGTTCTGGTATAATTTTGTAATTTCTGGATTATTGATAGATATACAGTGTGAACATGATTAATAGATAAGATAAATCTTTGAGATTACACACGCAGGAACTTCAAAGTTTTACATTGTACTATCAATGTTAGTCACTATAACGTGTTCCAATGTTATATTAAAATCAAAATGATTTGTTTACGCTTGATTGAATTTTTAAAGTGCGAATAAATAATTTTCTTATTTCATATTGTTTCATATCGACATGGTATACATAGATTAAAACACAATGAAATCATAAATTACGTAAAAAAAGTTATTGTGGCAATTGAATTTTATCAGTCTGTAATAGCAGCAAATCCAGAGGATTTTATGCGCTGGTAGTTTTTAGCCACAGTGTCCTCCCTAAACCGACGAGATCATTGAATTGACCACTTATATCGAGACTGCATTCTCCTCTAGTAATTAGGTACCCTTTGTTTTGTACATTATGCAAGCTCGTTGCTTATTTGCTCATCGAAATACACCGACAGAGAAAACGAGAGCATGCTCATGATGATCCATTGAGAATAAAACATACTGAAACCAAAGCAACAGTGGATGTAACAGTGATCTGAACCTGCAAAAAAATCTGCCCTGAGACAATTTCTTTTGGAATAAAGACTGGACCTGTCAGACAGAACAATCTCGACAGGAAAATGTAATCTTCAATCTGAAGATGCGTTAAGTGACCAACTATATGAAAGATATCAGATTGTAACACAAACCGATAATAATCATATGGATTAACAAAACAATGTAAAGATTCCACATTAATGTACAAAATAATCTCTTTTCTTTTCGTTTATATCGTTATTATATGAAAACTCATTACTTATTCAATTTAAATGAGATCAAGCGACTCACCAGAGGAATGAGACTTTACGAAGTGTTTACATCATTTGTTAAGGATTCAAGAAGCGAAGCTTTGTTATCATCCAAATCTAGAGGATCAGATTCGTAAAGATTGTTTGCAGTTGCATCAGCTGTTGCACCAGGCGAAGTACCATCCAAGAACATCATGTCATCGTCGAAATCTAGTAAGTTTTGTGTTGGATTATACGCCATAAGTTCTCCGCCATTCCCATTAATGTTTTCTGTAACTCCGAAAAGACTATATGACTTTATGACTCGCTCAAAAGAAGAAGACAAAATTCATTTTACTTTTGCATGTATGTCACTATGAAAAGTAACTGAAATCGATTTTCGCAATCATTAAGAGGATAATGGATTTGACTAGAAACAAACAATTACAAGTTTTACCATTAGTGTGATCGTCATCTTCTTTCTCAGAATGTGGATTCAGCTCTGGATTAACAGGCATACCAAATGACATTGGATCGTCTGCACCAAATAACTGTAAATATATATGTATATATATATATATATAGACTAATATATGTGTACTAATATATGTATATATATTAGTCTCTTTTTATATATATATATATATAAAGTAATGAAAGAAAACTTTTTATAAACACTGCTTAACGCTTTGAGGGCGGAAAACTTTAAAGATGAATGATCTTTGTAGATGGAGCACTTTATTGCATGTTGCATACCTCTTCGATTAACTATAAGCAAATACATATGCTCCGTATTATTTTACTTACAAGATAAATGAAATGTTTTACGATGTTTATTTAGCAAATACATAATCTGATGTTATACTTTCTACAGTCGTCTCAAATATCATTTTGGTTTCGTAAACACAAGTTAAGAAATTTATCAAACATCAGTTTATAGGCTACTTTGATGCTTTGTGCTTGAAATTTATAAGTACTTTAAAAGTTAAATACTTACTCCGAGAAGCGTGTTTGCATCGATACTGTAACCCTCGCCACGTAGAATTTCACGAAGATTATCCAAATCTGTCTGCATTGATTCAAGATGATTATCCATTTCTTCCCTAGAGACAATTATTCAAGATAGATCATTATACTTAAATTAACTATGATTTCACACAATTTTATGGATATCATTATAAACGAATTAGAAAAGCATTGTCAAGGCTTATTCTGAAAAGTACAATCCTTCTATTTGTCTTGAACGATAGCAATAGCAGATATGGGTGACATATTTTCTTCGTTTTTAAAATAGAAAAGTTAATTTAATTCACCATGTGTGAATATTGATAACTTTATATGAATGATACTTTTGAAGATACAATACTGATTCATTATAATAATTAACAAATGCATTTAGAGTTAGTAGTTCTGTTAAACTAAATGATCATTTCTCTTCCCATGAATTAATTTTGTAGGTGAACTTAAAGTGAAACAAGATTTTAGATTAAACAAAATTCCTGTTAAAATCAGTTGACAGTTGAGTATCATTAAAAAATGATATGCCATTTTGATACTATGAAAAAGATGATACCAAAGAGTCATTACTTTTCAAATTCTATGAAATACCATGAAATTCCTAGATCAAAGGCAATGATTGAGATTTGACAAAAAAATGTCACACATTATTATCAGTAAATTGTATAACTCATTAATAAGCTTCATTCAAAATCTATCAAATTGTATTAAAAATAGAAAAATTAGTTGGCTCCCACCTCTATCTTCTGATTAAGGATTTCCATTACAGATAAGTGGAATTCACTGCATTCAACATTCTTTACCCATGATGTGTATGTTGAACTTACGTTGATCCTAACCTGTAAGTAGTGTCAGATATGCCAGAGGGATTGATACAACTCAAAGATAAATCTGTGCTTGTGCCTTCTCCATTGGTATTGAATTTTTCTTCCTCCAAAACTTTTTGAGCACAATTTTTTTTTGAAACTCTTTGACTATCTTTTTTAACATTACTAAAAGCTTCGTTAACGTGATCAATGTTATTATCATTTCTCCCTGATTCAGAGTTACTATTATTTTCATTATACTCTATGTTCTCATTGTCCTTGGCATTTTCGTCGTTAATAATTTCTGAACCTATTAAAATGTCTTCGAGTTTCACCAAGTCAGAATTAGTCTCTTGAGAATCTTCTTCTATGTCCGCAGAATTCTCCAAATTGAACTCTTTCTCTGCATCAACTGCTTTGTTTATATTAGCTGCCATAGCTTTGAGCTTTGAGCTACGCACACTTGATATAGGTACAGGCGTAGGAACTAATTTATTTTCCAATAAAGTAACAGTCACCGGTGATTCTTCCAGTGGAATTTCAAATACATGTGTTTCTTCCCTAAAATAGTGAAACAAGCAGTTGCCAATCTTCGTTATCTAGAGTTAAATTTTTGTAGCCATAATCTGCTCGTAATAGATCTTATTTACTTCAAAAGTCATAATCTGCCTTAGAATACATTCTTAACTACAATTCTGATCGATGGAAGTATTGCAAGAGCATACATAGAAATATTCAAAGCATTATACAAGAACATGCTTCTAAATATATTGTAAAATTATTCTTATTACAATATTATTTTCTAAGACATCAATACAATTTGTTTATAAATAAGCTATAAAAACAAAAAGGAAAAGAATAATGTTAGAGGAAAGTAATGCAATGTGTAAGACATATGTGCATTAGAAGTAAGAAAGTCAATGCGTAACGATCATTTTCTTTTTGCAAAAAATGTATACTATTTTTCTTAGCTCCTTCGGTAAATAAGAATTTAGAATATGAAATTAAATGGAATTAATATTTAATATTTTGTAAACGAAAAAGGTATGCGATCATTGTACAAAATATATATATTAATAACGTATCACACATTCATCAAATATAACATACACATCTGTTAATAACGATACAAAGGGTATGAGTAAATTTGATAAATCGCTACGTGAACATGCGTGGAATAAACCTGACCATACAATGTGTATATAATGTATCCTATCTAAATTAGATTAACCATCCGATGCACATATATTTACATTGTATTAGATCTAACCACAGAAATACAGTTTGACATTTAAATAAATTAATATTTGTCCTATAATAATAATTAACATGTCAACATATATAGTAAGCGAAGCATGAATTATAAAATAATGTTATTAATGATATGAATTAATGAAGGAATTGCGTAAGAAATAAAAGAATCGAATAATAACTAACATTTAAATCAAATGCAAATTAACCAAGGATTAACAAAACTTCTCTCATGAAAATAATAAACTACCGAAAGAAGAGTTATCAATGTAGCAGTATTACAACTGACAAAATTTAACTCTAAGAAAATCATCTTAGTATCAATGGTTTAGATCGAGAAAGTTTCTAACAGAAATAAGTAGTATCGCAATATTGCTGAATGTTCATGCAAAAAGAAATGAAACTAAGCAAAATTGCGATATCAACTAAAGTAATTTTTAAAGTAGTATGAACACCAACACCAAATGACGACAAGAGAAAAATGTTAACCTCGGTTGTTCTCCATTCTTCATCGATGGGATCAAAATTTTGACAGGCACCTTGTTTTTCCTCCTGGTAATATTTAAATTGCGATGATATGAGTGTCATTGAAAACTAAGTAATGTCATGAGAGATATGAAAAAGTTGATTATGTAAAATTCCCTTGTTTTCTGTTTAGTGTAGACATTATCAGGTTATAATATAGCGTACCATAACATGTAGGATCTACTTAATGGCCGATTAAAGACGTAACAGCAATGAAAAAAATTCATACGAACAGCTACTCTACTAAAACATTGTGTCCGACTTATAGTCATTTTTCTACATTAACAGTTCTTACTGTATACATATAAATATTGAACTTTTTCCATTGTTTGTTTGGTCTTAGTCGAACAGTAAAGTGAGTCTCACATGTTAAGATACATCCCTGTATGTGTGTGCAATTTAATTTTAGTATATATCTAAACGATACCATTGTAGTATACGATTCAATACAAATTTATGCCCCCTGTATTTTTAATTGCGTTATGTAAATTATTTACTACATTCCATGCATGAAAAAGTATATTGGAATGTACAAAGAAATTTCATTATAACTTGTCCGGATGATCAGTTTTCTAACTTGAATGAAAGGCAAACACAAATGAAAACGTAAAAACACTTATTTGTAGAGTAACTGGTATTGGAATTTTGTTGTATTCATCATGCAAAACTCCATCTCATTATAATTTCAAAATTGAAAGATTGTACATGACTCAGTTATAGACATCGCCTCGTTTAATTAGCAAATTTATTACTAGAATTGCACCCCATAATAATTTAGTTCAACTTACTTCTTTTTACCCTTACAACCACGTTTTTTCCTTGTATCGATCTCTTGCTGGTTGACCAATTGCATTTCATTCTGTAATTGGACCGAATCATCGACTAAATGTACAGTTTCCATATTATTATCATCTATTATCGATGCACTGTTATGCTCTGGACTTTGAATAGCTGGACTTTGATGTCCTTCTAGCATTCTAAAAGCAAAGGAGATATTTACGTATTATTTAGGCGTTTCATACAATCTATGCTAAATAAATTCAGATAGAAGGAATTAAAAGTTTTGTAACTTTGGTATTAACATACTCTGCAACGATATATTCTGAATCTAAATCTGGTTCAGATGCATCGAGTTCATGAATCACAGGTCCTGTAGGTGATGGCTGTGACTGAAAATAAAAACATACAGTTATATGGAATAATTAGATAAGCTGTATAAAATAATTATTAAGAGATAGTTGTAATTACCTTTGATAATTTAGATTGTTTATTACGTTGACGGTTAGAGTCATCGATCATTAATGGATACCTTCTTTTAACAGAGAGGCCACTGCCTCTCGAAGGTTGCACTAAAGTGACCAAGAAATGTATTAGTTTATTAACAATTTGCTGTTGTTTCATATGTTTTTGCCTAAGCATTGCAAGTTCTCTCCATAATGCTTCATTTTCTCTTTTCATAGCTCCTAATCTAGAATCTAAATGTTCTTGCCGACCTCTCATACTCCTCACTTCTGTCAGCATTTTATTCATTAATTCAGGTTTCATAGGTGTGAGCGTTGGATCTTGTCCTTTGCTAGATGCAATCTAAATAAATCACAATGGAACAATGTTGAAAGAAACAATACATATCGTATGTATCAACATAATTTACTAATGTTACCAGAAACCATTTTTTCAAAACGAAACATTACTTACTTTTCTTTTAATATGTTCTACAAGATATGGATGTCCTTTGCAAAAGAATTGATGTGCAAATTCCATTTCATCTTTGTCACACTTCAAACCACCTAATTCAACGGAAACCTTCTTGTGAAAACCATCTGAAATGTTTGCGTGTATTCAATAAAACAGAAACATATTTATTTTATCGATACAATATTTATCTAGTTCTATGTATACACTGTTACTTACACATATTCAACTGACGAACAAAGCTGGCCATGTTATTGTGTTTATAATAATGAGGTAACAATTCTCTGGCAAATTGTGCCTGATTTCTAATGAAAAAACTCCTACCATTCTAAAATAAACAAATGCATATAGCAACTGTTAAGATGTACATTACAGAATTTATAATTCATATGATCTTTTTGGAACAAATAGTTTTATTGCGAGAAATAAAGTATTAAAACGTTACTTTAGACTGTTATCGACTACTACAAATTTTAAAAAAAATTTGTTTAGCTATATATGGCGAAACTTGTCTATCATCTATAGTCAAAAACTTGATATTCAACGAAAAAAGAGAATTTATAGTTGTAATAATGCGTTGTATATAGACACATATATGCATACATATAATGGCGAAACTAAGTACGGAATAAATTACACCAACATCGGTTATATGTAAAATATAGGTTGTGTATGTTAAAATTTGTACGCGGAGGTCAACGTTTTGCTTACGTTTGAGTCGATTACTCGTCTCACGTTAACAGTGAACTTATCGTTGTCATGAAAGCGAACAGTCGATCCCAGTGTTAGAATTTTTCAAATAATTAACGTGAGACATCAAGAGAAAGCAAGCAAACAATAAAATAAGAAGTACTTACAGGGGACCAACAAATAAGGTCGTCAGTTTCGGGATCTTCTACCAGCTTCCAAAGCTTGGCAAGGAATGCCGGTACACTTGTACCTAATTCCGGAATCGTATGCATCTTACCGTAAACAATTTCAAATTTAATGATTAACAATTGATCGGCTTTTGTAGCGAATATATCACGTTCAGAAAAATCTTCACATCTCACGACAATGGCTGACCGCTGACGATGTTATTCTGCTAGCGCTAGTAGTACTTACAGGTGAAGAGAGAGGGGGCTTCAATGGGTGAATATATTGTATATATGTTGGCTTTCCATTTAATTTTAAAATTATAATGAAACAATCGTTGGTATTGGCCCGGTGATTTATTCTTTCTTTTCGAGTACAGTTTAACCAGTAAACCAGTAAACGGACTAGTAATCTATCGAATAGATTCAGATTTAAATCGTTTGGGCAGTGCTCATACAACTTAAAAACTGATATGGTATAGCATGGTATGTTATGTCACAGCCGACTCGGCTGTGGTTATATCCAATGATATTGTCCGTTCAACTTAAAAAGAGTAGAGTGAATGTTCGTTATACTATACACTTTGATTATATTTAATGTGACTAATTGACTATACAAAACCATCTGATCACAATCACAACCACAACCACAACCAAAACAGTACCATTTTACCAGAGAGTTACTCCAAGTTACTCTCTGCAATTCCCTGGATAGATTCAGGTATATAATCAAATTAATCCAAGTTACTGCTTACCATGTATAATAAATGCTATTTATTTCATTTACAGTGAAGTTTTTATCTTCTTACAAAAAAATATGAAAAAGCCAGAACTGTTTTTGAAACATTTATATTCTGTTCTACACAAAGATAATTAATACTTTTGTACATATCTTTTGATATGTAATTTTCTTATCGATACAATACCATGAAGATAAAGCATGATACAAGTTTTTAAAGTTCGCGTCATCAATCTTGATTAATACATACATTAAAATTTTCATTTTGATACATTTTATAGTTCTACAGAATTAACAATTTTAAATAACTCAGTTTACATTGCAGTATAATTTAAAAACTGTTTAAAGTATACAAGTTACATAACATATACATTGCATATAAACTTATCAAAATTACTCCTAATTAAGATTGATATAAGTCAATGTATAACATCACATAATATAAAACTATATAATAACGTAATAATAAAAATTCAAGTTCAATTAAACAAAAATATAGTTACCATAAAATATGTCGTAAATTGTAATATCACGAATTAATCAGTCCTTAAATGGAGTCGAATAAGTATTATAAATGTAATTAAAAAGTATAAGTGGTTTTGAAACATTTAAATGATTATATTATACTTTGACATACGTATTAACAATGTTTACATTTAAAATTATATGTTGAAATACTTATTTATTTTAAGCTCTGAAACAATAATACTACTTTGCACTTAAATCATTTAGTTGTATAAAATGCAAGTTATGTCGTGAGCATGTATATACAAACTTATCATATATGTATAATTTTCAAGAAAAGGAACACATGGAAGTTTATAAAGTACAACTAAAATCACATTTATACTTAATGGCACTTCTCACATCTGAAACATTATTTTGCACTACTGTCTTTGATTATAAAAGAAATTTATAAATAATTATTGCAGTTCCTTATAGTTTACATTAATCGCAATAAATTTACCTATAAAAAGTCTTCGGTAGACGTCACTGTAGCTTCTATAAGTAGACCGAAATCTAATTCGGTTAGACTAGCTGCAAAAATTAAGGATATTTTACGATTAAAACAAGTTACGCAATTATACAAGTTCTAGATTTATACCTTTTGCTGTAAGTAGATCGAGGAATGTATCTAGCGGAGATAATCGATCCGCAGAAGGAAATGCAGCCAAACCTACAAAGACTTTATTTTATAAAATATCGTGCTAGGGGTTTGTTATCGTTTGTTATTTTTCATTACCGTTGTGATGATTTTTGTGCTGCGATGTTCTACCACGATTCTGACATATTTCACCGCATAAAATGTTAGCGGCATGTTCACGTGCTCGTATCATGAAACTCACTGGATGCAACCACTGATTTAGAAGTCTCTTGGCTCGTGATCTCGGTAGCAAAGATAACAAAGTTAATTTACGAATAGCGTTTTCTTTCGTATCGCTAATATCTAAAAGGAGAGAGAACATTACATGGGTATTATATATTATAAACGCAAGCAAATACATTGAAATTTAAAGATAGAAACTGCACCAGCCATAATAATTTTGCTGACGTCCACTTGCAATTCGAATACCGATCGTTGTACATATTGCAAGAACATTGAATACTTTAGAGTCCTGTATCCAAGGTAAGTGAAAAACGATGTAAATCCTTGTGGTGCCGGGAATGCTATACTTTCTATTGAACACCTATAGCGCTCCAATAATATAAATAATAACCATCGTCTTGCTTCGTCTAGTTGATCCCTGAAGATACGATATGTTTGTATTGTATATTAAACGAGAAGGAAAAAAAAATGAAGAGACTTACACCAAAATAAAGCCACGTTCTTGTTCGATTCGCGGGTCTACAGTTGCAGCTCGACATAGCATTTGACAAAGAGCTCGCGACGTTTCTAACTGTGCGGCAACATATCTTGTCGCCATAGCGTGAACATGCAGAGGGGTACACGATCCTTGGATATGCGTCATCGATGTCTGCGTACCGTGCTTCAACAAATACATAGATAATTCCCTTAAATTTACCGACACAATGTGTTCCTGCTTTGAGGCTGTGCAGCTCTCCATCTCGTTAAATGGCAAACTCGAGTCTAATAATTTATTACCGCGACCACCTGTTAAATCTCCGAGCGATACTGTGGCTACAACCAATCTAAAACATTAATACATATTATAAATGTTCCTAAATGGATGGGTTTGTAGGATATTCATTTAAATTATGAAAAATTTTGTTACCCTCCGCTTGGAGACATCGGAGTGCTGGATCTAGATAGCGCTTCCGGTTGATAGCATGCTAAAGAAACTAACAATTTTTCTGCAATTTTGCTTGGTTTAAATCTCGTTTTGTCTTCATTATTTCTACCAAGTTGATCCCACAATCTAGTCCACAAGTCGCTACGATAAGGAATTAATCTTTGTTGTGGCGAAAGTAACATAACCGATGTGTTCCAAAGCTTCTCGTGACTCAATGTTATACTTAAATCATTCACTTTAATCTCAAAACTGGTATATTCTTCGATAGTTGTAACGGGTATTAACGACAGCAGAGGTATTGCATCTGCTAGCAAATTCTTTTGTACCAGAGCATACGATCCGCCTATAAGAACTTCTTGCATGTACCGTACAATTTCCAACGACCTCGGCTTTTCTGCGATCGTACATACTAATTCCGAAATAATATCCACATCATTTCTATGGCATAGAAAATAATGTAATATTCCTAGACGTACTTCCGTTGATGTTTCTTTACGAAACACTTCAGCGAGGAAATCTGAGGTAATTTTTAATTGCACTAAGTCCAAGGTAGGTAAATCTATTGTTAGTATGTTCGTATTTGAATGAGGAGATGCATTGCTCCCTTCTAAGGAAGTTGGATCATATTTTTTTTTACTTCCTTTGTTATTATTTTCTAATTCAAGCAGTGGTATCAGATAAGAAGAGCGTGATGGAATTGTAGTCAATGGACCACATAATATATGACAGCACGGTTCGTGATTGGTTCCAATTTCGAGAAGATGAGTAAATAAACCTTGCACGAGAACAATCATGTGATGATGTTCATAGATCGCAAATGTCGGTCGTATGAGTTTAGCGCGCGACCACGGTATGCCTGGTATAACACAATGAATTACACAACTGTGATGAAGAAGCGTTACGGAATATGCAAAATGCACCGTGTTAGATTCGGTCAACGAGTTAAGTACATGCTGCTGTGGTTTTACTGGACGATATAAATAATGGTGACAAACACACACCATTCCTTTAGAGTCGGATACCACAATGAGATCTAAGGAACAATCGTGAACTCTTAAAGGTATAACATCGTCTTCGTAAGTTCCACAGTTGGACGAAGTTGATAATTGAGGTAGATTTAGTGGTATGTTCAACTAGAAAAAAAACAAACAGCAGTTTGAAGCATATAATAACATATCTATGTAAAAAAAGTCGTTATATTGAATTAAAATAAACCAAATAATGTATTCACCACTGTCTCATGCGGTAAATCGTCGTGAAACTGGAGACCACTGAGCGTAGGATTAGTTCGAATGGATTTATTTTGCTTATCGTCGTCAGCTTCGGAAACTAAACTTACTGGAATTCGTCGATGATGTATATGATATAATACTTGATTTATCATGTCCCATTGAGCCCACATAAATGTTTTTACCAACGGTTCGGATTTTAACTCTTGTATTGGCCAAAAATCTGATTCAGTTGTATCAAATGATATGGTATATATTAGGATACCTGGATGATAGAATAAATTAGTTTATAATAAATAATAAAACATTTTTTAACGATAACTTGCATAATTTCTCACATTCTTGATGTATCATTAACAAAAATTTATCCAAGTGCCCATCTTCTTTTTCTCTGTATAAAAACTGAATACGCACTTGTTTGGATCTCTTTGTATCTAAGTTATGAATTTTTACACCTTTTTCTTGTAATTCAATTATGTATGCATCGTACATTTCTGCACCTGTCGATATACTATCGTCAGATTCTTCAACTACTGAATTTGTATCCAAGGAAACTTTCTGTTTAGCCACATATCCAAAAACAGTATGACTTTGATTTATCGATGCTTGTACGATATTCAATACTTTTGAGAATTGGTGCAACACCTATATCATAATTTATTATTTTAATTTGACAAATTCCATTAGAAGTGATCAATGTATTTAGATGTTGAACCCACTTGTAATTTATCATTAATCCGGTCGTAACGGCCTACAACAGTATACGACGCAAATATATTGTTTTCGATTGTTTCCTCTACCCAACCAACTAACAGAGATCCATCTTTCTCCTGACCTAACAATTTCCATTGTTCCCCTAGAAATTGGAGTTTTACTTTAAAAAATGACAATTCTATTCATATTGCGTACAAAGTACACGTGCTACACGATTTCATAGGTGTCTGTTACTATTTACATTTCAAAAAAAATTATAAAATCGCTATAGTTACCTGATTGTGCTTTTTCTGGCAAAAGCAAACATAACTTGGCAGCAAGATTATCTATCATATCTACTTGTAAATTTTCTTAAATAGATACTACTTTGCAGCCTTTGTAGCGATTGTCTTTAATTTATCGGTAAGCATCAATTTTGCATATTTTTTGACATTTGCTGATGTATCTTCCAGTATCGTCTGCTACTATTATCATACACAACGTATAATATAGAGCAGCTATCGACAACTGATTAATTTACAGAGATGGTCGACTTCGGGCGGAAAGTAGATAACGTGCAATCATTAATGATCTATTCCCGAACACACCTAACACCTCCTACCACTTTCTAACACACCTTCTGACACCTAGACACCTCCATTTAATGGTATATATATGTATATATATATCCCTTTATTTCCTGGTACATTTCTACGCAGAAACTACGCCTCATTTCTGTGATATTTCCCTATAATTTCCAGGAATTAAAGGGAAATTATAGGGAAATGTACCAGGAAATGGAGGGAAATTAAAGGGAAATGTGTAAGGAAATGACGGGAAGTAATGGGAAATATGTGAGGAAATGAAGGGAAATTAAATGGAAATATGTAAGGAAATGGGGGGAAGTTAAAGGGGAATGTCACAGAAATGAAGAGAAATGAAAGGAAAATATCATGTGGTGTTAGGGGTTGTTAAAAGGTGTTAGAAGATGTTAGAAAGAGTTAGGAGATGTTAGGATGTGTTAGGGGACATTAAAAGGTGTTAGGAGGTGTTAAGAGATGTGGAGAGGTGTCAGGAAGTGTTAGAAGGCGTTAGGAGACGTTAGAAAATGTTAGAAGGCGTTAGGAGTTGTTAGGAGACTTCACTCACGTTTAAGTGATCTGATGCCTGTACCGCCATCGGTGGCAAAACGTCTAAGTTTGTAGTGAAAATAGTTCTCATTACTGCCGCTAGATGGTGCTACCAACGACAGCGTTGATACTTATTGTTGCATTGAACTATTCGTAAAAATGAGAAATTTTAGCATATTAACTACTATATTGTAGTGTTATAAAACAAAAAGTCATATTTAATTTGCATTTATAACAAATAAAGAATAATTTATTAAAAGGTATCGATGGCGCCATCTTACAGAATTAATGGGAACTATTTTCACTACAAACTTAGACGTTTTGCCACCGATGGCGCCACTATCCAAGAAATAGATAATTAACGCAGTATTAAATAATTATGCATGAAAATGACAAAAATTTGCTATATTAACCAATATATTGTACTGTAATAAAGCAAGGAATCGTATTAACCATGGATTTATATCAAAAATAAAAAGTAATTAATGAAAAGATGCTGGTGGCGTCATCTAGCAGAAACAGCGGAAACTATTTTCGCTAGAAACTTGGACGTTTTGCCACCGATGGCGCCACAGGTACTAAGATTAATATTATTATATATTTTTTAAAATGACAAATTGGCATAATCACAGATTCGCTAAACATTTTATTATATCCTACACTTATTACTTAATTTTATTTTAAGTTTATTATAAGGAAAGTGAGATATTAGGAGTACAATAAGTGTCATATGTATTTACGAAAAATTAGTTCGGTCTTTTGACCGCGAGATGGCGATGAACGATACCATTTATGTGTCTATGAAACGCCTGATTTAACCCCTTGCGGTCGTATGTCGAGCGTGACTCGACTAATGCATTAAAATTAAAAAATTTAGACAGCAAAAGGTTAAATTAATCACAATTTTAAATGAACCGATAGCGTCAATGGTACTAAAAGCAGTATTAGTATAGTGATATTTATAGAAGTAGACGGTTTTTAGTTTTTAAATTAGTTTGATAAATTTAACCTATCAAAAGGAACCGACAATATTGTTTGAAAAAGAAAATAAAATTCCAGTAACTGTATGTTACGTGTTGTAAAACACGTAAAGAAGTGCGGTTACATGGAAGATCAGGGAACAGGAATTAAATTGTCGATGTATTTTATTTTATTTCCAACCACTTTCTTTATGTATAATGGACACATGGACGAAAAATCACAGCACAACGCAAGGTTGTATAAATATTTGTATGCATTCGTCGGAAATAATATGTACGCGTGAAAAGTATATAAAATCAAATATTAGGATATCGATACAGTAAGACCGCACTCTACGTTGCCACGTTCCTTTAAATTGATTGGTTTTGAGAACTTAGATTTGCGGAAATGTAATACCCATGTATGTACTCAAGAGTAACGAGCTAATTTAGTTGGCGAGTAATATGTGGAAATGGGAGAAAAAGATACCTTTGTACAAGTTACAATTAGATATCAGTAATTATATCACGATTGTTTTTCCGAGGTACCTTACATATACGGTATGTTGTTTTTCTCCATTGGCCTTGAATCCAATGAATTTAAAAGATTTCGAGATCATTCGTGCGAGTTGAAGAATCAGCGACTTGAACTAGCACTAGTAGATTGCTTCGAACTAGTATCGTTTTTAAAATAGTAATTGTCGCGAAGAACACGCTATTTCATGCGATGAAGCGACATTCATTTGATTCCTGCAATCGGGAAATTCTCTGAAACTGTGCTTGATCTCGTGCGCAACAAGTTGCCTAATTTATAGCGAGTCTAAAAAACTAATGGACTTAAGCATACATTCTCTAGTTTACCACTGACCAGTGGAAGTTGATCGGATACGTTTCAAAGGTTATAGTATATATATCTACATTTCACATGTTTTCTAAAGTTAAAATACGCTGTTCCTAAATTTGTCAATTTTCCGATTCCAATAAGAATGATACAATTCAAAGAATTAAACAGTTTTTATGAAACACATAAAATTGTTCTATTTATTAAAATGTAAGGAACATTTTATTAGAATAATCAAATTAACGAAGTAATAACCGTATCGTTATTTGTTATAAAAATACATGACTTCTGAAATCCATTCCCAAATTTTAAAAAAACTTTGGTTGTGTTACTCTAATATGAAAGAAGCGATGGATGAAAGTATAGTACAGAAAAGACTTAATTAGTACATAATCTTGAATAAAAAATAAAGTATTAGTATAATTTTCGTTGATGCAATGATGAACTATTCGAGCGGACGGATAACGAATTTTTGCGAAAGCCAGAGAAAATTTGTTAAAGAGTCTAGAAACAGTTGTCTACGTTACATCTAAGATACTTTCGTGAATGATATTATAAATAGTAACGGTCATGTTAATCATATAATTTAGCTTAATTTTAAAGTGCTAAATATGTGAAATTAATATTGGTGCACAAAATTTAAGAACTTTGAAATTTGTGTGTCACCAATAGTCAGTAGGAATAAAAGTATTAGAGCGAGTATCGTTACAAATATTAGATACTAATGTGTTGCTATGAACAGCGACAAAGTAAAGTCGCTGATTGCATAAAGTTTTAAGCGATGTATTAATTGGAACATTCCTTGTAAAAATTTTGGATAAAATACACTGGGAATAATTAAATATATTAGCAAAAGTTATTTGCTAATTACAATGAAAAACAGTGGAGACGCTGGTGTTAGCATTAAATTAAAACCGCTGATGCTATTAATATCTGTACGATGAGTCAACGAGTATGTACACCGTTTCTTTTCTAAAATAAAAGTTAAGTACGATTGCACCACGTCTGTTACACGAAAACAAAATCGTCGGTTGCTTTCGCGAGAAAAGAAAAGGTATATTTACAGTAACAACGTTATCAATATCGCATTGTAGAAAAAATAATATTACAATATACACGCAGAGAGCGAAAAGTCGACTTGTAAATAAAATCTTCGATCCGATCGTTGATTTGTCATACAATATGACAAATACTCGTGCGAAAATTGCAAAACGAGCAATTTAATTAAAAATAAACACGTCAATTTATCACAAATACAACCGCATAATCCACACATGTATTATGTGGACACACACACACACACGCGCGCGCACACATTTGTACGCATAAAACACAATCCACTAGAAAGAGAGTACTCGACTGTCTCTGTTATAGTCCAAGTTCTCGACAAAAGTAAACTTTTTCGAGTATCATATCGAATTTATATCGAATAATTTTGCATGTTTTTAATGCCAAAAGAGACAATTTGATATTCTGTTTCTGGTGAATCATTCGGTACACTGGCATTGCTAAAAAACACGATTCGGCAATGTTCCTTTAAATCTCAAATATTCAATTCTCTAGCTCTAGCGTGTAGTAAATGACGGTGTGTAGAAAACTGCGGTATATACATTTCCTTTTTCGACGTCTTCCAAATGCACTGCAGTGAACAACATTGAGCATCGGGTAGATATACATATATATGTATATTATACATACATTATAACCGTTGAATAGGAGTGTCGTCATACGACTCAGAAGACTTTGTCGACGATTCGAATATTTTTAGAGGTTTTCTCATTGTTCATTTTTCTTCTTCTTAACTATAAGTGTTATTCGGTAACCACCCTGAGAGCATCTCTTTTAACACGGGAAAAAAGATCTGCAACGAAATTTAGTTCATCGAAGATTTAGCAATGTATTAATCATCGATGAGCCATAGCCTTAGTTTTTTCGTGCGTCTAAGTTGAACTAAACCGTGTTTCTTCAGGAAACGGATTTCTTGGACATGTCTCTTTCCGGACTAGGACTAGGACTAGGACTAGGACTAGGTGAAGAACTTGGTGATCTTGAACTGCTGGAGCTTGATCTTGCCCTCTTCCTCTGTTCCAGACGATTTTTATGATCGTATAGGGGTCCACGAATAACCTTTAAGGCGGTTTCCAATTCGTAAGTCCGGTCCTTTAAGAAGTTGTACTGATTGAGATCGAATCCAGCTTGCTTGGCCTTCCGATGAAGAGCGACGAGATGTCGCCTGCTTATTACGCCGGGTAGCATGTATTCCTATTAACAGAAATATTTCAAGTATCGAACACTTTCTACTTGAAATGTCGTGTATCGAAGCCATAAAAATATTAGATAAATCCTCTCTAACAAGCAAAGAAATAGGATTAAGGTTATTGTAGGTGCTAACTAATTGGAATAGTGTTGAATTTGTATGGTAACCGAGTCACCGAGTCACCGAGTCACCGAGTCACCGAGTGATCGAGGATTGAAAAAATTTACCAACGATACTGACTTACCTGTCCTGTTACGACGTAATAGATGTAACAGACCACCATGGTGCCGAAAGTAACGAAATACGTGACCGGTTCCATGATATCCCACGAGTATTCCCACCAGGTTAACCTGGCCAAGCAGCTGAACTGAATCGACATCGCGAGTAACAACATCCAGACGAAACGTTGCGTTTTCTTGATAGCTACGCTTTCCAATTCCTGCAGTTGCTACAAAGGCGAATAAAGCAGAGATTTATTGATTCATTAGGTAAATATTCATTTTCCAGTTAATATTTGTGAATATGATGAAAATAATTGTAGAATTTGTAATTGTAACTGTTAGCAGTTGGTTATCTGATTGTGTTCGATTGTGCATAGAGAAAAGGCGGAAAAATGAGAAAGAACAAGGACCGATCCGTATTACATAATTGGAAACATAGAGGGAACGCGTTATTACGATGAATAGTTGATCGCTTCTCGTACGCGTTTCGTACGCGATTCGCGATAATATGGTAATTATGCTAACTGGGAACGCGAACGATTAAACGAACCCGTGGAAAATATTAATTCATCCGGTAAGGAGAAAACGAGGGATAAAAGAGGGGTCTCCGCGTTCGTTGAATAATGCGCACGCGTGCCGTGTTTTAATGCGCTGGATTTGCTAATAAATAATGTAGATATCCACAGCTCCTTAAACTTCCGTTTAATTAAGATAGCATCGAGTTGCGAAAAATTTGATCCGTTCGTATCGATCGTCGTCGAAGAACAGTAGCAAATAATTACGTGTAAAGTAATGGATCAAAGGTAAAACTTGAGGTGATATCGAAAGTTATCGAGCTGTATTTACCTGCTCGAGAGGTTCTAGCTCCAGTCTGACAGTTTCCAGCTCGGCCAAAATTTGCTTCTCCATGTCGGCATGATGTTCTCGAACGTGAAACGCTTCGTACAGTTGTCCGACTAAAGTTTGTACGTCCGATAACTTCTCTATATTTTCCTAAAACATTCCATTCAACGACGATCGTTTAAATTTGTTTTATGGGACGACTATTTCGGAACAGTTTCGAGCGAGGGTTACGAAACGATTAACAATTTTAATCAGTTTCCGACGTTTATGAACGCGATCAAGTCCGTACACGTTAGAGAATACGTGTACGTTGAAAAATGCAAGTATGTGTTACTTTACCGGCTCGATCTCTTTAATCAATGATTTTTGTTTTGCAAAAGCATCCTAATATTTTCTTCTATAGAACGAGTGACTGGATCGATTAGTGCACTGAAAATCGTGGAATCCTATTAATAAAGAAAGGGTGTAATTTCACTGTACGATCGCATGCGTGTACGTAAATGCACGATAGAAACGTAGAAAGTTGGACGATTCAAAACTACGTTACACCTACCTTCCACGTAGCATTTCTTTTTCTGCCAAACAGTTTCGTCTACTCGATTCGAGCCTCGATGTTTACGCGCGACGATATTATTTTGGTCATTTATAGATGTACGATAGATTGGAAAGTAAAAGCAATTTCGATATTTCAACTATCTACGTTTCTTAATAAAAAGAACGTTTGAAACAAGTATAGTCCCAAACAACTCACCATCGTCTGCCTGTGATGCAACGGCGGTGAAACGATGTATTCGTTGTCGTTTATTATCAACCGAAAGTCATCTTCCATTAACGTTTCTATCGTGTTGCTGTAACCTATCTTGACGCCGTCTGAAATCATTCAACTTTTCGTGTTGCAATCCGCTAATCGTTTCGCGTTTAAACTTGCTCGTGCTCACTTTCCTTGAGGAAAGAAGAAATTCTTCGGCAAACTCACCGACCGTCATTACGCTTGCTCGATCGATGCCACGATCCTCCCTCTTCAGCATTTTGATCAAGTCTCCCACCGTATGAGTTATCGGTTTCAGAGTAAACATGCAACGTTCCCTTCTGGATGGCAGAGGTACCGTGATCTTGGGTAATCCCCGATAATACGTCACAGTCACATCTGTAGCTGAAATTATTCCAATCGTTGATTCATTTAAAAACTGATCATTTTACACCGATAGCAGAACCTTATTGTCCTTTGGTATGCGTATTGCTCCATTAGAACCAAGCAACGCGTACAAAAACTACGAAATTTCAGCTTTCATTCTCGTCAGTTTGATTCGATTAGCACGGTTGGCTCCTCTCGTGAAATTTTAGTATAGCGACATGCTTATATCTTCTCCAACGATCCAAGCGAGAAAAGACGAGAGATGATTATAAAAAGACGAAATAGTTGTATAATATTTTTAACGGTCTTTCAACCGGTGCGGTGCGGTGCGTTTGAGATCGAGTTTCCAAGTAGGATTTTCGGTGTTAACAGAGACAATTTCAACGAACTCTCGCGGCGTATCCCCAGCTCTCAGCCGTATAATATCGTTGCCAGTCGAATGTGCCGCTAATCCTTTCCAGAGATGAAGGAAAAGGAGTAGTAAAGAACCCTCACGACTCGCGATGCCATCAGTGCCGCGCATGAAACTTGCGCCGTCCCGTCCTCGTGAATTCGTTTGCGTGATGCTCGTACGATCGAGAGCTGAATTAGCGTTAACCTGGTTAGCAGCCGTTTGATACGAGCAAGGTATCAGAGTGTGGAGACCGGAATGAGACGACTACGGGCATCCTTTCGATGGAAGCAGAACGGAACCGAGCACCGATCCGGCTGCTACGCGATCTCTCAAAATCCGCGTCAAAGAAGATCCGTGTCGGAGGCATGGCAAGAAATTAACATGTATCGTTTACAGAATTTTTACATCCAATTTGGTATGTTGCAACAAGTTTCGACGTGTTCTCGACAATTTAAAAAGAATCTCCGAAATTAAATAATTACACCGCGGCATTCTTTTATTGAAAAATATTAAAAAATAATAAAGATTCATTGACAATTCGTCGATAACGTTACGAAGTACTTGGCCGCGATAGATCGGTGAGAAAATTCGGTTTGCCAGTACGTGCCTGGCGTCTCCTTAATAGCGAAGAACAAGCGCAACGTCCGACAATTAGTGCGCTTCCACGAGCCACGATACGTGCTTCTTCAACGTGGAGAAGCGTTGGAAGTGGCAAAGAAGCTGCCACCACTTTTTGGTGTCGTCCTCCCTTCTTCCTACCTCTATGAAAAGTTTGCCGTATACAAGTTTTCTGTGCCGTCAGTCTACCTCAGGATTCTGTTCAATTAATAAGTGACACGCGCGCGCGCGCGCACGCCTCAAACTTCCCATCAGTGGTTCCTTCGTGGTGTATGTTTGCAACAGTACAACACCAATTGGTTCTTCTTCTACTACCCACTTTCGCGTGGTTTCGATTGCATTCGGTATCGGTGGTAAACATTTCGTTTACACGACGTGATCTCTTCTTCGAGGATGCACGACGAGTGATCGGGGGATCTTCCCAAGGGTAGGTGGTGGAATAATGGTATGGGTGGTTGACGGGTTACTTTTTAGTTATATAGATTGGGTCAAAACCAAGGTTCGGACCCTTTCTAGAGAAAATACAACGTAGGAACAATCCCTGGTTCAACTAAGAACATGAATAACCGTATCTGTACTCTTCCGTTCTTATATCTTTTCCGAAGCAGTTTTATTAGCGAGAAAGGTTTACCCTTCAGCGCCATCTAAGTACAAACGCGGACATTATATTCAACTGGGGCATATACTATACATACGTAGGTAGTTGGGTATACCGGCTACATTAGCATACGGAGATCGTTTATCAAGCACAATTATTTTCATAATACATAGTTCCCCGTTTACGACGTTATTTCTTTACTTTTTCTTAGATGATTAATAATAAATTCCTTTTATGATCCAGGATGGATGAAATTGTTCAATGAAATTAAATAAATAAATAAATGTTGTCTTAAAATGTGCTGCGAACGAAAACTGATTAATGTATTCGTATTTTATTTATTAAACGGTTACGATTACTTCAATTATTTTCTTCGCTCCTTTCTCGATTCACTCGTTGCTATTATCTACGAATTTACGGTGAAATCGAAGATGAATATAAATGTACTTACATTAGGCCTCGGCGTTCACGGGTCAATCATGGGTGGAGTACAAAGCGGAACTCATACTCTTGGAGAAACGTTATGGGTGCAGGAGAAACAACGACAAAAATGTTATCGGTGAGTAATTTTGTTGTTCGAATTGATTACACGACAAGACAGAGTGTATCTTTGAAATATATTTATCCTTTTACAATTGAAATGCGCACGTTACGGTAAAGGAGAAATTAACCGCGCTATAAGTTAATTATATTGTACGATAATAAAGAAGCCAAGCGTGGCCCAGATTTATTAATGAACTCGAAAAATTGCCTGGAACTTTTACAGAGCGTAAATATTAGAGCAGAAACGATATAGCGGTGCTCGGCGATGATATTATTTTAATCTATTTTTGAGAATTTCCCATTATTCGAAACAACGTATCCCCTAGATACGATTCTCGTCGAGTCCTTGCGCTCGTCTCGCTTCTAATTTCGAATCGCGTCGTTTAGAGTAACGGCTTTGTTGACTTGTATAACATTCAACGTATCGTTTGCAAATTTATTTTCAGTTTTAATATTCGCTGTAACGTAATTGTGGGTTCGTTAATTTTCTTTTCCTTTTCCTTTTAGCCGTACCTTTCCTTAGCCGATTTACGTTAACGATAAGATTTTGTTCTAAAACGATGCGGCTCTTTCAACATACAACGAACCGAATGAATTTCACACAAGATGGTTTGATTCATAAACGGGCACTAAGAATCTTGATTTATTAACTTATCCATACGATTAACTATAAATCCAATTTTATTCTGCAACAATATGTCCATAAATTAGACGCGTGTCGTAGTTCCGCTAATTAGCCGCTTCTAGAAACTCGAGAAATTTTCCATCTCCATATTCGCGATACCGCTAACGAGTCTACCAACTGTTTACAGAACTTGTGCTTTATTCTCGACTCGCGCGCGTATCCCCATTAAATCAGCATTTTCGTTCAAACTGGAGATATAATTGATTCAACGAAAACGTAGCTATCGAAAGGTACCGAGGTACTATAGTCTAATTCCGTGTATTATACGACACAACAACGAAAAGTGAGAAACGTCGACGATCTACGGAATTGCGACGAATCAACGAACCCTCGATATCATTATTGGCGGAGTTAATTGACGAGGTGACAGTTGACGAAGTGTAATCGAAATAACGAAAGACAACGCATGCCGGAGGGCAGGAGAGAGAAGGAGGAGGCCGGCACAGCGGAACACCGGATATCCGTTTTTACGAACGTCTCTTTATGTCTCAACGATGTGCACACGCAGCTGCGAATAGGACAAAGGGTCGTGGCAGTGTAGGCGTGCATCGAAATTCGCTCGCTTTGCTCGGCTGGAAAGTCATTTCTGTTCTGAAAACGCACGTAAAAGCGTAAAGCGACGCGTCGAGTGCCAGTAAGCGCAGTCCTTATCGTCGTACGATGCTGGTGCGCGATGTTCGCGGTGAGAATCGTTTATTGTCAGGTGACGATGGAATTTGCCGAGAATCTTGACCACCACGCCAGGTACTGTTTTTTAATTGTTCTTGTTCCTCGGAATCGTACGTGTATATCTAGTACTATATGTACGTTCGTTACGTACGAGTTCTTTTCTAGTTACGTTGTTTTTTAAAAATATTTTCCAATCGCGTCGTTTGCCGAATACACATTTGTTCAGCTCGTTCGTACTCGACGTATGTACCTAACGAGACGCTAAAACGAAATCGTGACGCGAAAATCGATCCTGTGACGACCAATCGACCCAGACGTCCATCGAACATTTATCTTAGAATCAATTTGCGGTTATCCATGCCGAACATTTTCGTTTACATAATATGTAATAGGACTGTTGCACGCGCGGATGTATTTTTCTTTTTTTCCGTGGCGGCGTAAAGTTACGTAAAGGAGGTAGCAATCCTCGAAGCGTAGAAATATTAAAATTCATGTCCACATTCGGTAAGAGCTCTTTTTCTTTTTCGATCGGATACTTTGGAATCCTTGAACGCGTTCGCGTAGAGAACCGTACCAAATCTTTCGACAACGCGCATTATTTCCATGCACTGTCGTTTTATGTGTTTCTCTTTCCCGAGACTTTTACTTTGCCACGATCATTATTATTCGAGTGTGTAATCAAAAAATGGTTCCATTATTTCCCTTTCACGTCTACCGAACAAAAGACGGGAATATTATCGTTTACGAATTTTCGAATCAGTTTTATCTACAAATCTTATCTATCCAACTGATCATTTTACACAGTTGATCGAGATTCGAGGAAACAAAACTATCGGTACTCGGTGTTCCGCAACAAAGAATCGTGAACGCGCCATAATGTTTTCCACGTTACGGTGCGCAAACCATACTTTTCATCGTTTTCTCCGGTGTTTGATTTTTCTCATCGAAAGTGATTTCAATTGATTTCGACATGCCGACCAACAGACGTCGATGACATAGGTCGCGTTACGCCTAACTCCTCCAATTTCTGCTCGCTTTCGCAAAATTAATTTCTCCCGAGTTCTGTTAATGCGAACGATTCGAGAAAAATGATTCTACAAATTTAGTAAGCTACGGTCGGTAAGAGTAACGCGGTGATTTAATATAGGTACATTGAACTCGAGGAGTCATAATTACTTCATTCGACGAACATTGTTTGGTTCGAAACATAAAAACCGATGTAATTGTTCTCACCTTCCGGTGGAGTTGTGAGTCATTTCACCTGGTTTCCATGATATCGAAACGCTTCCCGATGAATCGAGAGGGTCGATTCTTATTCACCTGGTTCGCGTGCATTTTGTTTCGCACGGGGCGAAGCGGTTTCCTCGGCAACTTCGATGTACTGTGCTCTGTGTCCTGTGATTCATCGGTCAGGAGGGGAACAAAAGAGGGGATGAAATTGCCTAGTGATTTTTTTGTTGGTTCTCTAGTTGCGTACAAACCACTTCCGACGACAAATCGTGATCAGCATCGAGCAGTGCGATTTTTTGTTTTATCGTTTTGAATCTTGACGTTCATTACGGTGTATGACTTGGTGTTTGAATGTTTTCAAACACTTTTGTCCCGAGTGTTTTAAACTCCTGGATAACAATTGTACCGTACGTATACTATCTGTGTATGTTTTCTAGTTTAAAGAATGTTGATAGAATAATGCGCATGCGAATCTTCTTTTTTTCTTTTGATGCGTCTTTGACGAAGAAAAGTAAGAAAACGCGAGCGTCGTATTAAGTCGTCAGAGAAAGCGTGCGATACGCGTTGAAACGGCGGATGAATGCTACGTTGTTAAACTACATTCGAACACTTTTTGCCATACTCATCGAAACACGCTTGATTCTCCTATCGAGGACATTTCTTCAAGTAAAACGCCGTGGCGTTTCACGTCCGTTAATATTCTTTTCGAAAATTTCCGATTACTCCTCGAATTAATATAAAAAACTATCTTTTTCGATATTATCAACAACTTTGGTGGGTACTTGCGTCGTCAAGGATTTTCTTTCCATAACGATATCGACAAAAACTCACGAGGTTCCGATGATCCTTGATGCTTACTCGTTTTCTTTTCGACTCGAAGCCTCGCGGAACAACATAAAAATCTTGACAGGAGAAAAACGAATGGGACATGAAACGCGAAACCCGAAGAAAAGAAACAAAATAAAAGCCGGTCCGATCCGATCCGTAGGAAAGCGTAGTGCATATTCGAGTCACTTGAGCGTAAGTGGTACCTAGGCCAAGCGCCACGGTCACTTTCTTCTTCGTGGTCTCACGTGACACGTTGTGTGTTGCGACTCTTGAACACGAAACGAAAAATGAGATTCTCGTATCGGTACAAACAAAACACTGCTCAACGCTCCTGCGATTACCGGATTACTTCAGCTGTGGCGTTCCGAGACATTTTTTGGGGGCCCGGTTTACCAAGCTTCTTTCAGAATTTTCTATTAAATTTTCATCGATTTCACGTTTCGGTTGTTGTTTTCAACATGACTTTTTTTCCAAGCTTTAAACGCACAAGCACACAGATGTGCTCCAATTAAAGTTTCTTGTTTGCTAATTATACATGGTTCGTTGAGATGCTCCAATTAACAAAACGTCGCTTAAAATATTCAGTGTATGGTCCGAGTTTCGAATACTGCAAATGTAGCAACGAATATTTCTCTTTTCTGCGTGCAACAACTCGTTAGCGTGCCTTGAGCAAAACTTGAGATTTCGAAAAATGGCATTTCGTATGTAAATGTGTATGTATCTGGTTGGAAGTGACAACATTCCGATGGTATCTGTTGTATTGTATTTTATTGTATTTATTGTATTTTAAAGAAGATATCAACGGCAAGACTGATCCGGCAACTTAACAATGCTATACAGAAGCGAAAAGCATGAATATTTAAACGCACCAGTAATGGTCACCTCTCGACACTTTCGATCGTTGAATACTTCATGTATCCGAGGTGCAAACCTTTTCCTCGAATATCGCAACAGCCAGCCGTATCGTTTTAAACATTAAAAGTCGAACGAGCTGTTTTAGACACGCTGGACCGTGTCATGGTCGAATTGACGCGAGTTCGATAAAACGATGGATTTTTATTGAAAAGTGACTCGCTTATGGAAAAATCAATCGGACCGTGGCGGATATAAAACGAACTGGTTCTGCTTGCCGTGTACCGTCCTTGACACATTGACGTTTCATTAAATCTAGCCGCTTAGAGGAACGGGTCCATTGTGTCTGTATCGCTTTGGTAATTCATCGTTTGGTCGCCATTCTCTTCGATACAATCGCGACGAGGTCCTTGTTAAATACTGGCAAATATAGTACACGGTCGTTGCTACTTGACCCTCGTTTTCGCAACTACGATCACATCGAAATCCTTCGAGTCTCATCGCGGTCTTTGACATTGAGCATTGCGCGGACGCTCATGACACGTCATCCTTGGTGCACGGCATAATAACGTTCTCTCATTGTCAACGTCATTCTTTACCAAGAGACTATTTTTTCAGACGCAATAGAAGGAAACCGGTTCTTTTTTTGTTTTGTTTTTTTACGATAACTGTCAGTTTCCAGTGAAATCGGAAAAATGAAAAATCAAAATTCGATATTTCTTCTCGACGCTTTGGTAATTTGTGTATTCCGAGTTAAGAGATACGTGACGTCAGCGTACGCCTGTGGCTGAGGTGTGCTACTCCCACTACTAGATGGACAATCCAAGTGGAGACACGGGTGTACACGTTGTCCGGCCGAGGAAACAGGTGCACAGTGGTGATCGGGCAGCCAGGTACGATATTCGCCAGTCGATGCGCGAACGAGAAAGTGAAAAGCCGGCGCGCAGCGGTTTGCTAGATCCCGCGGCGTAGGGTAGCAAGATCATTTCATCGAGTACCGAGAGAGAATCACTCTTCTAGGTATTTTAGGCTTCGATCGATATTCGCGAGTGTCTTTTTGCTTGGCTCCTCGATCTCGAACAAAGTTCGAATCGTTCGATTCGAAGACGTCCATTCGAAGAGATCAGGCGGGTAAGATGCAATTTTTTATTTCGGTGGTTCTCGCCGATTGTTAGTTCGGATAACGAGGAAGAAGAAAGTTCGATGCATAAGATCCGATATCGTACAATTAATTATTAATATTCCATTCCGACAGCCTGTGAGTCGACAAGCGTGAAAAATAATGCATTGCTGCGCGTACCTACGATATTTCCGAGAATTTTATTACAAAATTAACCACAAACTACTTTACCCGGAACATACATTGAATATTAATTACGAAATTAATCGCGTAAGAAGGTATTTATTCGAGCGCATCGTTAGTTACGGCCCTGTGTTTTACTCGCACTATTATGTAATCGATGTTCTATCACTGGATCTGGACAGTTTGATCTCCCCGAACGAAGGTCAGCGGAACGCGCCTCGCTCAGGTGATCGGATAGACACAAAAAAAAAGAGGAACAAACAGTGTAACGCAACCAAGATTGACGTCAACGACGACGATGTTACTGCAAATTAATCCTGTTGAAATCTCAACGCCGGTAATCAATTATTGTCGCTTCGCACTTTCTTGGTAATTGGCGTTAACCGGAGCCATTAAACCGCACGAAAGCAAACCATGTTTCTCATTGTCGCTACTTCTTCAAGGCTAAGCGAATGAATTACGATCCCAAAGATGCGAATCGGAGTCCTCGCGGCACGCAACCTCGCATTTCCTGGTCCTTGTGTTTCGCGATACCTTGCATTACGCAACATTCGTTTCACATGGGAATTAGGCAGTTCACCGCGATTTTTTTTATGGTTCAACAACCGTGTATAGCGCTCCAAACTATCCGAACGCCGATAAAAACAAAAAGAAAAACTAAAAAATGCGGGTAAATATCCTTTGACGCGTTCAAACTCGTTTGATCCGCGAACAACTAAAGAAGTACGAGTCGTTACTTACGACCAGACGCGAAACATTGGCCGCTTAGACCGCGGAACTCTTCCGGTTCGTGTCATAGGATATTCTCGTCGCGTTTCTCCGGCCGGCCGTAGAGGCTTATATTAGGCCTTTTCTTTGCGGTTGCATGCGAGTGCAACGATCGACGCTCGATCAACCGGAAGGTTGCATCGATACTTAACGATAAACCCTCGAAGGCGTGGTTTTGTCCTGTTTTCAAATAAGCAAGCGTTGCGTGACCACTTTGCTGATTATAGTTCCATATCGTGTACAAATGTACCACTGTTCGGTAAAAGTACGATAATGTATAAATTATCGATGACTGTAACTGAATCGTTAGATGCACGCTAACGACACGCTAATGGTCGACTCGTGCGGAAACAGGATACATTTGAACGAGGGATGCGGCAAAATTCAATGAACGAGGATTACTCTAGATTAATTGTAAGTGCTGTTTCGCGAAATCGATTCATTCGAATCACAACGCACTCTTTTTCGCGCATACGTATCGTACGCGTACCTACGTCGTCAGTTTTACTCGCGATATTTCGTGTCAACGATATGTTTCTACAAGATTTACATAACATAAGCGTTCTATTACATAAGCGAATTCGCTAATTTACAGAGAAGGGGGACGTCACGAGGCCCATTCAGCGCACGCCACGCAGGACCATAGGAAGCTCTTGAAACGAACGAGGAGCCTCGCGGTGATATCGGAGGACGAATCTCGACAAGATCGAGAGGCCCACCACTTCAGACTAGGTCAGTCGACCTACGACCTGCCCCGAAGCCATCAATTGATACCAAGGGCCAAGTTGATCGATCGAAATTCATTGAAGGACAGGTGAGTACGCACAGGTGAATACAGTGGGTTGTATTAAAACTGCATCAACGACGTACGAGATATCGAGTTTCGAGTCGAAAAAAATAATATGTTCGGATAATGTGTCTATATTTCAGACTCTCCAAGAGTCAACAGCACCTTTCAGACTCCTACGAAAGATTCAACGAAGAGAGATCCTACCATTCGCGTTCAGCTTGCGGCCTTGGCCCGATCCCGTCGGGATTCGAGCCTTTTACGGATCCTCTGCCTCATATCCGGTGCAATCGGACCGATCCCGACCGATTGAACATCCTCGATTGGCCCGAATCACCGCGACGTTATCGCAGCGTCCAAGATCTCGATACCGTTAGCGGTTTGGTCGACATCGTCGAGGACACTTGGCCCATCGAAGGCAATCGAAGCATCGATTGCATCTACACTCAGGTAAGCACGATTAGGTATATTCACTTAATTAGATTTACTCTTTAGATAATTACAAAACTTAATCGTCGATCTACTTTCGATTCAGGTGAAACGCAAGCGCAAGGAACACAGAAGTCTGGACAGCATTCTTTTCGAAGATGACGACGAGTTAGAATACTTTGACGTTCTTAACCTGTTACCTTTGTCGAACGTACGGCTGGAATTCGACGAGGACGACGCAAGAAGGGATAACAATCTCGCCGACAACAATGGCGTTCGTCCGGAGGTAAACAACAATTTAAAATCCATCGAGTATCATAAATTGAAATTGCAAACAGGCGACGAACGGAAATCATGTGCAACAAGCGCGAGAAACAACGCGACCGACGAGGAGAAATGTAAAAAAAGTACGAACAAAGAAGGGAACGGTTCGTCGCGCCAATACAGAGGGGAGACTTTAGATCGAGACGACGAGCTTGGAGAAAATTTCCAAGACGAAGAAAGCTCGACGAATTGCTTTCGGGACGAGTCCATCGAACGAGGATCCGCGTCGGCGTCGTCGTCGTCGTCGTCGTCGAGGACCGATGAAGTCGAGTACAGGCCGGGCCTCGTGTTAGCGACTCACCGCGAGAAACGCGTCGACCGACAAATCGAACAGGCGGAAGATTACAAATCGATTTGGATTTCGGACACCGAAGAGCAAGAGGACATGTCGCGTAGGCCGCAGGTACTCAAGGTCGTCGACAACGACGTGACCAAGAGACGGCATCGGCGCTCCTCGATGGAAGCCGATCCGATAACGAGAGAGTTTAGGCATGATGGAAAATTTCGCGACAACGAGAGGAAGCCAAATGATGGTTTCAACGTCGCGAAATTGGACGGGAAATCTGACATGGGAGCCGTCGACGGAGGTTCGAAGAATACAGAGGTGAGCTTGAAATCCAATCTCGTTTGTCGACGCTTTCTACGTTTAGCTGCTTTTTCCAGAAGCTCGGCCAGGAAGAGGACGAGAGGAACGCGAACGCGGAGAATGCGAAAAATAATTTCGAGCGAACGAACGCCACAAAGGAGAACTCGAGAAGTAAACAGAACGAGGGCAGATTCGAAAGGATCGTCAAGGGAACAACGAATATCCTTGGAAAAGCGTGCAACGCGGTGAAGGGAAGCTTGGGCTTCGAGGCGAGATCCGAGAGCTCGGATCTTGGATTAGGTTCGGAATCCGGTAGCGACACCAGGAGAAGATCCGTCGACGACGGTATCGAAGACGATCGTCAGATTTCGACGTGCGCGGAAAAGGCGTTGGCTGACAAGGCGAGCGAAAGCAACAAAGAGCACGGTACTTTGACCAGGTCCAGAAGTTGCGCGGATTCGTTCGAGTGTCGTCGAGACGACGGCCAGGAATTCGATCACGTACGATACAAGATCGTCAAGTCCAACATGTTCGGCAAAAATATGTACAACAGTGGTCGAGGTGACGTCACGTACGAAGGTCTGATGCAGTATTTAAGGGAGTATTCCTTCCAAGAATTACTGTTGGACAACAACGTGGTCATTATCGAGCCTGTACGGGCCGAGACGATAGAACGAAAGTCAGCCGTCTCGGGAAAACCGAGATCGGAGTCAACGTGCAAGATAGCTGGGACGATAGAAAAGAAAGCGGACACGGAGAACGCTGAAATAGGCTGCGAAAACTCGGACAACGACAATATTAAAAGCCCGAAACATTCGACCATTAGAAAGCATTTTTTCTACCATCCCATCAGGGTGAACCGCGAGCTCATCGACGAGGAACTGCCCGACCCGGACACGGTAAGAAACGTTAGGCAAATGTTCGAAAACAGCCTCAAGGTAAAGAATAGCCAATCCGTCGACCTCTTGCCAAATTGTAAACATCGGAAAAGCGTCAGCATGAAGGATTTGACGGTTATCGACGCGGCCCGGTTTAACGAAATATCCGAAAAGATTCAGGAGGGATCCAGGTAGGATGCAATTCTCCCATTTCAGTCTTTTTCAATTCGGTTGGCCTGTTTCTAACGAAATCGCTGTTGGGTCTAGGTGTTCCAGCAGGGCAAAAAATCTGACCAAGTTGTTCGAGAACATGGAGAAGGCTACGTCCTCCAACGCGTCATTGGCGGGGTACAAAGACGAACTCGATAGTCCACGCTGCGAGTCGAAAACGAGGATTCTGGCACAGACGTTCGAAGCGAGAAGCGGGCATACGTCGCCCAGCGACTCGACTTTCTCCAAGAATAAGGTGAATCGTTACAATCACAATCACAATCACAATCATCATCATCATCATCATCATCATCATCATTGGGATTCGGGAAGCGTCAGTTCGGGAGTATCTAGCGATTACCCTGATACCGATCCCGGCAGCGGAGGGCAATGCATCTCCTCGGAGGACGAGGAGATCGACTATCGCGACGACGAGGGTAACGAGACGACAGATTCGAGTCACTATGTATCACAGGACGTTCTGAAGAAAATTCGAGAGTGCGGCACCTCGGTTACCTACTACGGCGGCAAGGTGGTCAATTCTAGCAACGGACCGCTGATATCGCCAGTCGTTGAAAACAAGTTCAAGTGCATCGAAAGCTCCAACGATTACGTAAAGTTTCGACTCGTCAAGAGCAATTCTTGCGATAGCAGGCTGGAGCTGACCGGCAGACTCGTCGAGAGTCAATCGAGGTGTCGGAATCGAGAACATACATACGACTTGAGTCGATACACAATCGCGGAAACTCCCAGTATCGAGATCACCACGATCGAGAAACAAGAGAAAGAGGAGGAGATGGCTAATGGGGACGATGAGAGAATTCACCGCACGGAAACGAAGAGAGAGCCGCCAGTGGTGATCGGTTTGGAGCCGAAAAAGGAGGATAACACCAAAGGGACAAAGGATTTTACGGTTGATTTTAAGTTGGGCACCCTCGACGAGGCAAAATCGACTTATCCCGGTCGATTTATCGGCAGCGCTTTGACCAGGTGGCAAGTCAACGAAAACAATTGGAGGACTCCCGACGATTTCGGCAAGATGGAGTTTGAGGAGTTCGAGGTACTCGAGGACAGTCTTAACGCATCGGATAACCAGCATTCGGAATAATATATTATTACATACAGGAAACTCCGATGTAAAGAAAAACAAGTGTACATAACCAAGTTGAACGAATCTTTAAGTCGTTTACGGTTCTCGTTAAATTGTTACTTGTGTTGCGCGCATCGTCATTTTCTGCTTACGAAAATAAATACACGATAAGAAAATCTCCTCGAGTCTAATCCTTTCGATACCAAGTGTTGACACATCGAATAAAAACCTCCCTGTTGCTGCGTTACATACGCAACAACTGAAAGTACATGTATTTTATAACGCGTCGCCTCGTTTTCTATTATTTCTAAGTCAGAGCTTTACCGCCTGTAACACTCACCAACGTTTTGCGCGTTTTTAACGACTAGATTCGTCTCCGTTTTATTATTCTTGTCCTTTGGAAACGAAGGTCTCGATGTCTTTGCTTCTTTCGTAGAGGTTCTCGGATTTTCCATTCCTTTCGCTAGAATCGAACTTAAGCACGGAGCAAAGGAGCTCGTCGTCAGGGAAAGACTTCTTTGGGAGATATGCCACCATCTTCTGCACCATGTCTCCTGTAACACGGACAAGTAGGGTTAGCGGTAATCGATTACAGTCATCTCTAGGGTAGAGTAATACACGGATGGTTGACGTCTGCGAATGTGTCTGTATCGCTTCTTTCGGTGTACCGATACAAACTAACGATTATGTTTTTAAACGTTTGCAAAGCATTTCAAACGCGTCCGTATGTACAAATACGCTGCAGGTGTGTTTTTCTTGGCTATTCGTTTCCCCGGCTATTTGCGTTCGATCAACACGTTGTTCGCCCTACAACGGTAAATTAACGGTGAAAACGTTATTTAACGTACATTGCGAGTTACCAAGTAAATCGTGATTCGACGAAAATTGTAATTACAAGCGCCTCGATATATACTCTCTCGAGTATAATAATAAAATTCAATCAGTTTTAATACTATCGCAGAGTATCAGAGTATTAGAAATCTGCAGAGTGATAAACGAACCAATTCGAATCTAGCGATCACAATAGCTATGCGTACCTCGTGCAAGCTACGTACGCGCATGGCTTTCCGTTCCTTTCAACTGTATACACGTATAGATGTCGCGAAATAAAGCAGCTTGATAGGTAACTCGCGAATGCTCCGACACAAGACGGAATTTGTATCGCACGGATAAACTTGTCGTAAAGGACGTATTCAGCCGTCGCGAGCCTGGCGAGTATCTAGGATATAGGGAGAACTCGAGGTCACGTTAAAACTGGAGTTCGGCCAGGGTCGTGTCACGAATGGGCGTGTATACACTTTGCCAGGATACGAACTCTCAAGTAAAACAAATCTAAAATCTAAAATCTTTACCGTATCCGCGTTAATCGTTAACTTGGCCAAGTTTCTTCCAGAGACGAAAGATTCGCATCGAGTAGCCGTTAGGAAAATTTCTACAATTTTGTTTCGCCTCGATTTAATCGAGCCAAACGCATACTTGTCGTACCATCTGATTCTATAAGAAAATCACACTTGACAATTAGCTACAATCGGATCAAACATTCATGCAGGATCGATTCGATTCGAACGATTAGACAGAGATAGGAATCAACGTATAAATTCTACAATGGTACGCGAATCTACATAGGTGTATATACACAATGCAAAGGTATATCGGTTTCGATGTTGTTACCGGTACTACAAATATTCTCGCGATTTCAATGGCAATTTAAAATATATCGGACGACGTGCATCAACTATAGTCAGTTGAAATAAATTTCTCGGGTATATGGGTCAATCGATAGGATACACACGGAAGTGGAAGTCTTGGTTCCTTTGACCAAGTTTTCACGAGAAAAACGGGTCATCGATGCGATCCGATGGTTCATTCTGATACGAGAGTTGATCGTTAAAAGTATCGAGGAACGAAAATTTGATACGTGTCAGATGTTAGAGTGAAAAATTCAACAAGAGTCGTTTCGATGTTACATTCAAACTTGTCGACGAGACCAGTTTTAAGCGATACCGTTTTAGCTGCTGCGTCTGGGCAAAACGCGTATCTTCATCTGGCTGCTCCGAGATGGTCCACAAGAATTCAGCACGCATTATGTCGCGATGTAAAAATAATACCTTCTATTTTCATGTCACCGTGCCTCTTTGCTGTTTAGCTCGCACCCTTGCTCGCTCGTTCCTCGTCTGAATAAATTTTAGCCGCGAGGCACGGCAGCAAAGTGGTCTGATTAAATGCCGACTGTAATCTACCAGAAGAATCTTGAATTTACGAACGCAATACGGAAGGGCTGAGAACCAGCACGTTCTTAACAGAGAAACAAGTTTGCCTGATAGAAATTTTCAATTATATTTTTACAAACTACATTTTCCGACGTTTTCTAACGAGGGAGGGAATAATATCGCTTTCCTCGACGTGTTATTTCACCGACAACGTTCAATCTGGAAAATATAAATTTCTTAAATCGAAAACACGACGATAAGAAAACGTAACAAACGACAAATTTCCCAAACCTTCATTTTCTTCCGATCGTTTACCTTGTTATCATCGGATGTTTCTACCGATTTCGAAATATCTACTCGAGCACGTCCAAGTTATAATTAACGATTAACGGAAAGTATACGCGATGCAAGTTCTCGTAAATGATTCAAGTTTTATGCAACCCTCGCTGTTGTCTTATATCATTGCCATTAAGTTGCGTAAAATCGACGATTCACGACCGCCATCCCGCGAAATTGATGGTGTGCCGATAACGAAGTGGTTGGTTTTAATGGCCTATAACGCTGAAAAAATCGATCGGCACAACTTTCCGAGCTCCCGTTGTGGCCGTACGAACCGTAACAAATACAAAATGTATTCGTCGTCGCGATTTTTTTAAATTTTAATCGTAGCTATTCGACGTAAACATACTAGCGTAACATGATTTCACCGGAATTCCCATTCAAGTATACATTTATTATTTTATATTTAATTATATTTAATTTCGTTTTTTTTTGTTCCTTTAAATAAGTCGAGAAATATACCGAGAAAAGATCGAGTCGAGCGTGAAATCTAGCTCGATGGAAAGCAAGCACCTCTGCAATGAGAATAAAAATCGTCTCGCTTTGCGTTCTATCCAGATAAGAATTACCCATACTTCCAGAGGGTTTGTCGAGAGGTCGAGGGAACGTGCAGTGGAACAGATCGATGCCCATGGCGCCTGCCGCAGCCTCCGTAGTCTGCATCCCTCTGCACGAGCCCGTACTAATCTAACAATGTGTACATTAAAGTATACGTATGTATGCAGCGTTGTTCGAGAGCAGACAAATGGGTTACTGTATGTTATACGCTTTGAGAAACCTGATTCTTTCGAGCAATTAACCGTTTAACGAGTGTATTTCTTTGTCCGACACTTGTCACGTATTATTTGCTACACAACGACCTTCGAACAATACAATCGTTATACGAGTTTAGATTAATAAATGCGTCTTTTGATAAATTGCCAAGCAGGAAGGTATTCCCGATAGTCGTCCAACGATCGCAGCTGAATCATTTGGATTTTAAGGTTGGAAAACCTACTTGGCAAACTTTTTCAATAAAACGGATCAGCCAAAGAGTGCGGACATCTGTTGTCCTACCAACTACAATTCATAACAAAAGTTGAAACGCGAACAACACTTTTCAATTTGTTTCATTGGTATGATATCGTTACCTATTCCACGAGTGGTGTTGTTATTACATGTCAAGGATTTTAGGGACGTACGCGATCGCTTTCTTACACAATTTCTTACGATATATGATGGTTATACTTACAGTGTTTTTTTTATCCGTTATTCGATATTAAACATTGCACAAATACAGTAAAATATAGTTGCGTATACGCGATGTAAAATTGATCTACCATCATCGACGCGAGTTTCATTCATGAATCACATCAAACAAATTCCAGGATGCGCGCTGCACGCGACATTCACATGTCTCGGGCGCCGCTTACGGTTCATCGCTATGTGACAAGTACGATTCACGCTTCGATGACATATAGTTGGTATTATGTAATAACGATAGTAAATGTATCCTCATACCAAAATGACGCATTTCGTTTCGTTACCGGTACACTGTACTTTGGGCTTAATTCGATTGAAAGCTCCATGTAATTAGTCACCGATAGCAATGAAAATTAATTATACTTGACCTCGAGGTCAAGGTCACGTAATGAAATTGCAAAACGAAGAAACCTCTATCGATCGACGAACTTTAAGTATCGATCTATATTGTTACGATTTTCTTTCCTATTCTACAGTTGTTATTTACGCTTACGTTATCCGTAATTAAATTGCATTAATCGACGAGCCCAGAAACGTTCGAGTTACAAGCTATTAACCATGGACCCGTAGCGTTCGTCGATACAACATATACGCGACGATCATCGCGAATGCAATTCCAGTCGTCCGATGAAATTATAAAAATGAACCTTGAAAATACACGAAATTCCACCGATCTCTCCAATCTCTCACATCTTCAAATATTTCGGCATTCGATATCGAACCGAGTCAAAGGAATATTTGCTCCAAGGAGTAACATTTCATGGACCAATTTTCGTATCAGCTTCGAATCTTCAACTCCGTGATAGCCAAATATTTATCATTAAATCAAATATCCTATCTAATCTACCGCATCCGAGTCACCGTCATTTCTACCCAACTCCAAACCACTACGAACACAACTACTACGCGATGTGGCATTACAATTGTGATTTTAGGTTCTCTACGCTACGCTACTAAAACTTACGTATCGCTCTAACGTAGCCTTAGGTTTCGGAGAATAGCGAGTTACGGTTACTCGTGTCGTATACGCATTACCGTGATCGTCGTCACCGATTGTGTTTTAACATCTACCGTTATCGACAGTTGGTGAAACGCGAGACGATCGCTTTCTCTCGGCAACGCGAGATCTCGTAATGTGGAATTAGAGTCGGCAGGCTCTGTGTAATTTTGGTAGCCGGCCAAACGAACATACATGTACATGTATGTATAAACACATGTCTCGAATATCGGCGTAATGTTCTCTCTATCTATCGTCCTCTGTTAAAACTGTCTTCTAATCATTTGAAACTGTAAATAATACAACTGATCGATCGACCGTTGAAAACATTTGTCTATTTACGAATCTTTAGTCGAACGGCAAAATTATTTTGCATTTCTCTCGAGTAACATTATCCTCGTACGATAGTTCCTACCATACTTTTCCCGATATTATAAATACAATACTTCTACGGTTTACGATAATAACTAATAAAGAAAAGCAGTGCATCTAGAATATATAACCGAGAATAAGTTTGTCACTCAAATTTTTATACTGTTAATACGTACCTCGAATATGGTTCCGCGATACATCCAGAATCGAATTAAGAGTTTGTAGAGGCCTGGGCTACAGGTACAGTGAGGTCTCCGGTAATAATTTTAACAAAGAAAATGGAAAGATAAAAAACGATTAAATTGATGTTACTTATACTTGGCAACTGTACATTTTTCAGCTTGGATAATTATTTATTATACTGGTTTTTTTTTCTTTTCTTTTTTAAATAACTTTTGTTATTTTTAAAATAATTGCATCGTAAGCCAAATCGAATAGTAATTTTCGCGTCGGGGTATCAAGTATACACGTATAGTCGTTCATAGTCCGAGGGTTGATCTCTGGAAGCCCTCTAGCCGACGCGACGCGACGCGACGCGACGGAGCCTCCTAAGCTGTTACTTGTGGCCAACTCTCGTGTGGCTCAATTCGGCCCTTTGTATATTCGGCGATGACTAATTGAACGCAATATTCCAAATGCAACTACCTCGATCACATATACATATATGTATATGTATACATTTCCGAATGTACCGCGATTGACGTGTTACGACGAATCGTTTGCTACGGTCGTTGCATCCGAGCTACAGAGTTCGAGGTCGATGAAAATGTGTCCACGATATCGCGGATTTTAACTATCGATAGTTTCTCCGTTCTGATTTGCGCGCGAGCAACGTTACAAGGAAGTTCATTTTCCGTTCAGACGTTATCCAATGATAGCAACCGGAGACTGAGTCATGATCCGGAGTAACTCTAACAAACTATTGAAATTTAAACGCATCGCAAAGAAATCGCGAGGCTCGCGATTTAAATGAAAATACGTTTGTCGGGGTAACTACGAGTATGTATCGCGACGATGTTGATAATTAGCATTTGTCATAGTAATTAATGCTGACGTACTGCGGACAAGGTATGCGCGAGAATGTGGCGCGTAGACGGGCCAAGTATGTAAATAATAAAATGGTATCTAGTCGTTGGATGATTTGTTATGCTTGTAGTTCCGCGGCGATAATTATGGAGATAGACAATTTTCGAGCGATACGATTAATTAAACTCTAAATAAAACACTGGCTCGGTAGTAATGTACGTCTATGGTATCGTTACGTTTCTGCCTAAAACGTAAAGAGTCGCGTAAAGAGTCATTTTACACGTGTCTCGCATCACTTTCGTTTGCTCGTAACGGTATCGCGATTACGATGTTTACAATCTACGGCTGAAATGAAGCGCTTAAAAAGATGCTTTTAACGGGATAGTGTTCGCAAAACGATCCCCAGGGAGGAAAAACTTTGTCCCGCATGGTGTCCATATTTGTTCGAGGCACGGTATAAATACGTGTTTATGTATGCATCGTAGGTAGCATCGGTAGAATTCGTATGTTCGATTGAACCGTGGCCGGTGTTGAGACGATAGACGGGTTCCAATTAATCGTTGCCGATTTATTTTTGGATGGCTGTTGCTTACGTGCGTCGAAAAAAATCCCGGTAAACAAGGGAACGCGTAAAAAAAAAAAGATCGGAACAGCGTAAGAAAGAGTGCGAAAGATATTAGAAATTTAGCAAACGAGTGGCGATTTCACTGACTGTGAGAATAGACGAATAAATATTTGGAAAAATCGAATTCGAATAGATAAAATACGCAATGGTCACAGGTCACAGGCAACGGTACCGTTACCGTCATCGTCTTTATTTCGCGTGTTACGTTACAAAACGCACTGCAAATAATACATGTCAGTACTCACGTTTCGGTAGGTTTTTGTTGTGGCCAGGGTGGAGGAAACGCTCAGCATGCGGGACACCTCGCACCATCTGACGATGTATAGCGCACGACGACAGGTTACCGTGGCCATTCTCTCGCGACGTATCCTCCGTCAGAGAAACGGAGCACGAGATGAACAAACACTTTGGTAACTTTCCTTTTCTCACGAGTTCCTTTTCCACGAGTCACTGACACCTGACAAACAGAAACCACCGGCCGTCTTGGAGCGACTAGTAATATCGTCGACGGGCGGCATCGCTCGCCGGCTCATCCCTGCGGCCAGAGACCCAGACGTTACGGCGGCCAATGGCGTGACATGCGCGGCCCGCGGTACCTCGTCCGCCATTCGTCTCTCGCTCGAACCAATCCACGTTTCCCGTTATTCTTCGCGCGAATCGTCTTCGGTATTTGAATAGCAGATTCCGCAACATGCCATTTTATCGCTGGATCGTTTACGCGGACCAATCCAAATCTCATTTTAATTCTCCTCTGTTGTTTTCAACACGCTCTGGTTTATTTGAACGAGAACAACGAAACGACGATCGCGTATCGAAGGAAAGCAAAGCGTTCTCTGGCAATGTTCGGTGTGCTGCGATAAACGAATCTTTCGATCGAAACTGTAACGTTTACCATAAGCTTGCTTGGCAGTTTTCCCTCCGTCAAGGGAATGTCTAACGGTCATTTAGACGAGCTCGATTACAGTTACTACGACTACGATCGTTTCGAACAGTTCCGTAACGTTAGCTCGAGTTCCCATATTCCATCGTGGCACAGCCTCGCTCGCATCGTTCTTGTCATCTTGTTGCGCGTTGGCTTTGTCCTCGTACACGTTGGTAGCGTGCCAGTGAACGATGTGAATTTGATTCTACTGCAGAATATCGTTGACGTTTGTTGGGTAACGATAACATTCGTTTTGATCGGATTTATCATAGCCTACAACGGCGACGTAAACGGACTGACAGGCGAAGGATATTGGATCGGTGATGCGACCGTCGATAAGGACGAAGCCATAATTGGCTGGTCGGCCGTGGTAATCGCTGCTGCGATTTGCACATCCGGAATCGTAGGCAGAACACATATCGTCGGTTACCTCGCGACGGGATTTCTTCTGGCCGCTTTCGCGCAACCTTTCTTAATTCACTGGATGTGGACGCCCAAAGGATGGATGAAAAGGAACTTATTGAACGGAAGAAACGTTCAATTTCGCGACTATGCCGGCTCGGCAGTTGTTCACCTCGTTGGTGGACTGTCGGGATTCATAGGTTACACGATACTTGGACGAAGAATACTTCAGTTGAGCGCTATAGATGACGCTAGTATCGCTGCTGGTACATCAGGAACCGTGTTTGCTGGTCAGTTGATGGTGTTTATCGGCCTCCAGGTAAATCTAACGGATTTCACGCAAACTCTGTTAAATTAATGAATGAAAGCAATGTCAACTATGCATCTTGATTTAGAGTCTCGGTATGCCAATCGAAAGATTCGTATCTAGAAGTAAAACTCGGTACAATATCTACCTCAACAACTTGTTGGCTGCGTCTTCGTGCGGATTGCTTGTTGTCACTTTCCATTTCGTGTTTACCGAGGAAGTATTCAATCATTGGACCGTAATGAGATGCGTTCAAGCCACGATAGCTGGACTGGTAATAGTGTCGGCTGGGACAGACATTTATTCGCCTTTGGCTGCGATTGGTTTAGGATCGATTGCAAGTGTGATTTTTTATTTAGTTTCGAGGCTACTGTTTCACAGTGCACTCGAGGATTATTGCAACATTGTAGCTATTCATCTTGCTTGCGCCCTTTTCGGGAGTATTTTGGTACCCCTCTTTGATACCGATGACAACGCGGACACCGAATTAATTTTATTGAATTTTTCCTGGCAGTTGATTTGTATAATCACCACTCTTTTCTTTGTCGCGATTACGATGTGCGCCGCTTTTCTCGCATTACAATCTCTAGGTTTATTGAGAAACAGAACGGAACATTTGAATCATTTGAGAGCGAGCATAATTATGGAAACAAGTCCTCCGAGGTCGTTTTGGCGAAGGCTCTTTCATACCGATGACGAACCAGTTTATCTTCAACCGGGATCGACGTCGGATTCTGGTCAACGGCCAAAAACGAGTTCCCATGTCATAAAATATCAAAATGAGGGTGCTGCTGTGGAAAAGGGTCGAGTGATCGAAACGGATGCAACAGAAATCTGAAAAGCATAGGAAAACAAAATGAGATCTCGGAAACGGAAACTTGATTCGGGTTAAGATATAAAGATAAATTTAAAAGTTTTCGGTGTAACCAATGTCCGAAAGTACAACCGACAACGGTCTTAAAACTAAGACTTTAAACATTTCTTTTATTAGAACTTACAGACTACCCGTACAATTATTACAGTATTTTACAATAGAACAATTTTAAGATAAATAATCGAAAGTTCTATGAAAGTGTCGTACACATATTCTACCCATGTTTCCGTTTATTCGTACAATCTTAGTTTCTTTTTTTCTTTTTGTTCGCAAAACAGTCTGTTAGAGATTTATCTACGAAAAGTTTGTTATTTTTAGTGTGCTTGTCGTTATAACCGGAAATGCAAAGATACGGGCAAATTACCAATAATAATTTATCGACGTTTATCTCTTCCAAATGTGTAACAAATTTAAATGGTAGAACCAAGTCGTACAGTCAACCATAAAGTAGTTGTACGGTCTAATTGCACAACGCCTATCGAGTTATTTCCATCTGAAATTTATCATTTTAATGGATATCGCTGGAATGAAATAAAACGGATAGTACTTTTCATATTGTTTAAATTTTACTATAAATTTAAATTTGGTTTCTTTCCAAAAATTTAAATTTTAATAAAAGATGTAGTACTCGTAGGTAAACCAACGATGATCTAATGGCTAATTGCTAGCAAGGATTTTAAACCTTGTTCTGGTTTGTCAAGTATTATTGTCAGCTGGCAGCAAATCGGACAAATATTGCTACCGCCATACCGAACAAAATTGATAGTATTGACTATAGAGATTCCAAGTCGTGATGGTACAATAATACAACTGTATATACAACACTGGTAAAATGGCACGATTCGACGAAACATATCAATCGCTTGGTGCGATAATATCGTTACCGTTAATTATTATTATATTAACAATGAACTTTGTACATGATTTGTTAAACGTCACGTGGCACAGTTTAACGGCAGTATAAAAATGAAAATAAAATATATAAGGGTCAACGAAACGTTGTTAAGATACTATTTAAATGTAAAACGGTTCATCATCAATGAAATAACGAGCTTTTTATACGCTTAGGAAATTACGTCATAATTTCTTAATTGTTAATTTTTGTCCAGTCTGTGGTTTTCGTAAAATATGTTATTTTTCGAGTCTTTTATTTTCAATTGTGTAACTTTCTTACTTAAGTAACGATATTCTTATAACGAGGAAATGATAAGTAGAAACAAATTTTCAAAGCGTGCCAATCGCGTTCTGTAAATAATCAAAAAGAAAAAAAAAACATTAAAAAAATAATACTAACAAGTAGGACACCAAAAATAATTTTATAGAATTGACAAGTGTACGAACCGAGATCGATTTATGGAAAAAATAAGTAGCTAATATATCGTATACATAACTAACAAACCTAGCTGTAACCGATATGCATTCAACAAACGATCGCACGTTAATTAAACCATCTCGTAAATAATAATATTATTTGCAAATATAGGTTCACGTTTTACATCCTATACACGGTTTGCTAGATATAATACATCAAGTATTACAATTTCCAAAAACCGTTCGTTAGTTTCTTCGACGACGAATTTCTCATACCTTGGAACGTAAAATTGATCGTTAAACCAGGATCTACGTGCTTCAAATGTGACAATAGAGATTATTGCAGATAGGCAGTTATCACCTCCTCGCTTGAAACATCAGCGTTTACGAAGAATGATCCGTCAGGTGCGACCATTCCCTCCGTATTTTTGTTTCTTTTTTAATTGTATCGCATTAAGTTATTATGGTACATCTACGATCACATCAAAATAGTACGATACATAAATGTACAAACGGACGCGATCACACACCTTTCATCAACCTTTCCATCGTCAGTACCAAGAATAGTATTGTCAAAATATACATAGAATCATCATTATCGTTTCTTAAATATGCTTACACAACGAGAACTAATTTACATTGCGTCTCCAGGAGATAAGTGGGCGGGCGGGAGAAAAGCTCAAAGTCCCAGAGTTCTACATTCGCAGAAACGATTCTGCGGTTATTAGCAGAAGCAAAGGACTGGTGGATCGTCGATCCAAACATCAACGTTCGATCTGTCCCACTCATCACTTTTATGAGGAAATAAATCTCTTCAAACATTGTAACACGATTTGGACAGATCTTGTCTCATGGAGGTAAAGCATCGCCATGTCCTAAAATACACGTTTGGTCGCCTTTAATTTTATTCATCGATCAAGCATCCATTATCCTTCTTTATCTTTACTATCAAAGTTTGAAAAGAATCACGTGTCTCTTTAAATTCGTACGATACCGTTCATCGAACGAACGCTGTAGGAAGATCGATCATAGATTCAACTCGGACGCAAATTAAGGATCCTGTATCTTCCTTTTTTTTTTCTTCTGTTTTACTCGATAGTAAAGATCAAAACGAGATGCGGCGTCCAATCGCAACAGACGGATGATGGCACGGGCGCGTTGGTTTTACTTCTACTAATCATGTCCTCTACGAGGCAACAACGATGACAATAATAATATAACGTTAATAATAGTGCTATTGGTTTAACAACGATCGACTGTCACGGCTGTGTTACCGTAGAACCGCTTATAGTGACTAGTAGCTTTTCAGGCTCCTCCAGCGATTTAGGCCAATTCGCTGGGACGTAGGCCTTGGTACGGTCCTTATGTCGAAGATTCGAAGACCAATGGAGCGTTTAATGTACAATTAATTTACAGGTCTTCCGCTAATAAACGATGAATCTCGTTTACCGTCGTAATAAGAAGTCCTAAAACGGTGTCGTTTCACGTAATCGACGTTTGCTAGGTCATCACCGTGTCGGTGAGATCTTCTTTCAACCATTGCGGAATAGTTCTCAATCCTAGTCGTTTCAACAATTTCACTAGGGCCGTATTATGAGAGAGATAATATCTCTGTAATGAAATGAATATTTATCAAAGATGTTTTTCCTTTTCTTTAGCGCTTCAAGATCAACACATCGTGTTAACGTACCTGCAACAATTTGTACGATTTGTCCTCCATCGGCGCATACTGACGTCCTTTGCTTTTGCCGAGGCATTTCGTGCGATCTTCGTTGGTTACTTGACAGAAGAAACCCTTCTTTGGATCGTACCTTAAATGAGAGGAATAATTGAACGCAGGCGCGATCTTGAGGAACCTTTGTAATTCGTGTAACGTCTCTACAGGATTTTGACGAAGTTGCTCGCCGTCTATGATGTGTAACTGTTGGGGTGGGTAGTACGAGAGCCATCTCTCCAAATGTTGAGCGTATTTTCCGGGGTTTAAACATCTGCAACGATCACGAATAGCATCGAGTTAATAATCTTTTTCTCAATTGAAGTTTTCATTTCGTCTCCTTTGTACAATCGTTACACGGTAGAAGAGAATATCGTGTGTCGCATTAGAGGGTCGAGGAACTCGAAGTGTTATTTTAGTTAGACGCGATGTTAAAAGAAACTTATTTTTGGAAAATTATATTTCAAGCGTAGATTTGTACCCACCTATTCCTGAGATCGCGTAGAGGTTTTGGAGCGGTGTCGCTCGCTGTGATAACAGAGTGAAAGGAATAATTGTTTGCTATCGGGTCTCCGTGGATTCTCGTGTGCTGATACCAAGAGTAAGCTCGCCTAGCTGGCGAAAGCAATATGGTAATCAATTTTGCTCTTGGAAGAAGCGCGTGAGCTCTGCGCGGTACCAGTTCTCCGTCAAAGTATGTGGCTGATTTTTCGAAAAGATACCGTGAACTCTCGTTTTTCGAAGCTGGGAAGAAGCTCATATACCTAGGTAAAAATATAGTAAATCGGTAACCGAATCGGTTGACGTAACTCACACGGTCTCGAAGTCTAGCGTGCATTCGCTTACCAGTCGAGGCCTTTGTAATAATTTTTTCCATTGAAGAACTGGATTTCTTCGAACGTGTCGGGACTCGGCAAATTACTACTGATCGCTGGATGAATGGACAGGAACGTGTACAGGGCTGTGGTACCAGTTTTTTGAGGACCAATTACCAGGAACCTTGGCAATTGGTCGCAAGTTTTATTCCTCGACCAGATCTTTTGGTGTCTCTGGTCATCGCAAGGATTCTGAAAGACAAAACAAAGTTAGCCTTTACGATGTGTACTATCCGAGATCGAACATGATAGATTATACGATTTGGTTGTACAACAACTTACGCCCCACACAGGATCAGATTCCTCCGGGTAGAGTTGAAAATAACGCTCGGCAAGCTGAAGAGGTGGGGCGCTGGACAGTCTCAAGTTCGTCCAACATTGAATAAACTTAATCACCGATTCGAAGGTATACAGTGCCAGACGATCGTTCCCATAATTCGACATGTGTGTCATAAAAATATTGATCTATAAAAGACAAGCGTGAAAACCATGGAATATATGCAGAAGGATAGGGAGGTTTAAAAGAATCGATTTACTTACGGGATTATGAACGATAGTTTGGAATAGCTCGCCGCCTTGTATCGATTTGTCTAACTTGTCCCTTCCACCTGGATATCTATCGATAAAGATCGTGTGCGTGAAAAGGCCACAGGTTTGCCTTGGTAAAACCTTGTACAGAAAGAACACGTTATCATTTATTTTTCTTACGAAAGTAACCAAGTAACCAAGTATTATAATTACCTACCATTATATTCCGATGAATGAAGCCGCGTCTTAAACGAGCCGGTCTCAGATGGGGGTACTCCTCGGTGCTGGTGACTTTGATGCTCCATACTCTTTTCCATGCTTCGTACAGTCCTTCGTGAACCGGATAAACGCCGGAGTGATGAGGACTCACGCTGTAACCGCTTCCGGTCGGGATACCGTGGTCTTTTGCGAATTGTTTGTTCAACGCCATGTCTAACTGCAGATGCGTTACATTTTCATAGAGATGGGGTTGCTGATGATTCCACATGTGAGAAAACCACGTAAATCTGTAATTAAAGAAACGATAAAAAACGATGTTTGTTCCGACCGAAATCAAGTTTCGAGTATCAAATATTTCGAGACTCGCGAAAACTGATATAACGCGCTACGCGTTTCATCGACAACAAGGCAGACAAAATTACGTTAATTGTACGATATTACACGATTTCTATATTATTCATCGCATGAAATAACGATTACTTCTAGCGAAGCAATATAACGCGAACGCAGGTGCAACAAAAATTAGGAAAAAGTAACAACAATTCGCAAACAGGCGCGACTTCCGTGATTCAATCAAGCGTAACACGTGCACGGACTCGATGCGTTAATTTACTCTAACAACGAATCCTTTCCGCTCTGTTGACTCCCCAATTTACACGCTAACTCTCCAACAATTTCGTTTTCTTTTTCATTATACCATCACACGAAATGAACAAAACGCGTGTATCTGCTTAGGATTGAACGAAAATGTACACATATATATATATAAATAAGAGAAAAGAGAAGAAAAGAAAAGAAAAGAAAACGGAACAACAAAGGGCTAGTTTCCAGAGGCATCGGTCTTTGTAGAAATCTCGTTATAGAGGGTAAGGTAGGTGTAACGTACCTGTCGACGTTCTCCAGAAGCATGTCGTCCCCCAAGTTCTCCTCGGCTGTACCGTGATGGAAGTATTTCCCGGAAAACCCCAAATTAAATTTAAAACCCGGCACCAACGATTGAATTCTCTGCTGAGTGGCCAACAACGCCATCACGTCGTCCTTTCTCAACCTGGTGCCTTTCTCTCCGACGAATATGTCGTCAACGTCCACCAGGATCATCCGATTCAGACTTAAGCTCAATTGGCCGTGCGATAGGTATGAGAGGGAGTCGAGAAGCAGCAAATTGTGCAGCCAAAATCGCAATCCGCCGCCGAAAAAGATCCTCTGAATCCCGTCGTATCTGCCGTGATCCTGCGTAATGTAAATCCGATACGAACGTTAGGTTTATCAGGCTGGAATGGCCACGGACGCGCTTTGCTACTTTTTCTACTGGTCGAGGAGGGTGGGTGGATAATCGGGCTGATCCGAAATGGCTAGAGTTTAACGAAGCAACCGATAAACGCTTAGATACACGATATATGTATATCGATCAAATTCTATGGTTAATCCTGTAGCGTATGGTAACGATGAATAGTAAAAAAAACATATACTTGTCGAAAAGAGAATTTCAGGGAAAATTAAGGCTCGATTTACCAGCAGATGGGCAGATTCGATGAGTGGATTTGAACGTTTTATACGCGGCACACGGTGTGCGAACGTTAATTTGCTTTTGCCCGACCAAACAGCAACTATATCTATATTTCACCCAACTCTAATGCTACGCGACTTTGTTATACTTGAAAGCAAATTTCAATTTTACCATCCGTAATGGAATAAAGAAGCGTAAACGTCTACGTTCAAGATTTTACGTAACAGAGTAAATAGACCGTCGATCGCGCATCGATCGGTCGTTACGTAAAGCTCGAGTTGTTTATTAGCCGCGTATAAATTACAATGTTTTTGCTGGCTGTTTTTTTTTTTTTGTCGAACGCGAAATCAGCTTTATGCAACGTTAATGGGTTCTCGCGTTCGACGCTTATTGATCGTCGGGCATTGCGATAACTTGAAAATTCTTCACAAAGAACTTGATCGAAGCATTGATTCGATGATCGGTGACCGGTCTGGTGGGTCATCGCGTACATCGAGTGTATCGACTACGCGCGGCCAGTCGTCGGTGCAAGATAATTCTGAATAGGCAATTTGATAATTGCATTGTTCTGGCAGGGACTCTCAGTTGGCCGGTGCGTTTTGAAACGACTGCTATGAACGGAACTTGTTAGCAGTAAACAACAATAATAATCTCGCTGATAACCCCATTACGCGACCATGGCAGCCAGGCAGGGGATTCATGGATCGCAGGTAACCAGGTAATTAAATCAGAGGCCAATCAGCCGTTGGTTCATTCGATTAATGGGCATCGGTGGCAAGCTGCTTCATTTGCCGCCATTCGAGCTTGCAATTTATTTTGTTTTCAGGACACGCCTCGGTTTGCGAATCGCACCCTCGACGAACCACAACTTTGCGAAGGAAGTACCTGGTCGAGCTTGGTTCGAGCTGCTGATAAAGCGGTCTTTTTCGTTCGATGTCCTCTGTTAGACGTATACAATTATTTCGTCCATGCTAAATCTTCAAATTCCCAAAGTCGTTTGACTTGTACTTAACAATTGGTTGGCAAACTATGTTAAGTTGAAAGCTAATCTCCGGAAATTAAGCATTCCGAGAGAAACAACGCTTTGAATGTACAAGTGGAACTAGAGCATCTATGAGAATTTGTTCACGTCAGGATTTTTGATTCATCACGATTGAAAAAATTGCATCGTCTTCTCTGTATCCGTTTTCGGTAATTCGGTAATTCGATAGAGTAACTTGTACTTTTGATCGCTATAATCGATACAAACTGCTGACTCATGACCGAAAAAAGATTGACCGGTTTCCGTATAATGGCTTGTACCCGCAATGTTGGTTAACGAATCGACCAACGCGGGCTCAGCAGCGGTGCGTTTTCAGTTCGCGTTCTCGTATCGCGTACGCATCTCCTCGCATCGGCATTCGACGCGACCACGCGGTTCAGTTGCGGCCAGCATTTTGGGGTCGAAATTCGAACCCGATATTTCAGCTTCGCCGTCGATCGATTTCGCGTCAAACGAGAAATGAAAAGCTTACGGCAACGGACAAATGTGATTAATTAACTGCGACGACGAGTTCTCAGGCTCGGTCTCTAGAGGTAAGCGAAACCTTTGAAAAGAGGATTAGACGTTTCCTTCGCTTTTCATCAATTTTTGCGTAGTTAGTACGGAATGTATTTAAAGTACGGGTAGGTAGAATCGCATCTCACCTGTATGACGGTTGCCAGAGGACTCTTGTTGGCCGGATAGTCGAGACTGTCCCGGTGCGCCCAAGCCAGGGGCTCGTAGGTGCTGTGATTGGCCTGAAAAATGGTCCAGTCACCGCCAGGAAGCGGTCCCCAGGCTGTTTCCCCGGATCTGGTTAATCGGAGAATAGGGGACGCCGCGTTTAGCTGAGCATCCTATGGGACAAAGATGAAATTCAGTTTTTCGACTGACGGCAACATTTACACCGTTCAACAAGAAATTTAACTGTTTTTTTTTTTTCTTAGCGTCGTTTTAGCTCGTTAACCTCGTTCGACTGACCTTCAATCTAAGATTAGTATGCACGAACAGAGGAAAACCTTTTAGCTGTGCACCGACTAAACTTTCCTCGCCGGATGGCGCGAAACCCACGATGCCCACCGAGTATTCTCTGCAGTATTTGTCCAGCAACTCACGGTTCCATTTGTCCATCTGCAGGTACTTGTTTAGATTTTCAAAGATCAGGACCCCGTAGCGACCTTTATCGAGATTCGTCAAGACGGGCAAAGATTTACCGGCCACTTCTAACTTGTACCTGAAAGTATTTTACTTGGCGTTACGAACGATTCGTTTGGTATCGGTAGTCGATTACGATATAAGAGAAACTAAACTAAAAAAAAAAAGCTTTTAAAACAATATCCGTTTCAAGATTACGAGGCGTCGAGGTCGCGACAAGAAACTTTCTTAAACCTCTTCAGCGACGTTTTTTTATTCTTCTGGTAAGATTATGCGATAAAGTAAGCATCGCTCGGAGGGAACGTGTTACCAGGAATGGGAAGGAATACTTTCTTCCTTTTTTTTTTTTTGCGTTTCAACCCCGTAGCAGCGTTTCTCTTCTTCTGTCACGCCGGCGCCGCGGCGCGATTGTTTTGTCGCGAATATTTAAAGAACGAGCGGGACAACGATCTCGACGACTGTTGTTAACGACGCGTTCAATCCGCCTTGTTGGTATTGGATATTTAAAACGGTTACGACCGATAAATATAAGAGAAAAAGAATGGAATATCGATAAGAGAAGTACCGCGAGACTTTTGTAGTTATTGTTAAACGATAAAATAAGAACACTTTTATCGAAATCCCATTTACGCGGCATCTGAAACTGCTTCGGGAATAATAAAGCAATTATACGTATAATACACTTTTATATTCCGCATGGTTCTCCTTCCACTGCCCTCCTTCCTTCCTTCCGACTCTTCTCCTCCTTTCCTTTCTTTTCCTTTCTTTTCTCTCGTTAACAACGTACGAATTTCGCTCCATCAAGCGAGCTATTCTCTGCTATACAGCGTCAATGGAATACCTGGATTTCTATTTTGGTGCGCACAAGCGCATTTTCATTCGATTCTCCCTCCGATCAACAACTTTATCGCCAAAATAAAATGACGAGGTTCGTCGACCAAGACTGAGAATTTTCTTATCGATTTATCGGTCGATACCGCAGCACCAAATTTCACGGGGGTTTGCGTTGCGCATTGCGCAATTTACAAAAACGTCTACTCTTTAACAAAGACTCGTCGAATCTTATTTGGAATTCTCGCCAAGCAACGACGCCGGCGATCGTTGTTGTCCTCAACAGTTTACATTTACAGTCGCATGTTGGCGTATCGTGACAGAAAATTGCAGTTAACGGATGAATGAATACCGGATAATTTAGCGGAGTAATCGGTTCGATAATTGGCAACCGCCCATTAGCGACGGCCCGGCAATTTACCGAGCTAACGAACTGTCATAACGAACTCCGACGCGGCTCTTTTGTTCTTGGCCGGCAATTGGCTGGCACGACGAATCGCCAGCAGCATATGCTTGGACCGCGTGCACGAGATACTCTTCCATATGAGATTCAAAGAAATCGATCGTCGAGCCGTTGAAAAACGCGTGTCCGCAATTAGGTCTGTTAGGCATTCAGTCTTCAGCCTTCAGGCTTCACCGGTCGCGCTCTCGTTCGTTCAAAAGTCCTTAGCGAGGATTATATCCTCCTTTCGTTTCTATCAGTGCAACCGGAGTAGCTACTTTGACCCTTCGCGTTTCAATTATGTACCTCTTAGGAGCGGATGACTGGCTCTTAAGAGCAGAGAACCGGAAGACTTTAACCAGCGCCATTCGTTGTTTCCACTGTACAGCGTACAGGCCAAGTACAACCTTACCATCCCTCGGTTCGATCTATGCACTTGTATCGGTGGAGATGTAGTTGAGAAAAAGAAAAATTAGTTGATTTCAAGAACAATGAACGTTAAACGTATTTTAAATTAATCGTCAGCTTGGAAATTTCCTCAGGAAATTTGCCGCGTTATTACGTGTAAATATTCCGTCACGTAAATTAATGCATACAACGTTAATTACAACGTTAATTTTCTCGCTAACGGGTGTTCAACAGAGACTCTGATCTGCGTTTTACCGTCTATTTGGAGTTTACCGTATATACGTTTAGCGTTAGGTGATTTTCGACTTTTACGCAAACAAAAGTCTCGTTTGTACGCATAATGTTCGCTAAATCAAACTAACGCACAACTATCCAAGTAACGAAAGGGAACTGTTCTAGCTTTAGACACGAAAAGACATTTATTTGCTCGTCGAATCACATTCGTTCGCATTCGCAACCCTTCGGAATAACAACGAATAGCCTTTATTCAGCCAACGGAAGGTTCGGATTCGCAAAAATACGTCGGAATGAAAGATTCAACAACTCTCGGACTAATTCGATATTCTGCGATGCTAAAAGGAAGGTGGAGCAGGTTCCAACAAATCTTCAACGAAAACTCGGTGACGCATGGAGGGCTTAAGACAGCAGCCTCCGGTCGCCCCAAACCTTTATTTTCGAGAGGAACTTCTTCTAAGGTGGAAAGAAACAATAGGGTTTCGTCATAATACCTGGCAGAAACAACACGTGAAATCCTGGCCACTCGGAAATTCTGTCCAACTAGGTACCCGGTCGACTAGGACGTTTTTTAAAGCTTTTAAATTCAAGACGCGTACGCGAATCGCAACGCTCGGTTCGAGTCTACCGTTTGCGTTTCGAATAGCTCGCGATCAGGATTAGCTTTAAACCTAGTACCGGCAAGCGGAATTCCTACGACGCGAAGAAAAATATAGAAACGGAGAAGAGAAATAAGGATTACCGGCTACCATTCGGAAAGCAGTTTCGTAGCCGAGGTAGCAAACACGATTTACTCTCGACACTCGAAAAAAAGACTCATCATCCTGGTCGGCGCGACGCACGGTGTTCTTCCAACGTCGAAGGAAGTCAAAGAAACGAGCCAGACAGGCTAAACGAGCAAAGTCTTCGTTTTGCAGAATGAGTATTCCGCGGAATAAAGAAAGATGCCGCGATATGAGCAAGAGAATAATAAAATACGGCGCGACAAACTTTGCAAAACTAAAAAATCCGAACCTTTTATTAAAACTCTGACGTAAGAAATCCCAATGGCTCGCACTCCTGAGCTATTCCTAAGAATTCCATCCGAAACCGAGCTATCGAGAGGAATTGATCCGCCAGTCTTCGAGAAGATCATCTTGTCAACGTCGCTTAACGCGGTTCGCGAGTCTGCTACCGTTCTCCAAGCAGCGGACCACGGATTCACTTTGCAAGCGAACGAATTTTTTAATAATTTGCATTTCAATATAGTCGTCGTCCGAAATAACAAATAAACCAAACCACCAATGGTACAAGTGGAAAATAGGTGGGAACGTAGCTGGGAGTAAAACCGCTCGCGCGTCCTTGTCGACTATTTTCCAACCATGTTCGTTCCGCGAACGAACTCGTTTCCATAGATGATCTTTTGCGAGATAAAAATCCAATTACAATTCGAAATGGATCCCTTCCACCTTCGGTGAAAAGAAGACCGCGGACATTTCCGACGTCGTTACGCGTTTCGAGAAATTATTTTAAACTCTCTGATCGAAAAAGAGTACATAATTATAATAAGAGTAAAGAGTAATAATTCGGTTTCCTCTAAAAGAACCTATGTTTCGGAACTTGCGAATGTATGGCGAGTCTGCGATTTCTCGAACGTGCATCGTTGATAGAACGTTGCTCTTACTCGAATGAGTTTTCGCGTTTTTTAACAGCCCTTTTCAACCAACTCGAGAGTACCGTTCGATATACGTATGTATCACTTACGTAATTCCGGGAGATTAATCGCGAAGAAAAACTACGAGTTTCGCGAATGTTTTTCACCAAGTAAAACGTGACGCGAAAGACTGAAAGAATTCAGAGTAGATAATCATCTTTAATTATTCCAACGCGAGCGTAATTTTTTCGAGGACATCCGACGAAAAATCTCTCCAAGGGAATATCCGTTTTCCTTTACATTCGCGTTGTGACATCACAGGAAATCTTGGCGACGTTTTCTCTTATTTTTCGTCTTCGAGACGCGAACAAAAGCGAAAACTTGCTGGTAAGAGGAAAGATTAAAAGAGAAATTTGGGCAAATAAAAGAATGGTCGTCTGAAAAAAATACAACGGAAGAATTGGTATACCGGGGATTCGTGCAGTATTGTTTTTCCGAGGCCCGTACGTCGAACAGAGTAATTCGCTGAAAATGCTCGCTAGTCCTAAATTGACCGTTCTCGCTTAATCGTCAACAATAACGCAATGGTCTCCGGAACGGACAAGTTCCATGGACGATAACGTAGTTCGACTTGGAAGTTTGCCAATTCGGCGTAGTTTGTCGTTCGATCAATCGGCCAAGGTCCGGCAAAGATCTTCGGTTCGCTCAACGTTATCGTCCTGTCGATACGTGTACAGCGCATACTGGCTGGCTAGCTGGATGGTTGGCGCGCGTTTATCGACGATGATGCAAATCACGTAACGTGGCTGCGAGGCCGTTATGAGGAATTGCTCGAAGCGATGACCGGGGACAGCTAATCGATACTCGTATTTTGAACCGTAACCGGGAAAAAAGCAGATTTACGACGAGTTCGTAGCGACGAAATTTTCTACCGTGTCACACCTTGTGTTCCAGCCGGCTAAACGAACCTAGTATATTTTCTGCGACGAAAATTGAAACGCGTCTCGAACTTTCGATAAATAGAAATATATTTACTTTTCGATCGTTTGTTTCGATTTGGGTAAAAATGCTTTTAAAAATACAAAATAAAGAAGGAAATACATATAAGGATAGCGAGCGAGCGAGCGAGCGCGCGCGTCTGTTTAAAATTCGTCGTTGACAAGACTGTAAATTTGTGCGAGATCGTTGCCGATGGACGAGGCTACGTAACTGACACGGAGTTAATGAGATTCGGGTGTAGATGAAAAGGCCTTGGACAAAACGCGGAATTAATGGAATTGTCGCGGCGATGAGGCTCTGAATCGATTCCGTTGAATGCGTGCCGCGGGGACACGAGGCTTTTCCTTCGTTATCCGCAACGATTTTGCAGCCGTCTGAACGCCTGGCCGCCGTCGTCGTCGTCGACAAACGTCGATCACGAATCGTTACGAGAGAATCTCGATCTCGCGTTCATCGCAGTTTCGTTCGTCCATCGGTCGCGATAATGTTTGCGGTTATTCCTGCCCTTTAGGAATCTCGAGAGATCTCGCAA